GGGAGACCGGTGTTCATCCGCCTACGCTGAGCTGGACGGGCGTCATCGTCCGGGATTGCGTCGACATCGATAACTTCTACAGGCCCTGGCCTGCGAGAAGGGATAGTTTGGCTGGATGTTGAAGCTTCAGGCATCGCTGTGGATGAGCTTCAGGGGGGGTTTGTCGTCAGGAGGCGGTCGACCGCGAGAATTATGGAAACAACAAAAGCAGCGCCCGCCGTTTGGCGCCGATTAGCGGGCTAACGCGAACCACAAACACACACAAACAAACTATACTGCAGAAATGATAGTTCTGCCATTCTTCACCGCGCAATCTTTCTAACACATCATAAGAATGCTGCGTGTGAAATGGACAGAGTAAGAGGGTCCTTTGCACAGAAACTCGCTAAGCAGAATTGCGTCGGCGTCAGCGAGTAAATATGATTAAGCGCCTGTCCTTGTGGCGTCCCGTACTCCCGCTCGATGTCCTCTGCCTGCCTGAGCTCCCAGACTCGCCATGGACCTGGACGATTCGCCTTGGGGCGAGAATGTCAAGTCTGTGCAAGACTCTGAATGGTCAAAGCTCTCCTCCGACTTCGTCAACGCTGGCTACCGCGAGGGCATCACGGCCGGGAAGGAGGGTGCGCTTCAGGAAGGCTTCGATGAGGGCTTTGCACAGACCGGTGCGCCTCTTGGTCGAAACCTGGGGATGCTGCGCGGCTTTTCTTCTGCCCTTGCCTCCTTCCTCGCCTCGACGTCGGCACAAGAGCATACGGAGCGCGACCAGCTGCTGAACGAAGCCCGCACGATCTCTTCAGCGCTGTCAGACGTTCGCTTCTCCGACATAGACCCTCCAGACACGCAGGCTATGGAGCACGCGAAGGAACACATGGAGGACGCAGAAGATGTTGTGGCTTCGGAGGAGTTGCAGGAGAAGCGAGATATGGAGAGCTTGGAGGACCTAATGGACCGCATGGGTGCAACGCCCTCAGCAAAGCAGGCAAATCGACCCACCCCAGAAGACGTCGCGCAGCTCGAACAGCGTCTGCATACCCTCGCTCAAACGTTGGGTCTGACCCTGCCTTCAAGATAGCAAGCTTCACCGCGCGCTCTCATTGCACCTCTATCCATCGTGGACGCAGCCTCCTACAGCTCGCTCGCTCGCTCGCTGGCTGAACGCTGCGTTGCCGCGTGAAATCGTAACACATCCCCGTCCAATCCGTGTCATGCGGTCTCATGGCGGGTATCTTTACCTCCAAAGCATTGCACTCGAACACAGCCGCCGCACGTTTTTGGAGCAGGGAACCAGTGTTGGTATTAAGACAACAGAACTATGCGGATGTATCAAGACAGGGGAAGAGATTGCTACGGAAAACTATAAGAAGCTACTTAAATGTAAAGTCTAGTGGAGTGACGGTGAATGTACTGAATACACTGGAATAAACTGAGCACAAGGTCTTAAAAGGAGTGATAATTTAGCGCAGCATCAAGAAATAAGGTCCCTGCGGTAGCTGCGACGAGTCGTACAAGTTCATAAGAGATACAGACAAGCGGGCGGAGGGGGCTACATGCGGCCGCCGGAGGGAATATGAAGTGGCGTGATCAGTTCGGGAGGAGAGATAGTGGGATGCGGAGGGGAGTGCGGCGGGCTTTGAGGTGAATTTGAAGCGAAGGACTGGAAGGACGAAGAAGACGCATGTCGATGCTGGGCGGCAAGGTCAGTCAATAACAAGACACCCACCCCGAAAATGCCCACTTACTGTTTTATGATGGGGGGAGAATTTCGAGATGATACTCTTTACACGTTCCCGACCATGGAGTTTTGGAGATGACGTCGCTGAAGTCGAGTCCTCGGAGTCGCCAGTAGGGAAGCTCACCATCGCGGGATCGGGTTGATCATGGTGCTGCGCACTCTTCCGCCTTACAAACGAGCTTACCCTCTGCCGTATGCCACCCGACCTGCGTTTGCTGATACTGTGACGTCCTTTCGGCGAGTGCTGTGGCTCGGACGGATCATGCGACAGGAAGGGCTGGTCCGAGGGTGCATACGACGCGTCGCCATGCAGGCTTGAGCCGACGTCGTGCTCAAAGGTGCTCTTAGAGCTACGTGCGTCACCGTTGATGTCGTACGGGTGCAGGAACTGTTGGCTGGTCCTGTGGCTAACCTTGCTGTTGTTGAGGTTGAGATAGAAACTAGCTGGGCTAGACTGGTCGCTGGTAATAGCGGTCGAACCTGAGGGCACAAGGTGTTAGCTCGATCTCACTGCTTGCCACGGACACAATTACCAGATAGGGCACGTTCATGCTCAGGATTCAATGCCGCATCTTGCATACCCTTCAGCGTATTCTCCAGGTCGTCCCTGACAGCCGTCAGCTCTGCAGCCGATGCTTCCGCATCCTGAAGTGCCTGTGACCTCGCCTCAAGCTCTGCGGTAACCTTTGCCAGCTCTTCGCGCATGCTCTCCATCAGATTCGCCATCTCCTCCTTTGCCTCCCGCTCTTCCGCAAGTTCGCTCTCGACTGAGCTTAGCGACAGGTTCTTCAAGTCGATCTCGGATTGCAATGACGTGTTCTGGGAGGCGAGCTCGGACTTGAGCGACTCGATTGACGCGATCGCGTCCTGTTTTGCGGCTATCTCGGCAGGAATAGCCTGCTGCAAGCCCTCAAGGGCTCGCGTCTTCGCATCCAGGTCGGCACGGAGACTGGCAATCTCGGTGGACGACTCGGATCGCGCCGTCGCAGAAGAGTGCTCGGCTTGGGTCAGAGCAGCTGTGAGCTCGTCGAGCTTGCGTTTGAGCGAGTCTTGCTCTGCCAATGCAGTCGCGAGTTTCTCTTCTGCGGAAGCCAAGGAAGATTGTGTCTCCTCGCGGGTCTGGCGCTCGCGCGCAAGAGCAGACTGGACACCGCGGAGAGAGTCCGAATGTTCTTGCAGCTCACCGGTAAGCTCTTGTACGCGGCACGCGTTCTCCCCTCGAAGGACGTCCAAGCTCTGAGAGAGCTCTTCTCTTGCTTTCTCCCCGGACGCCGACGCGGCTTGTGCAGCATCAAGCTTTTGAGACAGCGCTTGTAGCTCGTCCCTAAGGGATGCGATGGTCCTTTCTTGCTCGTGATGCAATGTTTCCGCGTCAGACTTGGCCTGTTCCAGTTCGCGAGACTTAGTTTCCAGTTCTGCCCTAAGGTTTGAGGCCAGCTCCTCCTGCGCTTGCCGTGCCGCATCCGAGTCTGCCTTCAGCCGGTTCAGATCCTGTGATTTCGTCTCCAGTTCGACGACCAGGGAAACCTTGTCCCGCTCCAGACCCTGCAACTTCGCCTCTAGCTCAGCGGCCAGAGACGCCTTCTCCTGCCTGACTTCCTCGACCTCTCGTTCCGATCGGTCAAGTGCCTGAGCCTTGGTTTCGAGCTGACTTGATAAAGAAGCCGTGGACTTCTTTACCTCTGTCAACTCTTTCTCGACTGTGTCCAACGCCTCAGTCTTGGCTCCGAGCTGACCCGACAGAGCCACCTTCTCCTCTTGAATCTCGTCAAGATTCCTCTGCACCTGCACCATCTTCCTTCTATCCTCATCCAACTCTTCTCTGACACTCTCAAGCTCCTTCGCCTTCGCGTCGATCTCCGTTTGATGGCGCCCCGCCTCCTCAGCATTCTCGCTTCGGAGCTCCTGCATCGTTTCCTCGAGAACTCCAAACGCATTGCGTTCGCGTTCCAAGATCTCGCGCTCCTCGCTCAGCGCCTCGACCTTCTCACGAATCTCGTACCTGAGACCGGCGACGACGGCTGCGTGGTCGGCACGCACCCGCTCTTCGGCCTGCGCGCGGCTCTGCCGCTCGGCATCGATGACAGACACCGCGGTGCGCAGCGCGGACGACTCGGCGTCGAGGCGCTCCTTGAGCTGCGCGACGGCCGTCTGATGCTCGCCCTTCAGGCTACCAAGGGTGTCTTCCGCGAGCTGTCGCGCCTTCTCGGCCGCCATGCGCGCGGATTCGCTGTCAAGAAGCGCCCTCCGCGTAGATTCTAGCTCGGACTTAAGGGAAGCGACCGTGGCGGAGAGCTCTTCGCGGAGGTGTGAGAGGGTGTTCTCGAGCTCCGCTGAATCGCGAGACGCGTCTTCACGTGTCGTCGCAAGAGTTTTATTCAGAGAGTCTGTCTCGGCGCGGAGATGGTCGATGATCTCGGACGACTCTGTCCGAAGAGCGACGAGGGCTGCTTCGAGCTCCACTTTAGTCTGGCGTTCCTGCTGCAGCGACATTACGGAAGCGGCGAGAACGGATGTCTTCTGCTCAGCTTCGGCCTTGAGGGCGTCGATCGTTCGAGAAGATTCACTTTTGAAGGTAGCAAGCGACGTCTCCAGTGTTCCTTTCGCATTCTCCAGAGAATCCCGCGACGCCTCCAGGTCGGCAATGGCCCTTGACCTATCTTCAAGCTCGGACTTTAGGTCAGAAACAGTACGATGCATGTCTTGCGTCAACGTAGCAAGCGACTTCTCTACTTGCACCTTCGCCTGGCGTGTCGCCTCAGAAACGGACTGCGCGTCAGCGAGTGCTCGGGCAGAGCGCTTGAGCTCAGCCTTCAGCGTGCCAACCTCCTTCGAAAACTCGGCCTGTACGCGATCCAGTGTGGCTGATGTCTCTTCTTTGACCTGGTGCTCCAGTTCCAGAGTATCTTCCACCGCACGGAGAGCTTCAGACGTCCTGTAAAGCTCATCGTCGAGTTCTCGAGTCTTCTGTTGAGATTGTACGTGGAGAGCCTCGAGCTCTCCCGAGAGCCGCTGGTTGTCGACGAAAAGTCGTTCTGAAGTAGAGAGAGCACTGTCCAATCTGTCCGAAATGTCCTTGAGAGACGATTCCAGCTCCAAGTTCCGTTTTTGCGTAACAGTAAGAGATGAAGATGTCTGTGTATGAGCAAGCCTTTCTTCGGCCAAAGATTTCTCTTTGGTCTCCAAAGCCCGGTGTGTCTCCTCCAAAGCGGCCTGTGTTTCGCGAAGAGAACGAGTGGCGTCCTCAAGACGGTCTTCAAGCCGCTTGACCTCCGCGATAACAGTTTCGTGGATCTGCTTGCGCCCTACGAGAGCCGCGTTGCTCGCCTCCAGTTGCCTCAGCGCCTCCGACAGCACTTCTTCGTGGCTCTTCCGCAAAGTATCGGCCTCTTGCTCCGCGTCCGAGAGCAACTTCGCCTTCTCCTCCTTGTGCTGAGTGGTGAGGTTGTTGACAGAGAGTGCGAGCTTATTGTTTTCTTCTGACAGACGCGTGATCGACGCGGATAAGGTGGCTCGTTCCCCCTCCAAAGCCGCGAGAGCTTCAGACAAGCGTTCCGAGTTGCGACACTCGGAAGAAAGGGAGCTGGAAAGCTGGGACGCTAGCTGGCGTTCGCGTTCAAGGGCTGTCTGGGTTTGCGCGAGCTCTCTCAAGGTTGAGCTGAGAGACGTAGAAGCTTGAAGGCGGCCTTCTTCCGAGACACCTTGGGCAGCCAGCAAGCGGTCGCGTTCGTCTTCTAAGACCGCTATGGAAGCTTGCAAGGCATGGAAGCGAGATGCTTGTTCCTGTAGAGTGTGGCGGAGGTCGGTGAGCTGCGCGGTGAGCTCTTCGCGCTCTCGTTCAACAATTCCAATCCGCTGCTCGAGGCCAACAACGATTTGCTCGCTCAGCTGGTCAAGTAGTTCATAACGGGCCTATCCGATGGTCAGCAGCTTTAACTGCACAGCCAAGACTAAAGACGCACTTGGAGTCGATCGTATGTAACCTGGAGCCTCTGAGAATCACTACGACACTGCTCTATCTCTCGCTTCGACTCGGCTAGCTGTATCAAAGCGCGAAAACCTTCATTATGGAGAGTTGGTGTCGCTGTCTCCTGCTCTTCGTCAATCTGTGAAGCAATCAACTCGGTGAAGAATTGACAAAAGACGGGAAGGAGGGCATACCAGGTCGTTCTCAGACTCTGGCTCGCTCTCGAACTCCGTGACATCGCCGCTGCTGTCTTCGGTCTCCTTATCCTCTGGAGAAGGATAGCTTCCGAAGCGCTCCAGGAATCCCAGCATTATAGAGAGTGTATATCTGATGGGGAGAGTTAGTATGCTCGAAAAATGTCGTCAGGATGGTGTATGTCCCACCTATTAGTAGAACCTTGTCTTCATGGATGACTTGGTTTGCGAGGGGTTCAGACTGGTGCTGTTTTCAAGTCGCGTGCAGTCCGTTGTCGAGTACTGGGATACAGAGGAAACAGAGAGCGTTGCAAGGCCGTCAGGCAGTGTTTTTAGGGGAGCGTTAGGGCGTATGGACGTAGAGAGCTCGAATGAGATATGAGTGACCGGACGAAATCGCAAAAGTCGAGAGACCGACAATAAATGGAAGCAAGCCTTCCGCATCGAGCGCCCCGCGACGCGGCGACGCGAACGAGCCAATCCGCACACACGATCATATGATCCCGACACTACTGGTTACCGCTGGATCCTGATTCCCCCGCCACTCGCCTCCGTGCTTGCATCATGTTGGCATCTTCTTTGTCCGAGTGGCCAATGCAAAATTGTATATATTCGACGTTATCCCCAGCCAACAGCCGTCAACGGTCTCAGCCTCCGAAACATGGCCTCTACTGCCCTAAGCTGGCAGGACCGCCACCCTACGCAGCGTTTCTCCCTGCCGTCTTCAAACGACATACGCTACAGGGCTGAGCATCGCGGCCCGTCGTCTTCGTCCTCAGAGGCAAGTGCTTCTTGCCCTTTCCAGAACATCCATAACGCTGAACATGCCACTTAGACTTTCTCTCGTGTGACCGCGCCTGTGTATCGCCAACTGTCCTCATTGGCCACAAAGGCATGCTCATCAACACCATCTCAATACGGTGCGCATAAGTCCGCCGTCAGACGTTGGTCGCCATCCTCAGACGACTCTGAAGATGAAGGCAGCGATGTCGGGTCTGACTCTGATGCAGAGGATGGTGAAGACGGATTCGACGTGTCAATGGATATAGACGAAAACGAGTCTTCGTCTGTGGCAGCTGCCCATTCTAAGCTGAATACACGCATTCCTCTAGCTCCTCTCGATACCCTGCCCATCACTGGCAAACGGAAACATGAAGACCCTCACGCGATCATTCCTCCCCCTACGCCACATGAAAATAGAGACAAGTCTATGATGATCTACGACTCAAACGACCTACCAGACTACGAGTTCGTCATGGGGGACGATGAGGCCGATATGGAGCCCAGCCGGGATGTCCTATCTGGTCTGTACGAGAGCGACACCATGCGTCTCATAATCATCTGCTCCGTCTGTGGCAGACGGTCTTGCAGCATACCGCATGCTTCGCTGGGTCGCCTCGAGCTATTGAATGGTTGTGAAATCGAAGAGGCTCGTATGGGGGACTCACCGCGAAACGAATCTCCCCAGTTCAAGGTGCCAGCACCTACGCGATCTGCGAAGGTCCGTACGGCAAGGTATGCGGGACCTCCGCTACGTGCTTCAGACTGGCTCGTACCCAAAGTTCTGCAGCCTTTTCGGCCTCGCATCACCTACTACTCTGGGGCTTCGTCCCCTCTTGCTCCCAGACCGGACTACCGCTATCGACGGATGAAGTGCTCTGATAGACGATGTGCCTTCGTTGGCGCGTCAGTCGAGCATTGGAGGCACCATGTGGAGACCTTTCAGCATTATGCGTACGGTATCGCTCACAGGTACTTGTAGAATGAGCCAATTCACTGCCACAGCCAGCTACATAATGTGTACATTTTTATGGACCTAACGAGTTGTGAATATGAACTGGAGCCCTCAACGATCGCCAGTAAATACATTGTTAGCTCGTTCAGTCGGATCAGAGACCAGGGATGGGACCCAAGCCAGCCGCCTTCGCATCCGCCAGAATCTGGTCCCTGTACTGGAGGAACTTCGCTTCCAAACCCCTGGCTCCACCCTTGTTCGCTGTCATGAGTTCATAAATCAGAAGTGTCGGGGCACGGAGACAGGAGATGGCGCTCACATTGACGTCTATTGCTGTTGGTGGCGTGTTCAGTAAGGGTCATCATCATGCTCGTCTCGAGCAGTACAGCTGCACGCGGAGTTAGCCGACTAAGAAAGAAATCCCTGACTAAAATTTAGCTCACTCTGCGTGCCCTGCAAGATCTTCATTGGCTTGAGCTCCATGTCCTGGGTCGCGTTGTAGGGGCCATCCTCCGCTGAGCCGGCAATCAGTAGACCGGACGGGAGGTTACGGGAAAGTGAATCACGTACGTCCATGCGGACCAAACCCGCTCTCGAGCACGAGTGCACCCGGCACAAAGTCGTCAGTGAAGCCGAATTCGCCTTTAATAAGCCCCAGAACCTCGGAGGCAGTGTTGCGATGGAAGAACTGGCATTGAACGAGGAAGGCTCCTGTTAGAAAATACCGTCCTTGCGGAAGTGGAAAGATGCGGAAGGTAACACACCGGTGGTCTAAACGACTGCTCAGCGACGTCCCACTTCTCGCCAATGAACGCAAAATCGGCAAGCGCAACCCCTGGGGTCTTTGAGCGTGCCGTGAGGACCGTCCAGATCGACGGGTCGATATGATCACGGGTGAGGCTACCGAGGGAGATGAAGAAATCGAGGTTATACTTGTATGGGACGTAACTGACAGCCAGCCGCTGTCGTCAGCAAGGGAGATGACCTGGTAAAATCTGGCGCAACGTACTTGCCATGCCATGCTACGACGTCAAAGGGCGTGTGGTCCTGCTTGCACGTGAAGAGCTTACCGCCAAGCTTGTAGATAACTGATAGATACATGAGAGACAGGATTCAACACTTCGTGAGTTCAGATGCAACAAATACACGCACCTTCCCAATTGGTCTGGTCAACTTCAAAGTGGGCCACCGGGTGTTCGAAGTCGCGAGGATTCGCGAGTCCATGAGATCCAACGACGCCAAGGTTAGGGAGCTCATAGTGCGACCCGAAGATCTCTTGGATGTCTGCACAAAGCATATCAGGAAACGAACATGGCAAGGTACACTCAACATGACTCACAACCGATCGCACTACCATCTGGCAAAGTAACCTTCCACTTCAGTCCCCGCTGTACGACCGTGATCTCGCCCGGGAAGACTAGTAACCTAGGCAAGTAAACAGTGTCACCGAATTTTCATAATAAGGTACATGGATCCTGGACAACTCACCTACCCAGCTCGGTTTGGATATCAAGTCGGCCCTTCACAGGTATGATCAGGAAGTCCCCATCACTGTTCACAAATGCTTCCTTGTCCATGTCCGAGTTGCATGCATAGGTATGAATGGCGACACCTTCAACGAGCATCGGACTACCATTCCCCATCATAGTCTTGATGCCATAGATGAAATTAACTTTCTCGTTCGCCGATAGGACGTCCGGGTTCCAAGTGACACGCTCGGGCGTAGCGGTTTGCGTAGGATCATTGAGGGAGAACTCAGCGACGAGCTGTAGAGAGGCCGTGTTAACGGAAGCGATGGAAAAGTAGATGAAGACGGACAAATGGGTTCTGCTTCTCGCTCTTGACAAATCCCTCGTGAGCGACAGACGGGCGGATACGGTACGCCTTGCTGAACCAAAGTGAGGACATGCGTGCACACGCGATTGGGATGAACGAACATGCTCTTATTCTGTGCCCTCGGGGTGGAGAACGGAGTGCCAGTAATCTATGACCTTTGTCAGGAGGAAGTAATTGTACTTTTCGGAGTGGACCTTACGCATTCGGTGTACAGCTCGTACTTATTCTTCTGTGGCATATTCTGGCCTATAGGTAGGACATTGGGACTTGCACAAATCGTCAACGCGGCTGACCATGAATACTTGTCGATATAGACCTTACAGAGCTTCCGATGTGAAAATGTTGTCGAAACCGACTTGGTATCGATATGGATCATCTCTGCGGCGAGAGATGGAATAGCCTGTCTGAGCGCTTGCCTAACAGAAAGATGAGCAGCATTCAAAGTCTGGCGAGGGGACACATACCATGAGAGTGAAGACGAGGGATTATCAACGGGTATTCCGATATATGGGAGCAGCACCGTGTTGCGAACGCGTCTTTATATCCTGAGCACGGACAGAGCCTAGCCCTAACATACAACAGGACCATAAGTGTCCGCCTCGGGGACGCCCCCGAAACCCCGGAAACACGATTAGGTCCCGTAACTACCGTTACGAGTTCCGGCGTAAGACTCTCCGTCAGCTCACCCTGAAGACCCCACGATGTGCCCCGGGACATAGGATTGCAGACCCGGGGTCATATCGACCCCTCCGTCACCAACAACAACCTCAACTCCTCGCACGATAATATCATCTTACTACGGTAGTGTCTGTGTATGCTGACGTTTTGCAATCTCAATCAAGATTGGGGACACCTTCTCATTGCGTCCTCTGGTGTAGCTTTGATAGTGGCAATCAGCGGGTAGTGGTGGCTCAGTTCCTTCAGCCGGGTCAAGCATATGTCGCGTGCTCCGCTTCTGCAAGTACAAGCTTGGCCTGTGACGCATGTGCAAGAGACGGCGTCGCTCTGCTATACGCGAATTGTGTTCCCCCGATAGCGGTTTTCGTGGAGGCTGTTCTGGAGGCCAAGTGTCTTCGTGGTTGATGCTCGCTTGGCTGCGACTGCAGCTTTCTCGTGGTTGGGAAATCGCGGGCACAAGCGGCTGGCGCAGTGCCTTAGCTGGCGTGGCATCAGTATGGGCGGCGAGGTGTAACATGTAAAGTAAAGTCTCAGATCTCCGGGGTTCTCGGAGTGCACCTGGGCGATCGATGCCACTTAGGAGGACCCCTGACATTGGGTGGAGAGGCCAGATCTTGATTTTCGCCTGACCCAACCTTCTTATCCGCACAAAATTTTGGCCCTCTGGCTCAAAAAAGTACGGATTTTCCTCCGGCCCCGGCCTGACGGCTGGGTTTGGATGCGGATTAGGCACCAAGCCTCTACATCCTCAACAATTCGCGTCGTTTTGCGTCCATAGGCACCCTGTAGTGCAAGTAACATCTCTATCTACAATAAACCAGGTTCCTGCTTCGCCTTTGCCACTATCTTCCGCTGCTACCGCCGCCGGACTCTTCTCCCCTCGCTTCCGGGAAGCGTCGACGGCCTTCACGGTAGCTTCAGTGATCTTGGAACAGTAGAGGATAGTGTTTAGCTCACAGAGCACTTTGTTTGCGATGCTGACTTCACTAGGAAGGGTGCACAACAAATAATTAAATGAGGCGTGAAGGAACAAGAGCGTCTGCATCGAGACGACGCGCTGATGAACGGCACGGAACTGATTGGGCTCGAGGGCTTGTTATACACCTGCACAACCATATTGGACAATAGACGTCGAGTAGCATACGATTGTGTAGACACAGGAAGAATATTTTAATTTGCGCCCTCGCTTGCATTCTTCACTCTTACTTGCCAATCGTAGACGAACGATTCCCGATTGAGGCGCATTTTGTATTAAATACCGCACTAGATATGGAAAGGCTACCGATGTTGACAAGAAAAGTGTCTCAAAGACCTTGGGCATCAGCCAAATGGGGCGACCAACATGCCCCAAAAATCCGTATACGGACGGTCCTTAGGCCTTGTAGAGCGGCTGCTGGCGCGGTGCGGATTATTCCTCCGGCACCCCCGGGTCCAAGCCCGGTTTTGGATGCGGATTGCCTCAGGCATAGGGGGTCCCGAGACCCCGTTTTGGATGCGGATTGTCCTCAGGCCCCTCCGCCTAATGTCAGGGGTCCTCACTTAGGATTACCAAGAACAGCCGCGAACGTAAGTAAGCTTGACTCAGTAGTACGGGCACAAGCGACTGGACACTTTCTTGGAATATGAAGCATGCTAATATACAACGATGACTGGCAGATCCTTGGGAGAAGCGACAAACCATAGACTGCGCACGACTCGACTGTAGTGTCGGCCGGCTCCGACCTCATCCTTATGCTCCAGAAACTGAGGTCGCTTCACACCTACGCTCCTTTTAATCAATCAATGTGACCTGGAAAAGTTTAGATGGTTTGCGTACCGCAACTCGCCTAAATCCATGGCATACTCGGTGATGGTCGTCATCATGAACAGCTCTCTATGGCCTCCGGAGCGGGACAAAATAGCGCACGCAAAGAATGAATAGCACATATATTATTGTGTCTCTTCTTAGATCTTGCAGGCCGGCGGCGGCATTCCAGCACCATGCGCACCTTGTCGCTCGCCAGGTATTTGTAAGCCACGCCATTTCACTGCTTGAAAATAGTGTACACCCTTATTCATGGATCCAAAGAGTACGAAATACTTCGGAGATGAACTAGAGTTTGGAACGGCCGCCAGTAAACACGGCTAATTTCCAATGCTACATTCAAAGCGCGGTTATCAGCTCAATCAGAGGCCGTGGATGATAGGCAGGCCAGCTGCCTTCAGATCCGCCCAGATTTCGTCCTTATATCTCAGGAACTTCGCCTCTAGACCTTTGTTCCCGCCTTCACTCGCTGTCATGAGTTCACTAGTTGGGTGGCGGGATATCATAGGATAGAGGACAGTACTCACGATAACGTCTGTCACCGTTGGCGGCATACTCAGTAAGAGTCATCAGCATGCTAGTCTCGAACACCGCCACTGCACGCAAAGTCAGTCGATGTGACCCCCTCTATCTCAGAGAAACTTACCGAGCGAACCCTTGAGGTCTTTTGTCGGCTTCAACTCCTTGTCGGAAGCCACATCGCATATCTCACTGACAGCTAAGCTGGTCATCAGCACCAGATTAGGAACAGCGGAAAATTAGATCACGTACGTCCATTGGGCATAAAGCCAGTCTCAAGGAACAGTGCACCCTGCTCGAAGTCGTCCAGGAAGTTGAGGTCGCCGGAGATGAGCCCTGCAACCTCGCGAGCAGTGTTGCGATGAAAGTACTGATATCGCATCCACGTCTCTTGTCAGCAAGTCCTGTCTCGAGGAAGATTGAAAGGGAGAAAGTAACACACCGGTGGTCTAAATGTCTTCTTGGCGACGTCCCACTTTTCGCCGACGAATACAAACTCGGCGAGTGCAACACCTGGGTTTTTCGAGTGTGCCGTGAGAACCGTACAGATCGATGGATCAATGTGGTCGCAAGAAAGGCTGCCGAGAGAGATGAAGGAGTCCAGATTATACTTGTACGGGGCATAGCTACCAGCCAACGGCGGTGATTAGCAAGGGAGATGACCTAGTTGGGTCCAGCACAACGTACTTGCCGTGCCATGCCACGACGTCGAAGGGCGTATGGTCCTGCTTGCAAGTAAAGAGCTGACCACCAAGCTTGTAAATGACTAATTATACATTAGATGCAGGGATTCAACACGTCGTGAGGTCCGATGCAATAAGTACACGCACTTTCCCAATCGGTCTAATCAATTTCGAAGCAAGCTACCGGGTGCTCGAAGTCGCGAGGATTCGCGAGTCCATGAGAATCAATGACGCCAAGGTCAGGGAGCTCATAGTGCGACCCGAAGATCTCTTGGATAACTGTACAAAACATATCAGAAAGCAAATATGGAGAGGCGCATTCAACATGACTCACAGCCGGTCGCACTACCATCTGGCAAAGTAACCTTCCACTTCAGCCCCCGAGGCACAACTGCGATCTCGCCCGGGAAGATAAGCATCCTATGCAAGTAAACAAGGTTAACAATTTTTCATTAAAGAGTGCGTGGATCCTTGGCAACTCACCTACCCAGCTCGGTCTGGATATCAAGACGGCCCTTTACAGGCACGATGAGGAAGTCCCCGTCATTGTTCACAAGTGCTTCCTTGTCCATGTCCGCGTTGCATGCATACGCGTGACTGGCAACACCTTACATGACATTGGGCTGCCATTCCCCATCATAGTCTTGATGCCATAGATGAAATTAACTTTCTCGTTCGCCGGTGGGGCCTCTGGCCTCCAAGCAACTCGCGCGGGTGAGACGCTTTGCTTAGGGTCACGAAGGGAAAACTCAGCGACGAGCTGAAGAGAGGCCGCGATAACGGAAGTCGTGGACAAGTAGATGGAGACGGACAAACGGGTTCGGCTTCTCACATTTGGAAAAACCCTGGTGGGCAACGGACGGACGGATACGGTACGCCTTGCTGAACCAAAAGTGAGGAAATGTGCGCACATAAGATGGGATGAACGAACATGCTCTTATTCTGTCTCGGGGTGGTGAACAGAGTGCCAGTGATCTATGACTTTTGTCAGAAGGAAGTAATTTCACTTTTGGAGTGGATCTTACGCATTCGGTGTACAGCTCGTACTTATTCTTCTGCGGCATGTTCTGGCCTATCGGCAGGACATTGCATGAATCATCAACATGGTTATCCCAAGCACTTGCTGATATACGCCTTACATAGTTTCCGACGCGAAGATGCTACCGAAATCAACTTGGTAGTTGTACGGGTCGTCTCGGCGACGAGAGATGGAATAGCCTGTCTGAGCGGCTGTCTGAAGGGTGTGTAGGTTAAGCATCATTTGGAGATGGACAAAAAGGCACATACCATAATGATAGTGACGGTCTGCCAGTATTTAACGAGTATCGCGGTTCGGGTAGTGTCGTGCTGCGAGCGCGCACGTTATATACTGGCCGTGCTCGGTGATTCAAAGTCGATCGACTATCATCGGCTGATTGGATAAGGGAGACTACTCGGTGATCTTGGGTGCGGAATGAGCTTGACACATGGCACCATCAGCCCCGGCGCACCTGTGAACCGTGGCATGAATTTGAGCGCTGAGATCTGAGAATTGAAACGTCTCCGGGAGGAGTACGAGGACCTGGATGTTTACGTTTGGCATTCATAAGAAGCAATATCAAGGCCGGCCACGCAGTATATAGATAGCATAGCATAGCATGTGGTTCTCACCGTAGCAATTGCGATAACTCTCTACGCGTCTACGGGATATGTCCTCGGAATATAGAACCCGCCTTGCATAAACGCTGGTACAACATCCGGAATGTGTACGTTAGCAAGACGACTACATAGCCGGGAGCCAACCTTGTGCTGTGCTGCGCCCACATTGTCCCTAGCACGGTGCCCAGTTCTCCGAGAAAATTATGACCTGGTTGAGTGCTTCCAGGGTGCTATAAGAGGATGGGCACAGATGGCTAGTCATATCATAACTCGTATAACTCGTATAACTCGTATCTTTAAACACATGCTCCGAAAGTAAGTAGTAGGTTTCTTACTATTTGTTCCCCCCCTATTCAATGGGATGCCCGGGATTGAGACGCACATCCACATCCTGATCGGAAGTTCTGCCACTTCCGCTATCCTTAGCCAGCAGGCACCGTAGACCTTCCAGTATTCTCCAGACGAGATGGAGGATCTAGATTAAGCTGCGTGCACTCTGGATGTCATCGTACGTCTTTCCCCGGCATCGCAGACCATGTGAGAGGCACTTGTACCACTACGTGCCAGTCGGTATCGGAGCGCCCACGGTAGAGCAAGTTCACCCGCCGAAGTGCGACGGTCTCTGGTGAAACCCGCGTCGCATCCCTTGCCCAAATAGGACGCAACCAAGACGCACGTGGTCACCACGGAGCGCAGCAACCGAGTCTAGTGCGACGGGATGCTTTTTTTCGGCCGGACTGGAGACCTGCCAGTCGAAGAAACCTCTGGAAACCGGTACCACCCACTAAGCGAAAACAGTCTCATCGGTCATGAAGCTCGAGCTATGTGGCATCCGGACGCACGCTATCAGAGGCCATGGGTCTACCAAACAACAGTGTTTGAGGTGTCTGTCCAAGTCAATACAGTGCCGCCGATTCGGTGCCGTCAGCAGCTGAGCACAAGTCGATGAACATTCGTTTGAGTTGTGGATGGTGTGTACACCGACGACCCGCGGATCCTTAAGAAAGAAGAGGCAGCATATCACGCTATTGGCAGTACAAATTACACATGGCGCAATCGCCGCGGCCCTCTACAGCTTGGCTAAAGGTGGACGACCAGCAGTCTTCAGGTCTGCCTCAATCTTATCCTTGTATTTCATAAATTTGGCGTCCAGGCCGTTCCACATCCCCGGTTCGTGCTCTAGTAAGCATATCAGCGAATGTACCCCGAGGATATTCAGGTGATTAGCATACCGTGCCGCTTATTTGTCTTCATGGCATACTCGGTAATGGTCATCATCATACTCGACTCGAACATGACCACTGAAGCGGGACAGTGAGCTACAATCAGTGCATGCAGTAGTTGAACAGCACTTACTGAGCGCCCCTTCTTGGACCTTGCGTGGGACCAGCTCTCCTTCTGAGGCGGCGGTGTAGACGTCTTCGGCCACTGGATAAGAAAATTCGCACAGCGCACCATGGTGTAAATGAGAATTTAAGCTTACCTCCGTGAGGGCAAAATCCAGTCTCGAAGCTCAGCGCACCGGGAGTGAACCCGTCGCTACGTCCTCCATACTGCCCATAAACCAGGCCCAGGACTTCCGAGGCAGTATTGCGGTGGAAATAAGGCGGTCTGAACGTCCTGTTCGCAACATCCCACCTCTCCTTAAAGATTGCAAAGTCTGCGAGTGCGACCCCGGATGTCTTAGAGCGCGCGGTGAGGACCGTGAAAATTGAGGGATCACTGTGGTCCTTGGTGAGACTTCCACAGGCGATAAAGGCGTCCAAATCGTATTTGTATGGGACATAGCTGGGATTTGCCGATCAGCATTAGTTACACGCAGGAGAACAATAACTCACTTCCCGTGCCAGGCGACGACATCGAACGGAGTATGCTCCTGCTTGCAGGTAAAGAGTCGGCTACCGAGTTTGTACGTGACTAAGGTAAGACGTGAGCCACGCAATAGCCGTCAGAGGTAGATGTCCTTGCCTTCCCAAAGCGTCTGATCGATATCGAAATGTGCTACCGGATGCTCAAAGTCGCGAGGATTAGCAAGGCCACTAGCCCCAAGAGGTCCCAGCTCGGGCAGCTCGTAATGCATGCCAAAAATCTCCTGGACGTCTGCATAAAATGGTAAGAGAAGTAGACTTTATTTTGCTCACTCGGAACTTACAGCCGACAGCCTTGCCATCCGGTAGCGTGACTTTCCACTTCAGCCCACGCTGCACGACGGCAATCTCCCCAGGAAATACCATCATCCTGCACATGTAACTGTCAGTGGGGGGTTTGGACGGTATGTCACCGCTGCCCTCACCTTCCAAATTCAGTCTGGATATCGAGTCTGCCGAGTACTGGAACGATCATAAAGTCACCATCGCTGTTGACGAACGCTTCCTTGCCCATGTTTGCGTTGCAAGCGTATATGTGGATCGCAATGCCTTCGCGGAGCATCGGACTGCCATTGCCCATCATCGTCTTGAGGCCATAAACGAAGGTGACCTGTTCGTTGGCAGGAGGTTCGTGTGGATGCCATGCAAGCTGCGTTGGGGTCATGATTTGCTTGGGGTCCAGGAGAGAAAACTCTGCCACGAGCTGCAAATGAAGGTTATAAGATTAGGGAGACACAAACGAAAAACGTGATGCACATACATATGGGTTCTGTTTCTCGGCAGTCACGAAGCCGCCATGAGCCACTGAGGGCTGAATGCGATAGAACCACCTAAGAAGCATTTTTAAGTTTTTTTTACGGGAGTACGCTCTAACAAGGCCTACGAATGCTGGTTCTGGTTTCTTGGGACAGTGAACGGGGTGCCATTAACCTGTGGGTGTGCATTAGCCGATATAGGCATGTTGCGACTTGCAATACCTACCCCTTCAGTATACAATCCGTACTTGCTCTTTTGCGGGTTATTTTGTCCGATAGGGAGGGTATCTGGCCTGACAGACTGCCAATGAGTGACATGGAGAAACGGACTCTAGGACGACTCACAGAGCTTCGGAGGCGAATGTATTGCCGAAACCAACCTGGTAGCAATAAGGGTCACCCTTGCCTCGACCAATGGCATATCCGCCCTGTGCAGTCGCCTAACATTGGCTATGGTGTCAACATACCAAGCGGACTTCAAGTTGAAGTACGAACGCACCATACTAATATTACTTCACGGGAGGGTATTGACTGAGAGGCGGGAGGTGGCGATTGCAATGGTGGGTGGAACCGTGCCGCATCTATCGTTTTTATACGCCTCCATGGTGTTTGTGTAACCCAGCGTCCGCCGGATGAGCAAGCTTCGGCGCGCAGGGATGAAGCAAACTTGGCAGAAGCGGCTCAACGCCAGGCACTGCGATTTGCTTGTTTGGGGCATCTTCTCCCACCTATAGCATTGCATAGTTCGGCGGATTGGCCGAGAAGCTCCAGGTCGCGACTAGCGGTGGTACTTACATCTCCGGGAGACCCCTTTGGGATGTATTTTCACTCATGAGAAGGGAGAAACAGGTCAAGAATGTCAAGTGACAGGCCGACGGTCGGTTTGAGCCTCTCAGAGCCAGGAGGATCAATGAAAGAGATAGCCAGCCAAGGCCGCTGTGTCTATCACGCGAACGGAGGGTAGAAAACGGCCTAGCGGAATGATGTCAAAGCCTGTAGACGTGCGGAACCCGCAGGCCGCAGTGACCAGCGTGACAAGCCCGTGATGAGCCGTGACGCATCACTGGACTGTGCGCCACGGCCGCTCGAAGAGCGCGTGCCACGACTCGGAAGAATGTAGAGCAAATAATGAGGCCTTGAGCTTGCTGAGGAGTCAGCATTCTCCAATGATATAAACTTTCGAATGCCTGTCTTAGGGCCCCGCGTCAGTCGAATACTTCTAGTGTAGAGGCATAACAAGCTGAGACGCTGCTCCAGGGGCAGACTACGCCATTTCATTGCTTCCAGCGAACAGTATACATATATATCGGGTCCCATGGAGTGACGGCTACGAGAGGATTCGGTGATCAAACCAAGGCTCCCAACGATCGCTAGCAAACATGTTGCGAGTTCTTTCAGCGAGTTCAGAGGCCAGGGATGGGAGGCAAGCCAGCCGCCTTCAGATCAGCTTGAATCTCGTCCTTATGCTTCAGGAACTTCGCTTCCAAACCCTTCTTCCCACCTTCACCCGCTGCCATCGGTTTATCAGCCAAGTATCGAGATATCGTGAGAAAGAAAATGGTGCTCACGTCGACGTCTGTTGCCCTTGGCAGCGTACTCAGTAAGAGTCATCAGCATGCTCGTCTCGAACACCGCCACTGAATGCAGAAAATTAGTAGACGAGAGATTTCTGTAATTCAAATAAACTTACAGCGAATCCCCTCGAGATACTTTACCGGCTTCAGCTCCATGTTGGAGGCCGCATCATACGTATCGCCATTCGCTAAGCCGGTCATCAGCACCTAAGCCTCCAGGTTGAGCATTGCGAGACGGTATATCACGTACGTCCATGCGGACCAAATCCAGTCTCAAGGAGCAGTGCACCAGGCTTGAAGTCGCCAACAAAACCAAAGTCGCCGGAGATGATTCCAAGAATCTCGGAGGCAGTGTTGCGATGGAAATACTGACATACATCCATGGTTCTCGTCAGCGAACCCTGTCCTGCGGAAGATCGAAAGGAGCAAGGTAACACACCGGCGGTCTGAACGTCTTCTCGGCGACGTCCCACCTTTCGCCGGCGAACACAAAATCGGCGAGTGCTACGCCTGAGGTTTTCGAGCGCGCAGTGAGGACTGTCCAGATCGACGGATCAACATGGTCGCGAGTAAGGCTGCCGAGAGAGATGAAGGAGTCGAGGTTATACTTATACGGGACATAACTGGCGGCCAGCCGCTGTCGTCAGCAAGGGAGATGACTTGGTAAAATCTGGTGCAACGTACTTGCCGTGCCATGCCACGATATCGAAGGGCGTGTGATCTTGATTACACGTGAAGAGCTGGCCACCAAGCTTGTAGATAACTGAGGGTTGCATGTGACGCAAGAAATCAGCACTCCCCACGTTCGGATGTATAATTACGCGCACCTTCCCAGGCGGTTTGGTCAACGTCGAAATGAGCCACCGGGTGCTCGAAGTCGCGAGGATTCGCGAGTCCATGGGAGCCGATGACACCAAGGTCAGGGAGCTCATAGTGCATCCCGAAGATCTCTTGAATATCTGCGCAAAAGCTATCAGAAAGCAACATTGCAAGATCAAGTCAACAAAACCCACAGCCCGTTGCACTACCATCTGGTAGAGTAACTTTCCACTTCAGTCCCCGCTGTACAACCGCGATCTCGCCCGGGAAGACCAGCAACCTAGGCAAGTAAATAATGTCATTGACTTTTCATAGAAGAATGTGTAGATCATTGACAACTCACTTGCCCAGCTCAGTCTGGATATCAAGCCGGCCCTGTACAGAAACAATAAGGAAGTCCCCATCACTGTTCACAAATGCTTCTTTCCCCATGTCTGCATTGCACGCATAGGTATGGATGACGACACCCTCACGGAGCATCGGGCTGCCGTTTCCGATCATCGTCTTGATGCCATAGATAAAATTAACTTTCTCGTTCGCCGGTAGGACGTCTGGGCTCCAAGCGACACGTGCAGGTGTAACGCTTTGCGTGGGGTCGCTGAGGGAAAACTCAGCAACGAGCTATACAGAGGCTGCGTCAGCGGAAGCTGCAAAGACAGGAGAAAACGAACAAATGGGTTCTGCTTCTCGCGTTTGACGAAGCCCTGATGAGCGACAGAAGGGCGGATACGGTAAACCTTACTAAAATCACACATGAGGAAATACGAGCACACGAGATTTGGACGAACGAACTTTTGCTGATTCTGCGCCCTCGGGGCGGTAAACGTCGTACCATTAATCTGTGACTTGGGTCAGAAAGAAAGAGTCACATTACAGAGAGCAAACCTTACGCCTTCGGTGTACAGCTCGTACTTATTCTTCTGTGGCATGTTCTGGCCTATTGGCAGGACATTGGGACTATTGCACGGATCATTAATATGGTAATCCCAAGCACTTGCTGATATAGGCCTTACATAGCTTCCGACGTGAAGGCGTTACCGAACCCGACCTGGTAGCGGTATGGGTCGTCTCGGCGACGAGAGATAGAATAGCCTGTTTGAGCAGCTGCCTGAATGCAGATTGAGCATTAAAGGCATTCGAGGATGGGCGAGAGGGTGTATACCATGGTGAAGACTAACGAGTATTAGCGAGTATCACAGTTCGAGGTAGCATCGTGCTGCGAATGCGTGTTTTATATCCTGATCGTATTGACCACGCTCGGTAATCGTGAGTGTGTAAAAGGACGTAGTCCTGACATACCACGGGCTCAGCTGCCGAGTCTTGGGAGGGCACGGGTCTCAGACGCACTTTCGCCAGATGTCCCGTACAATGATGTCTGCAATACAACGGCAAGCCATGTCGGCCGACTGATGATGTTTGACTGTAAATTGCTTTGTCTAGCGTCAACTTGAGGCTTCCGAACGGTGGGGATGACATACACATCTTCTTTGAAGATGGCAACATGAGATCCGACGTCCACATTTGGTACTTATTGTCAAGGTTGGCCGTAAACAATCTTATGCAGGCAAGGACTAAGCGAGGATCTGGTGAATGTTTAGTAACGGTTCAATTGCTCGGCGTGGGAGCGTGTCAGCCGAGATGACCAGGGATTCTGAAGTCTGGCGACAGGACACCGGACACCCGCTGACTGTCTAGAGCCTGCATCAGCGCATCAGCGGCATTCGCGAAATGCACTTGGCAGCCGGTTCCTCAATTCTTGGCCTCTCTCGTTTCCTTATTCTATGCGGCGTCGCAGCCATGCATGATGGAGTGGTCCAAAAACTTACACCATAGCTGGAAAAAGAGTGCATTTGCTGTGAAGTAAATCGCCAAGTTTCTGCCCCTTTGAGCAGGAGCTGTTCGCCTGTCCCTGCGTTGAATTGATGTAAATATATTCGGCAATGTGGACTCGCAGACTCGCCTCTATGCGCCCTAATGCATACGCAGAAAATGCGGACTATCCCGAGAGCCGGGTTTTGCAGGATGCATTCGATGGTTAGTGCGTCGCTCGTCTCCATCAGCGCGTCACAACGCCACGAAGCTGCCACCGTTGCCGGCCCTGGCTATTGAGCGCCCAATGAAGCCCTGCTATCGACGTACCCCAAGCATCGTAGGCGAAGGCATCGTAGACCTTCCGGCTTTGGATTACTCAGGCAAAACTGCGCACATTATGTGCATGCCATCACACGCCTTCCTCTAGTATCGCAAGACGTGGGGAGCCGCATGTACAGCATCCAGCCGGCGACGATGCTCACCCTAGGCCACAACGTGTTAGTATCGGATTGCCCGCGATTCGAATGATCAAGTATGTGGGTCTCGCGTTCGCACTGGAGGTGCAACGGGATGATTTTCGAATTGGAGGCCCACTACTCAATCAATAAACATCCAGAAAGCAGGAATCGTCTACCAGGCAAGAGCAATCTCATCGTTCGGGAGGCTCGAGCTGTATAGATACGTCGAGCATGGCCGCTTAGCAGACCTGTGACCTAGCATGCTGCTGAATGTCACAATCCGCAGAGTGTCACCGGTTCGGTGCCATCGATACAGGCTACGCACCATTCGACCGTAGTCCTCTACAGGACCAAAAGTGGAAAATCAGCCAGTTCCGTTCCGTTCCGCTTCGATCTCGTCCTCCAGAAACATCGCGTGTAGACCGTCTGATGTTCCTGGCTCGCGCTCCGGTATGTCCTCATCAGCTAACATGCGTAAAGAAGTTCAGATGATTACTGTATTATGCCGCCTCTTCGATTTCGCGACGTACTCGATGGTGGCCACTATCACACTCGACACAATCACTGAAGTGCAGAAATGAGTCACAGTAGCGCACGCAGAAGACAAATAACACTTACTGAGCGTCTCTTCTTGCACTTGGCATGAGACGAGTTCTCCCTTTAAGAGAAGAACTCAGTCTCGAAGCTTAGTATACCAGGAGTGAACTCGTCACTACACCTTCCATATTGTCCATAGATCAGGCCCAAAGTCTCCGGTATGGTGTTGCGGTGGAAGTACGCCGGCCTACGTGTTTGTTCCACAAAACCCCACATCTCTGAAGATTGCGAGAAATTGTGGGCGGAAAGTTGGATATCTTGGAGCATACTGTGAGGACGATAAAGATTGACGGGTCCGTTGAAGCTAGAAGGACCAAAAGAGTACGGTAGTCCGGATAACCGACTACGAGCCAAGGCCCGTTGTGCCTATCGTACATACACGAAGTGTATAATGAGAAGGAAACGGCCCAGCAGGATGTTTGATGATGTAAGAGCCCGCAGAGAAAGGTACACACAGTGTAAGCGGAGTGAGTAGATCCCCCTCGTCGCGACAGGAACAGCGTTTGTGCAGATCACAGCAGGCTGAGTTTTCTCACCGAGACTGATATTTCTTGCAAGGATCGTGGCGTGGACGAGAGTGGCTATGTTGCAGCAAAACTCTTCTTCTCGTGGATGCGCCTGTATTGGAGGACTAGATCCGAGATACGGTCAAAATGACAAGACGATAAAAGTAGAGTATAGCAAGTCGCTCTCACGTTGGCCATCTTCCTGAACGCTGCCATCTGGGGACACGACGATCGCCTTCAGGGTTAGACTCTTATCCCCGTGGTGGGCGGACCCATCCAGTTCCACGACGAACGGTGGTGAAGTTCGGAAGATGTGAAAGTGAAGGATAGTCTGAGCAAGCGAAACCATTTGCAGCCATAAGGTGTGGGCAACTTAGATGAATTTTGGACTACGTGGGATGTCCAGGCTCTGGGCAATCGCCTGCGGCGAGTGCGCGGTGGAAGAGAGGAGAGCGTGGTAAACCTTGTACCGGCATAACCGGTCCGTTCCAAGGGTAATGTAAATTCGAGTGGATTTGGGACGGTCGACTGGGAGCGCTGGCTATAACACGCTTACGACGTTCCCAGATTTTCGCATTGCAGTTTGGACAACCACCACCATGTCGGGTACTGACGCCAAATTTCCCATCGACCTCAAACAGCTCAAGCAGTACGTGATTTCCGAGCTCTGCAGATAGACGGGGAGGCTAACCGTGTCTCCGATCTCGATCCTAGGCTGAAGCTCGACCCGAGCAATCCCCAACTCACCGATGAGCAACTCTCAACGCTCAAGCACAACATTCAGCTGATGCGGGATGCCATCGTGCTCTTTACTGCCACTGGTGCGGCGCGCGGGGTCAGCGGGCATACTGGCACGTAACGCCTAGTCGTTTTCGACGTGCTGAGATAGCTGATGCCCCCAGTTCAGGCGGTGCATATGACACAGTGCCTGAGGTTAATATGCTGTTATCTCTCTTCAACCACTCAAATAAATTCGTGCCAATCCTGTTTGACGAAGCCGGTGAGTGCCCCTTTTCCATTGAGTGATGATCTGCGTTGTTTGGCCCGCATGTCATCACAGACATTGTGTGTCTGTCGTTGCTGGCTCCTATCCTTGCTAAATTGAGTATACCATGCAGCATTGACACGCTACTTATTGTACAGGTCGCGTTAGGGTGAAGTCGCTGACCATTTCTTTCCATCAGGTCACCGTGTCGCTACGCAGTACCTTGTTTCCGCCATCGACGGACACATCCCCCCTGAGCATCTTCTTCACTATCGTGAAGCAAACTCCAAGCTCCCTGGTCATCCTGAGCTCGGTCTCACTCCTGGAGTCAAATTCTCGTCCGGCCGTCTCGGTCACGTCTGGCCATGGATCAACGGTGTCGCCCTCGCTAACCGTGACAAAACTGTCTTTTTGCTCGGCTCTGACGGTTCTCAGCAAGAAGGCAATGATGCTGAGGCTGCCCGTCTCGCCGTCGCTCAGAACTTGAACATCAAGCTGATCATCGATGACAATGACGTCACCATCGCCGGACACCCCTCTGAGTACTTGAAGGGCTATGACATCGGCAAGACCTTGGCTGGTCACGGCCTCAAGGTTGTCACCGTCCAAGGAGAAGACACCGCCGCCCTCTGGTCCGCCTTGGTCGAAGTCATCAACTACGATGGCCCTGCTGCCGGTACGTGTCCAAGTCAGCCGTATATACGCGCGCCGCTAACTATCGCTCAGTTATTGCCAAGCGCCTGATGGCTCCTGGTATTGCCGACATAGAGGGTACCCCTCACGGTCACGATGTCGTCCCCGTCAAAGCCGCCCTTAAGTACTTCGAGGCTCGCGGATTCCCTGCCGAGTTTGCTGGTAACATCCTCAACAACATCAAGCCGTATGCTCTTCCCTACCTCTATATCGGCTCAACCAAGGAGCTTGGCGCTAACCGTGTCATTTTCGGTGAAGCGGTAAATGGTGTACTCGACAAGCTCGGGAAGGAAGAGGCCGCCAAGAAGGTTATGGTCATCGACAGTTAGTGGCAAGACTCCTGGATGCTGAATTTGAAGCTAATCAGGTTCTTTAGGCGACCTTGAGGGTTCTACTGGCCTGAAGGTCATCCACCAGAAACACCCAGAGGTTTTCATTCCGTCTGGTATCATGGAGCGCGGCAACTTCAGCGCTGCCGCCGGCTTCGGTTTCGACAAAGACAAGTTCGGTGTCTTCTCGACCTTCGGCGCTTTCTTGGAGATGGTCATCTCCGAGATTACCATGGCACGCCTCAACTTCTGTAACGTTCTCTGCCACTTCTCGCACTCCGGTGTTGACGAGGTTTGTGCCTATTGTTTTCTCGAATGAGGATTTACTAACAGTTTGTGGCGCAGATGGCGGACAACACCTGTCACTTCGGTATCAACCACTTCTTCGCCGACAACGGTCTCGCTGACACCGAGTCATATCTCTACTGGCCTGCGGATGGCGCCCAGATGATCAAGATCGTCGAACGCGTTTTCTTCGAGCGTGGCCTTCGCTTCGTTTTCTCCACTCGTTCTAAGGTCCCCTACATTCTCAAGGAGGATGGCCAGACCCGCTTGTTTGGTGACAACTACCAGTTTGTTCCTGGCAAGGACGAGGTCATTGCTGAGGGAACCGCGGGATACGTCGTCTCTTTCGGGGACATGGTCTACCGCTCTTGGGATGCTGTCCTTCGCTGCAGACAGGAGGGTCTCAACGTTGGTCTGATCAACAAGCCGACGCTCAACATTGTCGATGAGGAGGTACGTGCACGTATACAAATTCTCAGTTGTGTTACTCAATCCCTTCCTCCATAGACGATCAGGAAGGTTGGTTCCAGCCCCTTCGTCCTCGTTGTGGAGTCCTTGAACCAGAAGACTGGTCTCGGGTTGAGGTTCGGTACCTGGCTCTTGGAGCGTTCTCTCACGCCCAAGTACGCCTACATGGGCACCAACAAGGAGGGCTGTGGCGGCCTTACCGAGCAGATCCCCCACCAGGGTCTCGACCCCCAATCGATCATCCTCAAGATCCGCCAGCTTTCGCAGGGATCCCAGAGGGCGTAGACAAAATAACAATGTTCCTGGCGTTGTCCCAGTGTACAGTAGGATAGAAGGATATTCGCTAGAAAGGAAACAGCCAAAGTGTACTTACTCACAAACAAACCAATTGTTCTCGACGCGTAGTGCGCAGGAGACTTACGATTGTTGTCGAAACAGCCAGTCAATATTATTTGCAGCAGGTCTAATTGGATTCGAGCGGGCTTGCTCGGGATTCTCTGCTGGGGAGATTATCTAAGTGGGAGAATTACTACATATGGTAAGAGGATCCGATTATCGGGTGAATGGGGATTTCACGGGGAGGGTTACCAAGTTTCCCACAGTCTGCCTTCATTTGCGACAATATCCTTACCCTCGAAAATATATCCAACAAGTCCTCGTCCTCGAAATTGTTACGAAAATGTGAGCAACATTTCTTGTTTATCTCTTCGAAATAACTTCATGTCATGGCTGCATGGCTTGTCCGCGACATTCATTCATCGCCCGTGCATTGGTCCATGTCATCACCATCCCTTCATGTGAATCACCTACGTTGCGGGCTTTATTGGGTTGCAAGAACTCATGAAGGCCGATGTACGACGGAGAATAGTGTAGCTGGACGGGTTACGCTTGTGCTTTGAATGTCTGTTTCGTATGGTGTTTCCGCTTCACAAAGGATCTGTTGACAGCTGTCATTCGAGTCCTCGTCGTGAACAAGTCTAATCGCCTTCATGACTTAGGGAGGGTCCTCTACCACCAGACAACACTGTCCACAGTATGACCGCCACCCTCGCCTCCCAGCCACTATCGCTCTCCGGGGGCACTCCGCAGCCCGGAGATGTAGTCGCTCACCTGCAGCCCCAAGCCACAGTTGTGCAGCCGGAACAGCCTGTGAAACGTCGTCCGGGTCGTCCGAAGGGTAGCGGCAAGAAGGCCATCGACCTCAGTACGGAGCCCAAGATCAAGCGTCCCGTTGGGAGGCCTAGGAAGGATGGTTTGCCTGCGGGCTCGGTGGGGCCGAAGAAGCCGGGCAGACCGAGGAAGAGGGCCCCAGGGAGTTTTGCCACTCCGACGAATCTGCAGTCACCCGGGCCACCATATCCAGTGCGTGGCGTCCCTTGCATCTGCTCCAGGTACCTAACTACCATACTTCGTAGCCCCCAGCATTCGTTGATCCAGCGCAATGGGCCTCGATATCGGCACCGATGGCGTCCCTGAGTGTGCGAGCACCTCCGAGTATGAACTTCCCCCTTGACCCCAGCCTCGATCGCGACAACTGGGCCGAGCTCGCGAGACACCGTACGGACGCGTTCTTGCACGCTTTGGTGACCGCGCTCTCCGCCCCCAACCCGGTCTCCGCTGCGGGCTCGAGCGTTGAAGATGCTTTTCGGGCACACCTGGCGTCGCTGACTCCGAACCCAAAGAATAACAACATGCCCAGCATTCCTGCACTATACTCCATCCTGAAGACCTTTTGGCTGCCGTCTTCGCCTGCCTACTTCGCCCTTACGGCATCCGCGTCGACCCAGCGAAGCACCCCTTCTGAGTATCGTTTCCTCTACTGGGACCCCCAACCACTTGTCTTCAACGGCATCGCCTGTCCCATCTGTGCGACGCCCCTCATTAACAAGGGCCGTATCAGTTCTGGGCCGATCAAGATTTACGACCTCGGCAAACCATTCTTTATCATAGGCTGCGAGTACGTCTGCCGCTCGCTGGTGTGCCTGCCCGGACAGCAAGGAGAAGGTCGTCGCTTCGCAAGCACAGACACTTCCATCTTACGCGCTCTTCCTACGAAGCTCAAGGACGAGTTCCCGGCGCGGCTCATTCAGGGTGCCGGACCGACTCCTGATATGGGACCCGGTGCGGACGTCTGGAGCTGGAGGGGCATGGGGGTCTCTACTGGGCTCTGGGACATGGTCAGGGTCTCGTTGCGTTCGGGCTTGCATAAGGATGTTATCTTGGGTGTCGTTCACGCGGTGATACAGGGGCTGCCAGACGAGCCCTGGGCCATGCAACCATCACAGCTCGGGATGGAGGAGAAGCGGGACAATGCAGAAGAGCCCGAAGCGGCCGATATGTCCAACACTAATGAGGGCCAAGGTCCGTCTAATGAGGATGATGAGCAGGAAGTTGATAACACACTAAACAAGGGGGTGCGTGCGCTGCTTGATCATGCAATTCTCGTCCAAGCTGATTTCTCCTCAGGGACCTGAAACCGAGGAATTCCAAGAAGCCTGGGCTACTCAGAATAATCAGCCTGAGGCAAGTGGTAGCACCATGCCTGAGGCTGGGCCAAGCGACCCAAACATGAATAATCAAGTCGCCGTTCCGCCTCCCCCTGCAGACTACAACCCATACGCGCCTCCGCCCAATCCCTATGGTATTCCATTTGGCTACCCGCCTTATGGATACTATCCGCCCCCTCCCGGGCACCCGCCTCCTCCTCAACCTCCCAGCACTCTGAAGAGGACGTTCGCTTTGGTCGACAGTGACGGAACTGAACCTACCCCGCGCCGTGTGCGGCACTGTGTCAAGTGCGGCTCGAACGAGTGTAAGGGTAAAGGTGGCCGCACCTTCTGCGTGAACCCTTGCCAGGATTGCGGGAAGTTGGATTGCAAGGGTAGGAATAGCAAGCGCCCAGACCGAACATGCGCAGATGCTTGGTCGCCCACCGAATCGTCGTCGTCGTAAGATCGCGATCTGCTGTCAGCGACGTGCATGTATGTTTTCCGCACTTATGGTCGCGATCACGCCTTCATACCTGTACTTCTACAAAATTTGAATGACAAATGAGAGCTGCACTGCTATGCTATGCGTGTCGACTTGAGCGCCACAGTGACCCTTTGATACGAACGTTCCTCACATGAGTGCGGAGTTGGAACTTCGTCCTTGCTACCGAACCACCGCTAGCTGTCGCCCACATTCCCGTCCTGCTGTATGGACGAACGCCGGCTACGCCTAGCAAGCGATAAAGCGTGCAGCAGATTGTCTGTCCTATGCCGCAATGTCTCACAGGTATCTCATAGACCTGACAGCTTTGATGCCGCTTTGACTTTGACGACCCTGAAGACGCGCTTTTGCAGCTCGACCTCGGCCTTTCAACTAGCAAACGTCGAGCCCAGCAGTCCACCCGACATCCGACGCGCAGCACCCAGAGAGATGTCTTAACACCCCGCACGTGTTGACGCTGTACGCCCCACCCCTCGCACGCTCTTCGGATCTGTCCAGGTGGAAACCCCCCAGGACCGGCCGATGCTTGCCGCCCCGATCAGCGACGACGCCTTGCAGCGACCAGTCCAGACCCCGTACTGCGTGCCGATTGGCGACTCGACTCGCCCTTTCCCTGATGGTGAAAGGTTCCCCGCAGCGGCTGAGTGGCTCCTCCCCCACAGGACACGCCGGGCTACACTGGGCCCGCCCACGCCAGCCCGTGTTCCCTTTTGGTCCTTCGACGGCGACGATGGAGGTGTTTTTGAGTTTCAGGAGCTGCCCGTAGGTGGGGCCTCGCGACCCGCGGCGGTGACAGTTGTACATACCGCGTACACAACATCACACAAGGTACGCCGCGCACCCTTTTCTGTCAGCGCCGCTTTTCTCACGCGTTTCTCGATTTTCGACACGTTCATCTGCGGGGAGTGAAGCCGCCGGCAGATGACACGAATGGCCAGTTACAACACCTTGGTACACGTCTGCGACGACGGCTATCTGCCGTTTAGAGTTGGTACCACCCGCAAGGCGGCGTTCTGATTAGCTTGTTCAGTTTACCGTAGTGTAAGTTGTTTGTTACCAAATATGTCGGGGTGTAGGTTGGAATTGGATTATTAATTTTTCACACGACTGTTGAAGAAAATGTTGCAAGACTACGAAGATCATCCTTCGAGATTTCTTGGACCGACACCCTCCAATGTCATTTTCCAGGGCACTTTATCATAGAATAGAAAATACTCTCGAAAACTATAATACACGTTGAACAATCACGTTGAGAAAGACAACTAGACGTAGAGGAGGAACGGAACAGAAGTGGAAGATGCTACATATTAGCGGCCGACGACTACAATAAGTGCCAGAAGACACGAGACAGCTGACTTGGGGGAGAAAATATTCGTGCGATATATGCTGGTACGAGCCGCCCGTATCACATTCTAACGAGGGTCCAACGGCCTCGTACGCGCATGCAAAGAGGAAAAGGAGCTGACGAGTAAAATTTCATTAATACCGGTACGCATTCACGGGCGCGACGGCAACTGCACCTAGTCATGGCCGACTGCAGCGGGCCGAATCGGGGGAAGCGTGATGGCGTCGTCTGTGCGTGCAGGCATGCTGAACCTTCTGCGCCCGTCATAACCGCTCTTGGAGAACCGCTTCGACGTCGCGTCGTCCTCGTCGAGCTCGTCGTCCTCTTCGATAGCCTCTGACTCCTCCGAACCGTGACGGACGTCGTCCCAGCCCGCAGGGCCGAGTAACGCACGCTTGGCGTTCGGCGGGCCCAGTGTTTGAGAGGCTAGGCGCTTGAAGGACGGCCGGTACGACGCCGACGCCGCACTATCCGAGTCCGCACCAACCGACGACTCGCGCGGGGAATCAGAAGACGGCTCGGCTTGTTGGTGCATGCGATACTGGTCTTGAGCAGGATAGTGATGATCGTGTTGTTGCTCATGATGGTGCTGCTGATGCTGCTGCTGAGGCGACCCGAAGACATCTGCCAGACTGCTCGACAAGCTACTCGGCCGTTCGCGATTGAGTAAGTCGCCTATCTTGCTGGAGGGGTCGGATGTCTGCTGGTGCTGAGTTTGCCTGACTGAGGAAGGTATAGGGGTCAAATTTCCCACGGTACCAGCCGCCTGCGCAAAATGTGGCGGGCTCATGTTGACCTGTCTCTTGACGTCTGGTGCGCTGGAACCCGCAGGCATCGTGCCTCGTCGCTTCGGAACCAAGTTCAAGATTGTAGGCGCCTTCCTGGCCAAGACAGCCTGCTCGTAGCTCTTGAGGTCGTCGGCGTCCCCGTGCAGCGTCGTCCGCACGCTCGAGTACGACATTTGAGGATGCTGGCGCATGCGGTCGTCTTGGACTTGCTGGTCGACCTGGTTGGTCTGATGCTGGTTCTGTCGCTCGCGCGCTTTGGGCCCAAGACTCAGGCTGAAGCTGCCAGTGGGGGCAAAACTGTTGATCTCTTGCGTGGTACCCGGACCAAGGATCGGAGGGGTCTTCATGCTGGGCAAGCTCGCCACCCGAGAATGCCTTCTGCTCGGGCTTGGCCTGCCAGCGCCGGAGGTGATGCTAGAGCCAGCCATGCCAGCACCGAGCTGCTGTCCTGGACCGGTAGGTGTCTGCAGCGGGAAGAGAGGTGTGTTTGCTCCGGGACCAGTCAACGGCGTACGCATATACTGCTTCCAAAATTCCCTCAGCTCCTTCGAATCCAGCGCCTCTCTACCGCCTGCACTCAGCAGCCCTCCGTTCTTCAGTGACGCGATCAGCTCTGGTGTAGGTGTCGGTAAACTCAGGCCCATGTTGCTCGAGCTTCCGACTGACGACTGGCTGGTGTGGCTTGTCTGCGAACTGGCATCATTCGCCGACGCCTCTGTGTGCAAGGAAGTGCTGGATGAATTGGCACTATGGGTGTTGCCTTCGGCGTGCGCGAAGTGACTAAGTGCGGAGAAGAAAGGCGCGGAGTCATTGGCAAGCCCGGCCAGCACATTGGGATCATCCAAAGACATCAGACCAAAGGCGCTAGAAAAACCGCCCTCACCCGCGCCATCGTCTTTGCGTGCGTTGTTCTGGTATGGAATTGTCGGGCTCGCAGACTCTGCAGTGAACGGCCTACGCTGCGTATGATCCATCGGAAGATGCACGCTGCTGGAATTGGCCGAAGATGGGACGCTGACACCGCTGTCACTGCCATAGTCGTCGCTCAATTCCTCCGATCGTCTTTGATGACTGGAAGAGTGTCCTTGAGTGGTGTGATGCTGAGGGAAGGGTATGCCTCCACCGTAGCCTGCAGCGGTTGGGTTGGCATCAGAACCAGAGGAATGGCCAGAGGCACAGGATATGCCTGAGAATGGCGCTGCGTGCGTGGGAGGATGGGACGATAGCGCCGCGCTCCCTCCTCCCGCTGGAAAGGACTGGCCGTCATCGGCGTATTCTGCGAGGTCCTTGTCGGTGTACGGGTGTCCTGGCTGGCCCCATACCAGCGCTTGCGAAGACGCCAAGTTGTAGCGGGCGTACGTCGCGCCATCGGTGTTGTACATGCCCGGCATGACGGTACCAGCATTGCCCATACCGGCAAGTGCACCGTTTGGAAGCACTCCTGCCCGGCTAAGTAGCTCCGCCTGGGCCCGATATCGCGCCAGCATCTCAGATGTAGGTTCGGCTGCTTCACGAGCGCCAGTAGACATGGGGAGCGACGGCGCGGTCGACGGGCGAGGATCGTATGGGTTAGGCGCATACATTGATGCAGCAGAAAGAGGATAATCGGCCGGGAGGTACATAGAATTTAGTCCACCCTGCGCCGCACCCGGCGGCATGAGGAACTCCTCTGGGAGGCGTCCGCCGAGAGGCAGGGACCCACGATGAGACGAATTGGGTAGAGTGTTGGGGGGTGGATGCCCAGGCCCAGCAGGGGCGGTCTGGCGGTGGAATTTGACGTATGTGCATCGGCACTTTCGCTGAACGCACTTGGCTGCACAAGATCAGAAACATGATTAGGGCTATCTGGGTCTAGAACACTCGGACGTCCGACGTACAGCACGGGTTACAACCGTCACATGGGAGGCTGGAGGTGACACATTGATCACAAGCTTGCTTTGACGTGGTAGCTCTCGAAGCCGCAGCCGTCCCCTTACGTCTATTATTGGGGGCAGTCGTGGTTGGAGGCTTCTCTGACGCGTGGCACTTGTTTATGTGACGGGACAGGAGGTCACTGGTAATGACGATGTGGACAATTATTATCATAACAACTCGGAAAAAAGCGTGGACTGCACTTACCTGCGCGCAAACTGATCCCCACAGTGCTGACACTTATACGGCCGGTCCCCGGTATCTGTGCGAGAAAATAGCCGTTAACTCGGTCCTATAGCAAGGCGTTGGAGTGAGGACGGCGGCACAGCAGAGTCTTGAACATGATGAGGACGGAGGTCGCGCGTAGGTTGTGCCACAAGGTAGCCACCGTTCCCCACGTCATGACTGCCGAAGCTGCACAGCCTCTTGGGAAAAGCGCCATAGATATCGAGATGACTTACGAGAACGCATATGCCGAGCGACATGTTGAGGTCTTGTGAAGGTGGAATTACAGACGGGACACTGTGGAGAGAGACGAAGAACGTGAATGGGCGGGGTCGTTTGGTGTGGGCTGAATATATGGAGCGGGCGCATACCTTGTGATCGCCGGCCATACTGTATTGCTAGGTGGAGGTGTACGAGGAGTGGAACTTGCAAAGGAGACTGGGAGTCGGGGGAGGAGGCGGTGTGCAGCGAGAGGAGAGGAGAGGAGAGGAGAGGAGAGGAGGAGTGGATTATTGCTGATGGCTTCTGGCGGAGGGACTGACTCGCACCGTCGTCGTGGAGAGAGAGACACAAACAGTGGAGCAGCGCTACAAACAACAACACATCATGTCACGCAATCACACCCATTCCGTCACTCGGTCCAAACTCAGAAAGCATGACACCATATAAAGAAGCTTATATTTGCAACGGGTCACAGACGTGACAAAGTGTGGAGCTATGACGCAATGGGTTACCTCTCACTGACGCGAGATCGTGGCAGAGATCAATCCGCTGCATACGTCATCCATCATCAGCTTCTCAGGGCCTTTTTTCCGCAACGATCTCTGCACTCACCTCGGCGCTGCGACGGGCACGAACACCTCTGCGGACGACCTGGTCAAATGAAAATCATGAGCACTTTGACAATTCGCGGAGGGGACAAAGAAAAATGGCTGGCAACATGTTCCACACACGTCACGCTTCACCGCCGGTATGTTTCGCGTATCACGCGGGCAAAATCAGCGGAAAATGCCAGAAAAGAAATAATCATGGGGCAAGAGCCCGCGCCCTGCCACCCCTGCAACAGCCCCCGGGACACGCCCCTTCCCAACAGAACGGCAACCAATGGATCGCAATTGCAATCTCTCGCCATCTGCAAAAGATCCTCCCCCGGATAACGCTAGTCCAACCGCAGCGCGCCGAACCCTGCAGGCTCCCCCACTTCCGGAAGCAAAAATACGGCGTGCGAGCGCGCACCCATCTGTGCCCCGCACGCACACACATTCACATTCAACAGCTGGTCCTATCGCTAGCCCCAGTCGTCACCGACGTTCACATGAACGCTCTGCCTCGTACAATCAAGCCCGTGACACCGGCGCAGCAGGCCGCGCTCCGGAAAACAGCAAGGAATGGACTTATCCATTACCGGCCGTGTGTGGTGAAGCAACTCGACGCGGTGGAGCATGCGCAACCTCGGAAGCACGCGAACACAAGACACCACAAGTGGCGTCGTGCATTAAAGACTGAGCTGATCGCCCCGGGTAATCTGTTCTTCCGCTCAGGTTCCCGCTCCACGAGGAAGCGAAGAGGCAAATGAACACCGGACGTCAGCGCAGGTTGGGTGCGCGACCCCAACGCGAAATGAAGTAGGTAGAATAGCACTGTGCCATGCGCTGCCCATTCACACGAGATCTATGGCTGCAACTGTCGTGCTGCGAAGAACTGTGTGATCGTGGCACTGCCTGAGCGGAATATGGCAGAGACCAACCTCGCCGAAGTGTTTCACGAGAGAAGATAGCATGAGAATGGTATGAAGCTCCGTTCTCACAACTACTCCCTAAAACAATTAAGCAGCAGGTACGCGAACGACGCCCTGCTTCGCAGGGAGCAAATGCTGCGACCACAAGAGAAGCGGAACAAAAACGCGCTGAGAAAACGGGCAAGGGTCTCGCATTCAATGCAAAGGCACCCTCGACCGACGAAAGTTCAACAGATAGCCAATAAGAATATTGGTTACTGCCGCCAACCCTGTTCACAGAGCTGTCAAGGAACCGCGGCCAATCACAAACACGTAGAGAAGATGACGAAAAGTTGAAAGGTAAAAGTAGTCATATGACACATCCCGATATTGGACATGCGCAACGTGACGAATCCGCAAACAAGTCCGGGGAAGCGGACCAATTGCATGCGAAGCGTGCAACGATGCAAACAAACAAATGACCACGGGAGAAGATAAGCTCGGCAAGAATACCGACGGAGGCATTCGGTCAGAAATAAAAACAGGTGCGATAGCCAATAAAGGCGAGCACGATACATAACCTCGGGTGTAATGCGCCGAGGCAAGGCATCGCCCGACGCTTTGTATGAGGAAGGCAGATAAGGTCCAGCCATGAGGCGGGATTGAAATTCAGCTGTGCAGCTGTCAAAGAGACTAGTGATGGCGGCAAAGCAGACAAGGCAGCATGATCCAAAAAAAGAGAGAGAGAAAGAGAGAGGAGGGGGGACGTACGGAGTCAGGTTATCGATCCCGACGTAACGCATGTCTACCGGGATGTAGTGCTTGTTGGGAAGGCTGTACGAGACCGTCTGGACGAGGCTGTTCTCCGCCAGGATTCGCTCAGCCATCTTGTACAGCGACGCCTATGATATTGACACACATCCATTGAGTCCTGGAACATGACCTGGGCCGGTAGATTAGAGATCCTTACCTGAACGCTGTCGCTGTCGTCCGTCGCGAAAATTTCGAGGGTAGCGACGCGTGCCTTCTGAACGACGACATTCCCGTCCCAAGCCGTGCCTTCGGCGCTCAAAGCGCTTGGCAGCTTGAAGGAATCCACGACCGCGTTCTTCGGGACCGTAAACGACGCAAAGGTGTACTTGAGGTCGACAGACGTGGAGAAAATCCGATCGTTAACCTCAACAAGGGTCGTGTGTTCGTCTCGAATAAAGTTTTCGAACTTAGAGCCGGCGGATTTCAGCACTAGAGATAAGTGAGTTGATAGAAGTCCTCAGGTTGACGTTGATACTGCACCAAGAAGATCTGAGATGCCGGCAGAGACAGTGACGGTGATGTTGTCCTTGCCCTGAGAGGCGTCTACCTAAATGGAACCTAAGCACTTGCCACATGGTAAGAAGACATTGCCAACGTACTTCAACATCAACCAGACGCTTCTCGTCACCGTCCCTCCAGAAGGAGTGGCTGTGCTCCTTGCCGTTCACGTCGATGCGCTTCCAGCGGAGCTGTTCGATGGTGATGAAGGCCTTATGAATGTGATCGTACTTCGAGACTAAATAGGTGCCAAGGTGCATTCCAAAGCGTTCAGGGTGTAAGATGTGCGGAGACGTCTTCGCAAGATCTGTGATGGTAAACCGTCGGAGACATGGAAGGAATACGAGAGTAGCTGGCTAACGCACGATATGTAATGTTCTTAACTGCAGCAAAAATTAGGACTTGTGATCAAAATCAACACAATCGAACAACGTACTAGAGTCGGTGGCGACGATGACAGAATTATCTCCCTTGGTGTACCTGTGGGTATGTGCACTCGTTAGTAGCCGTCATTCTAACAGACTGCACTGATTCCGCGCATCGCTACAGCCTCTCCTAACGTCGCCACGTTCAATTCAACACTCACGCGACATCGATATCACCTTCCAACAAGGACGTGACATTGTACTCCACGATAGTATGCCCGTTGGCCTCGCGCACAACATCAGCTTGAAGTTGTGTCAGTGTCCACTGTCCAAAGCAATTCTCAGATTATTTCGCCAGCTTATTTCTCAGGTGCCGGCTGAGCGCTGAACGTTGAACGTTGAACAGCGGCACAGCGTGATGGCGTGATGGGGGATAAGCAATATTCCGCGCGCATTCTCAAGGCTACCTGCCAGATTGAGAGGCTTTCATGCGACTTCGAGTGCGCTGGCTGCCGAATTCGCAGGGGCTAGCACCCCTCCGCCCGTGCACATCGACACTGTGGCCGTTAGCCAAATGAAGGGAACGTCCAACCCTTCCTCGCCATAGCTCTTTGCTCGCTGAGGATGTGGACCCGAAAATCGCGGCGCTGCTCACTGCGCGCTGAGCGCTGGGCGCATGCATCACATGATCCCATGCAAGGGCGACGCGATTAGATTTATGGCTTGCGACGCTATCAAATCTGTAGCCTTGACACAAGTTTCACGAGGACCAAAAATGTGTTATTTATGAATAAATATTTAGGCACCGCGGCAATTATTTCCACTGACACAAGGGTGGACAGCGTCGGGCACTGGGGCGGCGCATCACTTCTATCTTTAGTACTTGACACTGCCTTTCTGGAGGGGTTCAGCCAATCACGACAGTAATTCCCACGACTGATTGCGCGACTGGATGCGGTACTGGATGCGGTACTGGAGATGATGTCCAGTCGCACCTCGCGCAGAACTGGATGCGGGTTTTGCCCGTTGTGTCACTCGCTCATTTGTAATTGTTATCATGTTTTCCTCCCACACATCTTCTGGTGCATGATACTCCGTTAGCTGCCGTGCTCGAAGCCAGAGTCAGTATGTTTCAGCTTGCTCTAGGAACATGTAGCAAGTACTTATGTCGTAGAGTCGAGCCTTGTTGAGTGATTTTCCCGAGCTTTCAGAGGGGCCTTGTCTCGGCAACACTTCTCAGGATTTGTGTTAAAGACTATTCCAGACTGGCGGAGGCCCATTGTCTGACTCCTTTTGTCTCCCTTGGTACATCCGCTTCCTCTGCGCAGTCGGTCTCCTTATCAGCTCATCCGACCACTCTACGCGAATTGGTATATGTAGCTCGCTCTCTCAGCGACCTGGCTCCTACATTGCTAACTACTGAACAGACCACCCAGTCCTCAACTACCGACCCTCGAGATGTCCTCAGCTAAGCTTACGCACGCTCGCTACGGAAAGCAGGCCATTCGTGTCTTCCGTGTCCAGTCGCACCTCGCGCGGAACTGGATGCGGGTTTTGCCCGTTGTGTGAGCATGTTGTACGCGAAAAAGAGGAGACGATGTTGGGACCCGGAGAAAGGGCCGGGGAAGCCGCCCGTTACCTCCGCAAGAGCACGTGGCAGGGCGGCTTGTCCCGGAAGCCGCCTTTTCGTTGGCTCGTCACCGTCACCGTCGTCGTCGTCGTCGACGTCTCTATACCACCTCTTATCACACCATCCCAGGCGTCGTCGGCCGTTGACACGATGGTCCGCCCGGCATCCCGCATCGCTCAGCCCCTGAGGCATCGTCTCCAATTTCAGCAGACGCGCTTTGCGTCCACGAACTCCAGCACTGAGGCTGCCCAAAAGAAGGCCCAGGACGCGTTCGCCTCCGCCCAGAAGTACGCGGGGCAAGCCGCTGAGAAAGGAAGGAAGTTTTTGGGCCCTGTTGGCGACAAGTTTGCCAACGTTTTCGGTGGTATGTACTGCGCTATATTGCATATAAGCTGCATTGACTCACGGACACTTCCCGGCGCAAATGACCCATTCTCTGCATGGTTATAACATTATAACGTGCTGCTATGGCTGAATTAGCTTACCGCGAGCCCCTTGCCTTCAACTTCCGGGTCGCACGCGAGTTCCTCAAGCAGATCTATGTCGCGGAGCGCCTGCAACCTCCCTCTCTGTCCACCGTTCAAAACGCGTACAACACAATATGGTCCCGTGCATCCAACCTCTCGTACTGGAGGGAGATCTTTCGCACCGGAGAGTACGCCAAGATTGGTATTTATGCTTTAGAGGCGTATGGTATCTTTAAGGCGAGTCCTCGTGTCATCTCCGTTTCGGTGACCTCGAGAGCATTTTCTGAACCCGCCGCCTAGGTTGGGGAAATCGTTGGACGGAGAAGTTTTGTAGGATACAACATCCAGTAATTGCACGCGCGAGGCCCTGTCTGTGCCGTCACAAAATACACTTAGAGCTGAGGGCGTGTTCAGACGTCGACTGCGATCACGCGACTACATTTTCTCTTGCTCTCCCGAGCGATACTGGACATTGAACTTACTGCATGGAGCATGGTTCATTTCCTTGAAGGAAACGCCGTATGCGCGCGTTGCCTGCGTTTCCGATATGAATGAATTGCGACGGGCTGGTAAGCGAACGGCAATATGCTGAATGCGCTGAAGTTTTTTAGATGAAGGGCATAAATTCGTAAGCGTTTGCCGTTCCTGGTTCTCTTGTTGGCTACCCTTTTATAACAGACAAGGCGCTACACGTGGTGTTCGCGCATTGTGCGTGTTTGTTCGCATAATTGGGACACGGCCACTTGACCCGTTTTATGACAGGGTCCAGCGGCTCGATATCAACTTGTTCTGCAACGACCATCTTGTCTCCGTTTGCTTCGGCCACGCCTGTCGACTGTGAGGCTCACGATTATCGGTATCACATGCTCGCATTTGGGACTAACCTTCCTTCCACAGACCTGAAATGAAACCACGAATTTTGCGCTCCCTTGAGGGCAAGATTCATCGAAACTACAACATCGAGAACTTCGTACGACACGTCTGGCAAGGCGAAGTTGATGCACATAGGCTGTCTCCCGATGTCCGGCTCACTCTACCTAAAGCCCTCCGAAGTATATTCAGGCGTCTAATACTGTTGCGGCCGTGCTAACATCGCGTGTTAGGACTGCTTGGCTGCTACGACGAGCGGATACTACGACGAATCAAGCTCAAGACTCTTACGGAAGACGAGCTTGACCATGCACATGACCTGTGGAAGGAGACAACATCCTCCGCTTTCGCGTTGGATATGCAGACTCACGATTGGGAGGAGGTCAAGTGCATCCGGTGGACACACTGGCATCGCGTGAAGGCCTTCGTCCACGTAGTCAAGAGCGACGAGCCATCTTCAGACGAGTGTATTCAACAGCCGGTAGCCTCCAGGTCTTCGAGGAAGGACGGGCTCACTGGTGCCGAAGCACAGACGTTGCAGTACGTTTTGCCTCTCATGTCCTCCAGCGCGCGGGGTTGGACAAGCGGTATCGTTATCCGTGATCACGAGGCCACCTTTTGGTACATCGACCGTATGGGCGTCGTCATCTCACAGACCTTCAACATCTTCCTCGAACCATACCATCTGTGGAGCGCCGGTCTTGCCATCGCGAAGGCTGCCACTACTTCCATGGGTATCTGCCCGCTCATCACCTTCACATCCCCCGACGAGATCGACTTCCGCAAAGCACGGTTGGATGCGGTCGATCTTCGCGATGCCGAAGGCGTCCAACTTGATGCCATCACGCTCAAGTGCGCAGGCGATGAAAAGGTGCCGCTCACTGTCACTGCGATCGTCGGGCGTGGCACAACGGTCTTCAGTGCGCTGGCCGCCGGAAAGACCAAGCAGCTCTTTGGCACTGATCCTCTCGTCGTCAAGATGTCCTGGTCACCTGTTCATCACCATGCAGAGGATCAAATCATTCGAGCAGTGCGACGGACGCTTAAGAAGCGCAAGCCTCAATACCTCCCATCTATCCCCGAGTTGAAATGCTCGCTAGATCTATCGGTGGAGGACAGTGGCCTCCCACGGGCCTCTTTCGGATTGCCCCTTCCGTCTGAAGAGCGAATCTTCCGTTTACAAGTAATGGAGGAGTACCTGCCTCTGACGGCGGTCGGCGACGTTGAGGAGTTCAAGATTGTATTCCTGGATGCTGTCCAAGGTAAGTCACATCGAATGCCTTCACAAGAAGCCCTGTTGAATCCGTGTCTCACAGCACATCACTGGGTATATGAGATTGCCAATATCCTGCAAATGGACATCAGCCTGGAAAACATTATGATTGCCGAGCGCGACGGGCAGATCCACGGTGTCCTGGGCGACTGGGATCTCGCAGGCGCACCTATCCCACATAACCAGCCAAGAAGTGAGCGGAAGCGTCTCGGTTCCCGACCTTTCATGTCTGCGGACTTCTACGCCTCCTGGTGGACCGGCGAGCACTTCTATCGGCACGACCTGGAGTCGTTTTACTACGTCCTTGCAGCGTTCTGTGCTGGCTTTGATCCGGAAAGTCATGCCGTGCGCCTGCTCGACGACTGGCTCGCTGAGGCCCAGAATGGGAAGGCTGACAGGAGGAGGTCATTGGCGAAATATCATGACGCTTTCTTTCAGTACGCTGCACCGGATTTCCGCGAGCTCGCCAATACTTGGGTTGTAGCGCTGAGCAACCTCTTCCACAAGACGATCGGCGTTACCTACGCTCAGCTTAACTCCATGCATGCCATATATCTCAAGGCATTGAAGGACGATGACCCCGATTTGGCGGCTGATACGGAAGATCTCATGTCCAAGTACATGGATGATCGGGGGAGGGATGTCATGTACCGCAAGTTTCTGCAGTGTCTCGGCGTCGACGACCCCGCATGCAGGTGTATTCACTAGGACTCTTGGTTTGTGATCTCAATGTGAGCTCAATGTACAGTAGCATCCACGAATTTATCATTATCGTTATGTCCAGGACACAACTCGCGCTCTTCAGTAAAACGTAAGTGAAGGTATAGTACAACGTCTGACACACTGACGCCCGTCGCCCAGCATTGTCCTTTCGTCATCGACGAGCGTCCTCAGTGCCCTTGTAAGCCTTCCTGTTCTTCCTCCTCTCGATCCACAGGAATACTGACTCCTTGAACTCAGCCTCGCTCATCTCCAGTTCCGGCGAGAAGAGGTTCGTTGGAAGGTAATAATGGGGTTCCTCCTCATCTGCAAAAGGTTCGAAGCGCAACGCGTTTGTGCAGTGCAACGCTCTGCCGGAAGACGAGTCCGAGTCGTACGCTGCCCACTCGGGGTCCGGGAACGCGACCCGGCCGTCTTCCAGCGCTGAGGACGGCAGACACCCAATACGAGGCGCGCCAAACGGAGTGAACGGCGACAGCGAGGTCAATGACCCGAAGATAGAAGGCGATGGAGTGCGAGGGGATAATTCGTCGCTGCGGATAGACGACTGCGAGCGACTGCGGCTTCGACGGCAGCCAAGGAGCGGAGGCGAGATCGCCTTCATAACCCGCTCAGCAGCACGAGGAACCTCTTCAACATTATACGTCGTGGAGTTGCTGCCGTCCGAGCACGTATTGATCACGGCTGTGACCCTTATCCTTCGTGGAGTAATGGGAGAGGGAAGGGCAGGCATGGGAGTACGAGAAATATCGTCAGACTTCAAGTCTGCGAGGATGTCGTTGCCTGGACTGGCCAGGTAAGTAGTGTCGAATGCAAAAGACATTGTCGTCAGAGGCTGATAGTGCTGATAGTAGCAGTAGATGAATTTGAGGACTTAGCCATGAGACGAGGCCCGCCTTTTATGTCGCGTCCAGAGCAACCAAATAAACAGCGGAAAGCATACATTTGGTTCCAGCACGGCAACGAGACTCTCAAAATTGTCTTTTCTCGACAAGTTGAGAATGCGATATTCAAAATGGACCGTAGGATGAATCGACGCGTTATAATCGAGACCAAGTTCGCAGTCCCCTCGCGCGTCGACGTACCTTGGTCGTGGCAACAGAAGTCGGCGCTTCCGAAATATCGACAGCTTGTTGGGTGTCTTTCGACTCGCAGTTGCTCTGTCTGCGCCTGCCAGGACCTGGCTGCACCAGAAGCGAGGCTTCAGGGAAGAACATCTCACGAGAAGGCCAATATCCAATTATTTCAATCCCAACCACTACACTTGCCAAACTGAGGCTGGCCGCGGGAAGCACGCTATCCGCCCGTCGATCCTCCCGACACCCTTCCTAATTCGCAATATCCGACACCCAACCTGGTCTTACGATTCCTCGACGGCAGCAGTGAAGAACAGGATACCAAAATCCTACCATCCGTCTGTCCCGCTGATCACAAACAAGTACAACGCCGCGAAACACATAAGAGGGCCCTATGCTCGCTAGTGGACGACAACATCTCTTGCTTTCACTCTACCACTACAAAGTTATTGATTACCACTGTCATCTACTGTTTAAACATGAAGTACTATCGTCACGATGCCCGCGGCGAGTACAGTGAGTATCTCCAACGCTATCGTGTTTTGTCAGCATATCACTCAACTTTTCACAGGGGTCTATAAGGTGATCACCATGGGCCGCACCCTGTACATGCGCTTGAATACTATCGAAGAGGAACCGGAGCCGGAAGAGGTGCTTGGGGGCAAGGGCGCATTCGCGGCGCCATATCCATTCAAGCCCCATGTGCCTACTCCGTACTTCACGCCCGAATTCTTCTTCGATCCAAACTCGCCACCGTCGACGCCGAGCCCGCTGGAAATTGCCATGTGTATCGCGCACAGGGTTCCAGTCCGGTGGAGGCGTCCGGTGCCCCCTGCACCACGGGTGACGCCCGTCAAAGCATTCCCAGCCTTCCTGGACCACACCCCGTCATCCAGCCAGGCTTGGGCCAATATGCTCAGGATGCAGTTGGAGAGCGATGGATTCCATCGTAGCCGTCATGTCGGGCTGGGGTTCGACATCCCGGAACTTTCAGATCGGTCGCTTCACATGAGCTTGGAGCGCCCGCCAGTTCCCGACCTGCGATCCCGGCCTACAATTTTGACATGTTAGGCACGATGCTACCCGTTGTGTTTCATTTGTCTAGCAGGCTAGACAAGCCAACTATAATCACCCTATCTTTTACCTGCTCGTGTGATGTGAGAGATGATGTTTCAATTCAGTCTGAGTCTGTACTAGTCCGAACTTGAACGCATAGTTTGGGTCGCGCAAGTATGACACCAAAAAATCTTAGGGAAAAAAGGAATGGAAGCCGAAAATCTGCGTACGCACGCGGTGCGCAAGGCGGTGCGTCAAGTCGTTTGGAGATTTTGGCGCCTATTTTTTTCCGCAGGTCCACTGATGCACGTCTCGACGTCGACCGCTGAGCGCTGATGGCGGGTCGTATGCTGCGGAGTGGTTTACACCGTTGGCGTCGTTAGTGGCAAAGATGATGTGCAAGCTGGAAGATAACTGCAGTGAATAATTACGTTTGGAACAGGCAAACTGACTAGTTGGTTCAGGTATCATCATTGCACAGAATGGTCCAAGCACTCCTTTCTAATATTACAAGATCACCGTGATATATCCGCAACGATTCTTTTATACATGTATGACACTAGGCGACAACATCTACACGAACAGCCAGCGACCACGCTGCTCGGCCCACTTGGAGAGCTCTTCCGTGCTAACAGCAGCGAAGTCGTCACGAAGCAGGGGTGTCTGGGCGGGGCCCTCGGCAGGAGTCTCAGGAGGCGTCAAGGGCGTCACTGACTCTGCAGGCTTTGTGAAGCTCTCGTGCTCGTATGGGGACAGGATTCCGAGGCCCGAGCCGCCTACTGCGGTGAAGTAAGGGTCGAAGTTCGCGGCTGACAGGTCCTTGGCAAGGGCTTCCAGCTCAGACGCCGTGAACTCTGTGCGAACAGTGTAAGAAACCGACTCCCGTTGTCCTTGCTCTGAATACACGCACCATCAGGGACCAGAGTGACGGCGCAGCCGCCTCCGCCAGCGCCAGTGAGCTTGGTGCTCAGGTTGTAAGGCGCCGAAGCGCACTTGAGCCGGATGAGCTCGAGCGAGTCGTGAGATACGCCGAGAGACACCAGATAGCTGTGATTCTCCTCGATAAGAGCCTGCAGGGAGTCGTACGATATGTAAGCCATACTAGTGTCACGAGGGCAGATAACGGCGTACCGAAAGCGCACTGAGTAGCTGGTGACGAGAGAGTTCAGGGTCGCCCAACGCGCGCCTCGCCTCGTCGGAAATGCTTTGAATTGCCTCGAACATGCTGTTAACCAGATGAGGCTCCTACGGAGATTGTCAGAGGCCGGAAGTCGATGCACCAAGATTAAACATACCTCGAGCTTCTTCTGTGCAACCTTTGCCACTAGGGCCTTCGTATCTCGGCCGACTTTGGAGTCGGTGAGCAGGAATTTCAGCGATTTGAAGCTGCGGATCGGCCGTCATTGTTTGTTGCATCGTGATAGGTAAATAAAGACGTACCCGTTGATCTTCTCCACGCCGCTCTTTCGTCCGAAGCCAGGCTTCGTGTACGCCAAAGCGCCTCCAAAGACCGCGACGGTATTGTCAATACCGCTAGGGGTGCCGTGCAGCACCTTCTCGGAGACGAACGCCCACCGGTTTATCTCCTCGGAGGTAGCGGATGGAATCGCACGTCTGCCCTCGTGGTGGACGTGAACATGACCCGGGTCGTCGTCGGAGGGCGAACGACTCCTTTGTGGAAATGGAGGTATTTCGATGCGCTGGTGAAGGAGTAGAATAGCTGCAGCGGCGCACGCTGAGAATGCCGCAGACGATCCCAGACCGGCACCCACAGGTAGGGTGGAACGAATAGTAAGGTTGAAGGAAGGCCTTTCTCCGCCGTGCGTCATAGTCATGTAGAGATACAAGAAGGCAACCATGGCTGCATGAGCTTTTAGCGGCATCTTGTGCGTAGGCGGAAGGGCCCGCTCGTTAATCGCCTGTATCAATCCCTGATCCAGGTTCTCCGGATGTGTGTCCCCTGGAGGCACTGGAGAGACCGCATCCCATGGTAAAGTGTCAAGATCCCATTCGTGATGGTAGTCCTCGATATTGGTAAAGCGGACTGAGATCCTATTATCGTAACGCGGTGAAGTCAGACCATAGCAGCGTAGGTCAACTGAAGCAGCAACAGCGGTCTAAGGATATATATATATCCTTAGCGTGAAAGTAAAGAGATGGAGGAAATCGACTTACAACTCCGTGCACAACCGCATGCTCGCCGAAGAGGATGACCTTTCCGGGAGCACTGAAGAACCACTCGCGGTCCTCTTGGCGCCTCTTCATCTGAATTAGAGGTTCTCCAAGAGCAAGCTTCTCCACAGCCCTGTTTACAGCGGCAGGGATGCGCATGAAGTCGTTCGCGGTCATGGAAATCGCTCCTGCATCGAGGAGCGCATGGCGAAGGTCATCGAGGAGGTCAGCCGGGTCCTCAATACCGACGCAAAGACGAATAAGGTCCTCTGGCAGACCGCGTGCCGCACGCGTCGCAGGGTCAATAGAAGCGTGTCTGTATAATTGCTGTAAGGGACTCTATGGCGTGATCCATTAGATCAGTCACGTACGACATGACGCAAGGCATGCTGATGAGGCTGTTCACAGCACCAAAGCTGACGCTGATTCCCCACAAGCGAGTGGCGCCGACGATGCGCTCACTGAGTTCCTTGTCACCTGTCTCAAAGGAGAGTACGGCACCATACCCTGGCAATCTTGGCTTAGGTAGAGAAGATAGGGCACGGAAGATGTACTTACCGTCGGCGATGCGCTCATGGATCTCCTTTCCTGGGTGACCGGGAAGCCCCGGGTAATGAGTAACGAAGCCAAGCTGCTGTAGCATCTGAGCGACGAGCATAGCAGTAGACTGCTGGCGGTCCATGCGAATAGCAAGAGTTTTCGTGCCTCGGAGAAGGAGGAACGAGTCGAAAGGCGTCAAAGCATTGCCGACTGCATTGATAGCGAAAGCCACTTGCTGCAAAGACGGATGAGGACATGATGCATGAATCTGTGATAGCCACCATACCTTGGCTAGGTCGTCTCTATTGCAGGTGATGACACCGGCCATGAGGTCGTGATGTCCACTAAGATATTTGGTAGCGCTGTCGTAGACGATGTCTGCACCGTGCTCAAGCGGACGCTGCAGGTACGGGCTCATCATAGTGTTATCCACGACTATGACAGCGTCCTCGCACTTTTCCTTAACCATGGCACTAATCGCGGCAATGTCTACTATCTTTAGCAGAGGGTTGGTGGGGCTCTCTAGCAAAACCATAGCAGTCTTCCCAGGGTTGAGGTATGGGACGATAGTAGACGCGTCGGTAGTGTCGACATGATGGACAGTGACTCCCATATGCGTGCGGATGTAAGTGAGTAGACGGTTGGTACCACCGTAGAGATCATCTCCGGCGATGACTTCTTGGCCTGGTTTCAGGATACGGGTGATGACATCCAGAGCGGCCATCCCGGAGGAGACGGCGAAGGCATGGCTGGCAGAAGATATCTTCGCAATGTGGTGCTCTGAGTGACCGCCGATCAGCTATCTCCGGTGTTTTGGCCTGACGCATGTGGTTGATCACTCACCGAGGTGGGTCCTCGTGGGGTTTCCGCTCCTGCTATAGTCATACTCTCCGCCAACACCCTTGAAGGTAGCCGTCTGATAGATCGGAACACTGGAGCTCCCGTGTTGGTCCTTGTGGCCAGAGTTCGGGTTCTCGACAGTGGTACATAAGGTGGAGAAACGGTACGGCTTGCGAGAACGAGAGATCGAAGGTGACTCTGGCTCCGGAGTGGGCAGGTTGTAACGATCCTCGAGCTGAGTTTTGTCGTTCCCCATGGTTGTAGAGCTAGTTACAAGCAAGGGGTTGAAAACGACTGGTTTTATGGACTCTGGCGGCAGTCCTTAGACCACGCGTAGCAAGACTGAGTGGGGAGGTGGAGGTTTAGCTCAAGAGGTCTCGCCATTCTCACTGGCGCTTTTGGTCAACATTCATAATTTGCCATGATCACACCATGCTTGGGCGCTTTTTCGCATTCCCCGTTCAGGCGCCCGAGCCCGACACTTGCCCCGCACTCGGTTACGTCTTGACTAGTGACTCTTCGGTCGCAGACGCCTTTGCTCTTTTATGGCATCACTCTTATACCTGCGGGAATTCTATCTATTGCCATTCACAACGCCATGAGAAAATTCTGCCAACGAGATCCACTTTAAGTCGGCTAGTCGCACGGTGCATCAGAGTTGCCACCCCAGTGTCCCTGCCCGAAGCCTTTGGTGAACTTTGAAGCGGCAAAATATCCAGATGATTTGGGCCGGAGCAAACGTCTGGCGGTGTTGAGCAAGTTCGCCGGAATCATCAGAGCCCATACTTCCGCACGAGCTGAACACCGAAAGGCTGTACTGTTAATTTGACTGAAGAACGACCTATGATGACCGACGAAACGTAGCGTGGCTCGCTGAGATTTCTTGTATTTCCAGTGTATCTGAGGACTCTGTGCATCGACTCTTGTAACGGGGCTTTTAGGAAGACTGAGAATATTCTAGATGGATCCTAAGCGCGGGTGAGAAGGTGTATGTGTCTGTTTGGCGGCCATCGGCCTAGCGTGGGAATAAGAAGCCAGGACGCCACAAAGCCGTCTTTGGCGTCTACTGCTTGCGGGCGCTTTTGACTTTCGCATCTTCCTGTGGTGTGGACCATTCGCAGGACCTCCGTTAATCTGCGTACTGACTGTTAGCTCGTTGTCTGCGTTCGGCGTCCCAAGTATCTGGGCGGCCTAGGGCTTTGAGGCGATTCCCCTCAGACTGCCAAACGTCCGAATCGCCGAATCCTCGTGGTGTTCGTCGTGGCCTACGTGCGTACAGAGTCACAATCTTCCGTCTTTGAGATTTTTTGCCTCCATAATCCAGAGTAGTGCGTAGCAAATTCCTTTAAACTCTTGTGCCTTTTGCTCAACGAAGCAATCTTAGTGACCATCGCAACGCATAGCAAATGCCAACAAATTTCCAATATGTTTCTCCTGAACCTGTTTGGAGTAGCCCTCACCTTTAGCGTCATTAATGATGACCGCATCGGTGATCTCTACCTGCGGGCCACGCTTGCCGTACCTCCGGCAGCGATGAACACCATCCTCAGCAACAACAGCAATGCTGGAAAGTATGGCCGTAGACCTGTGAGTGATTTGTGGCACACCTCCGTCAACGAAGCTGGCCTCTACCGGAACTGGTTAGCACGCCACAAGCTGTCACACTCATTGCCGAATGTCCGACTCCCTGTAAACCAGTGCGCCGGAGTCAGCCCTCTTCCTTGTGCCCATTCTTGGGGAATGCGTCTTGATCATTGCATTGGTAATTCTCAGGAGGCCGTAGCCCACCGTCAATCTGTCATAGACGATGCGGCACACTCAAGATGTCCCGCATCCCCTCTTTCCAAAGGAAAGGGCAATTGTCAGTAGGCCGAACCTACCTCTACTCGCTTTCGCCGGGACACAGCCCAGCATACTGCCGTCTTGCAGCGATATTTAAGCCTAGAGGTGGCACAGGCCATGGTAAGCCAACAGAACCACTTCGCATTCCAGCACACCACTCTCAGAACTACATACAACATGTCTGCCCTCTCTACTCTGCGCACTTACCGCCTTCCGGATCTGCATCCGCTGTGCCCATTCAAGGCCCGCTTCAACCCTCACCATGATGAGGCTGCCGCTGCCTCCAAGGAGTGGGTGCTCAGTTTCAATGCCCTCAAGGGCAAGAAGCTCGAGTTCTTCAAGGAGGGCGGTAGTGAGCTCCTCTGTGCATGGGCCTATCCCTATGCCGGCGTCGACCAGCTCCGCACTTGTTGCGACTTCGTCAACCTTCTCTTCACTATCGACGAGATCAGTGATGACCAGAACGGCAATGATGCCCTTGCCACCGGCATGAGCTTCCTGAACACCTTGAAGGATGAAAGCTACGACGACGGCTCGGTCCTCTGCAGAATGACCAAAGAGTACGTCCGTTCTCTTCGCCCCGCTCTTTTACCTATTGACTTACGCTCCAACCCAGTTTCAAGAAGCTTTTCTTCCCTTTCGCTGGGCCCGCCACCGCCCGCCGCTTCCTCAAGCACTCCGAGGACTATGTCCTCGGGTTTGCTAGGGAGGCGGAGCTGCGCGAGAAGGACGTCGTCCTTGACCTAGCTTCCTACGACCCGCTGCGCCGCGAGAACAGCGCCGTTCGCTACTGCTTCGGCTTGTTCGGCTACATCCTCGGCATGGACCTTCCCGACGAAATTTTCGAGCATCCCGTCTACATGGAGATGCATCTCGCCGCAGTCGACATGGTGTGCTGGGCCAACGTGAGTCGTACGATTGGCCTTCTTTTCATTGCATGTGGCTCAGTGGTCTACAGGATGTCTACTCCTACGATATGGAGCAGTCCATGGGCCATCTCACCAACAACATTCTCACCGTCCTTCGGAGGGAGAAGAATATCGATCTCCAGGCCGCCTCCGACTACGTTGGCGTTCACTTCAAGGAGCTCGCCGACAAGTTTGAAGCCAACAAGCTTCGCCTTCCTTCTTTCGGCAAGGAACTCGACGAGATTGTCGCGTAAGTCAATTATTCAACGCTAGTCCACAGCTGCTGATGAGCATGTAGCAATCACATCATGGCCATGGAGTCCTGGGTCGTGGGCAACTTGGAGTGGAGCTTCGGCACCCGTCGCTACTTCGGGAAGAACCATATCAAAGTCAGGGAGACTTTGATTGTGGAACTCTCTCCTGCCCGGGAGTTGGAGGCTTAGCTATTTGCCCCTACTGCGGGACATCCACTCCTTGACTTTCCCTAGCTTTCCCCTGGCTTCCCTTAGACTCTTTCGTTATCTCTGAGCTGAATTGAGTTCACTCACGACCGTATCCATACATACAGTATAAAAGCAACAAAAATTGGTAGTAGATAGATTTTAAAATACATCCGGGCGATGCGTGTTTGCCGTTTTTCCTGGTTGGGACGATGTCATACGACAACAAAGGAGAAGCACACCAACATGTGAATATACTTAGAAAGCTCGTAGGGTCTGTCGGCGTGTGAATCAGCGCCCTTGTGCTCCCGAATTTGTGGTAACGTACCCATGGGCTCAATCTTCATCGTCAGAGGCATCTTCGACGGGCCGCAGTACGACCAGACGAGTGTGCTTGATCTGAGCGTGAGTCGGCCCGAAGTAGCGCTGGGTCTCGAAACTCCATTCCAGGTTCCCGATGACCCAGTGCTCCATGGCGGTGATGTAGGCAGTGACGGCGGCATCCAGAGTCAGGCCCCAGGAGGGAATAGCGCTCTTGGTCTGGATAAACTCGTCCATGAGGCTACCGAAGCGCTCGCCTACGAGGTCTGCAGCGGTCTGAAGATCGACGCCACGGGCCTCCATAAGCACGGTCACGATATTGTTTCCGTGGATGCCTCTGGCCTGCTCCATACTATAGGAGTAGACATCCTGGGAACCAAATGTTAGCAGATGCACGCTGGGCCATGAGCAGAACGGCGTACGTTGGCCCAGCAGACCATGTCGGCGGCCGCCCAGTACAGAGCCATGAAGGTCTCGTCCTCGAACACCCGGTCAGGCAAATCGACACCCAAGGCGAACTCGAACAGGCCGAAACAGAGCCTGATCGCGCTGTTCTCCCTGCGGAGATGCTGGAACGCCACCATGTCGAGGACTTCACCCTTTTCGCGCAGCTCAGCTTCACGTGCGACTGCCTCGACATAGTCCTCGCAGTGCACCAGGAAACGTCTAGCGCAGTTTGAGCCTGCATGCTTCATGAAGCGTGCCCTGAATCTGAGGAGTAGATGAGCACGACGATGAAGATACGCCAATGATCGAGAACTTACTCTCTCGTCATCTGGGCTAGGGCCGAGCCATCGTCCCAGAGGGGATCACGCATGACGCTTAGGAACACGTTCCCCGTGGAACGCGCGCCCTTGCCGTCCTGGTCGTCGCTCACTTCGTCGACCACGAAGAGGAGGTTCACGAAGTCGCAGCAGGTCCTAAATTGCTCGTAGTCCGCGTACGGGTAGGTATGCGATACCAGCAGCTCGTTGCTGCCTTGGATAAAGAAGGCGCGTTTCCTGTCCGTGAAGAGGTGGTAGCTGTCTATCCATGCGGATGACTCGCGGGAGGCCTTGGCGTAGTGTGGGTTGGTAGAGCCAACGAGAGGACAGACGGCGAGCAAATCGGGGAGGAAGAAGGACCGCATATTTCACTGAGGGATGACTGACGATGTAAAAGATTCCTGGTGATTCTGAGTAGTTTGGGAGGCGGGTGCGAGCACTTTATATCCTCGAATATACCCGCAAGATCGTAACACCGACTAGCCGTCATAGTTTTTGAACAGACCATCGCACTGAAACACTGTACGACCGACCCTGTCGCAAATGTCTAAGGCTGGCCGCCATGAGCTTGGGCCGATCCGGAACTGCGCGTGGAGTGCTTCAAGATGAGATCGTGTGTATGAGCCCCATCCGGAGTTGCCTGCTCCCCGGCTTCAGAATGAGACGTTGCAAAAACGACTGAGGATAGACCTGCTTACTTAGGCAATCTTTCACGGACTTCATGTCCAGAGATCTTGAGATCTAGACTAGATATCAATGGATATTACTCAACATGTACTTTCTGCGCGACCGATCGAAGAAAGCGAGGGAGGCCGAATTTGCTGTGCTGGCGGACAGCGCAGGTGAGAATCTAACCCCCCGTAAGCTTTGAGAAAGCGGAAAGACCATATAGCCTATTTGATCTGCGCTGGGAGCATTAGTCCAATAAATCATTGTGAAGCGGGGCGCTTTGCAGGACATATCCGAGATACATCGACTGCTGTAACTCTGGTGTGGCAGAAGTCGTTTCACAAACCTGACAATCAGTCCATCGCATCGGAAACCACCCAGAGAAATTTCTCTCGTACCCGGGGTGAGGTCGGTGTCAACATTTTTGCTTCAGGGCGAGGTGGTCGTCTTAGCCGGTCTGCCAGACAACTTCCTAATCAGAACTTGTGAGACACAGCATCACCTCGCCCTTGCACGTAAAAGTCGACACCGGATCTGGCCCTGGTGTCGCCTTTTTCGACGCTGCAGTTAGGAGGATCTTCTCCCGAGATCCCACTCGCAGTGATCGAAATGGGATCTCGGGCGTCTGTTGACGGGCCAAGCACGAGCAATCCATTGCGAGGTGTCCTCGCCGGATGTAGGCATCTCTGCGTTAGCAAACCAGGCAGAAACGAGATGACGCATCTCGTTATCGTGGGGTGTATGGTTACCGTCTCCGAGTCGAGGCCCCATCCGGTGCATGCCTAGAAATGCAAGCACGGGACAACACCGCCGACGCCATAAAGGACACCTTCGAATAGGGGCTGCATCGTGTAGCTGACCCTCTCATCGCTCATGTCCGCTGTTACAGAAGCATGAAATCAAGTGTCTTGTGAGTAGGCAGCGTGCCTGTTGTCGCTGCATGACGACTAGATCGGAATGGCAACGACGACTGGGTTGCACGGAGTGACAAATACTCGTTAGTAAAATCCCAGATACTAATAAAAATACTGCTCTTAGGCGCGTCAGGTACATACGCCCGTAGTGAATCCTCGACACAGGCCACGCCGATTGTGCCATCAACCTGCTTTAGTGAGCTGACAATGTCAATGAGATGTGCAGAGCGACTCACAGCAATCCGGTTGCTTGAAAATCTCCCGGATGAGCTGGTGGAACAGGTGACCGGAAATTAAGCCGCAACGGAAAGGTGGGGCCTGGGCTAGGTTGGCTGGCTCGGTGCGTAAGCGCAGAACATACTCGGTAAGTGGACTGACAACAGCGCTAAGAATACCGACGGCGACCCGGCGGCGTAAATGAATGAACGCCACACGAGCGAAGGCTCGGTACCGGGGCATTGTGGCCTGTCTAAAGTTCAACCCACGCCGCAAAAATAAGCCAACCGCTACTCGCCGCGTTCAGAAAGAGGGAAACCAGTACAGGCTTTACTCCATGCATGATCCAACGGCCACTATGCAGAACAAGGTGGTAAGCGGTTACGGTCCACTTTCTCACGCACTCTGACGCGGAATGTACGATCACGACCAACCCCAAAACCTACAGATCAAGGTTGGGAAGGCGATGCTCAGCCTCGCAACTCTCTGAATAGTGCTAAGTAGACGGCGATAACTGGGGTCGTGCGATACTTCTGCGACTGGGTCATGAGCATGTGTTGTTACAGTAGATTACGCCTGGACGGGATTGGCGGCTGAGCGTAAGCATTAGCACGTAGAAAAACTCCTTCACTCACTGTACTCCGGATGGCGCATCTCTCCTGTGATCTGCCAAGCACATCATGACCGTGGGACAGTTCACGAAAGTACATGTCTGCAATTAGCACGATAGCAATAGGAGTATACACGATGCAGAGGACGAAAAGAGTGACGTGATACAAGGATTGACAAAATTAGAAGAGAGCTCCCAATTTATGATCCGGCGGACGGAGATGAGTGTGCGAGACCATAGCGAGCTACACAGAGTTAGAAGCAGATACGGTAACTGGCGTAACGACCGCTGGTTTCACTTGGTCGTGTAATTTTGACGACTTGTCCACGTCTCAAGCCGTAATAACGCGCCACCGGATCCGCCAGCTGGATGCGGGGTAGCTGAGTCTCCTTTAACCGGCTGTTGCACGATGTCAGACAAGGTCCGGAAATGCACAAAGATGCGACGCGTACTATTTCTCTAGCAGATTTTTCTTCTGCTCAGGGGTGAGAACGTCATGTCTGGGAACTAGTGTGTGGTGTGTAATGTTGACCAGGAGGTCGGCTTCTGAGAATTCCTCGAGCTTGTATTGCGACGCCATAGCCACGATAACCTACAGTGGTAAGGCCAGGTCGTACGTGTAATTGCGCGACAGACACGATGAAAGTAAAGTACCTTCCGCGCAGATGGTGTCATAATTCCGGGAAACACGATGATACCTCGTTGGATATTCTTTTCCTCCAAAATATTGAGAATTCTATCCAGGAAGTCAGCTTTTTATGTCGTGACTGGCCGTGAGACCCTACGCACTTTCGCATTGTCTTCACACCAACACTCTTCTCATCCGAGAAAAAGGTGAAGATTTGTTCCATCGGGTTATTCTGGTGATTTGTGAAGAAGTTCAGCTGACTCCGGCTGCGGCTCGGTTAATTATGGCCTTTGCTTCATGCAGGATCTTCCACTCACTCTACCGAGCCCATTTGATTCGCATAGAGCGATCGGAAAGTAGCGAGGTCCATGTGGATTTCGTCATCCGAGACTTGGAAGCCCTAACAAGCAGACAATGAGACTCTGATCAGGATGCGCTTTGAGTAACGCGTAGCACTGACTCTGTCCCGGACCAGTTCGTGAATCGTGCGGTTGACCTTCCAAAGCTTTGCCGTCTCATCCTGATCGGCCATGTCGTATACGTGTCAGAGGGAGCAGAGAGGACGTGAAGCAAGTCAAGGTCGTAAGCCAAAATGTGTTATGGGCGCTTTACATCTCTTCCTTGCACCCTCATGGCGGCGGGCTCATCAAATACCCCCAATGGCCAAGCCGCGACAACGCTCAGTCTCAGCCCCCAGCTAATGGTAAGCCCGGCGTGCGGATACATGTGTTCTTGTAGCTGACCTGCTGCTCTCAGACAAGGCTAAAGCCAGCCAAAATATTCAAGAACGCCATAGAGTCCCCGCCATTACCCTCACCAAGCACCTTCTCTGGTCGCCCGCCACAGGCTGAACAGAAACATATAACCGGCCTCAGCTTCGACGATAGTGGAAGCCAGGTGATTACCGCGGCGGAGGACGAGACGTTCAGGTTGTACAGCTGCAAGACTGGCAAGCAAGTTCCCGTCAGCTCAACCTCCGATATATGTGGCTAAAGCGTCTGGACAGGACTCTGAAGACCCTCTATTCCAAAAAATACGGAGTAGACCTGCCACGATTCACCCACAAGCAGACCACCATTGTCCATGCATCTACAAAGGAAGATGACACCATCCGATACCATTCGTTGCACGACAACAAGTACCTGCAATACTTCAAAGGCCATAAGGGGAAGGTAGTTTCTCTCGAGGTCTCTCCTGTGGACGACGGCTTCATGTCCGGCTCAATGGACAAGACAGTACGTCTATGGGACCTGCGTTCTCCCCACTGTCGTGGGCTGCTGAACCTGCCAGCGCCGCCGGTGGTTGCCTACGATGCATCTGGGCTTGTCTTCGCCGTGGGCGTGAATACATACGCGCGGATCCTCCTCTATGACCAAGCCAACTTTGACAAGGCGCCGTTCCTTGTCATTACTCTTGATGATCCTACACTTGCTCTCATAAGCTATCCGCCTCGACCGATCTACATGACGTCGCTCGCCTTCTCGTCCAACGGGAAGTACCTCCTAGTTGGTTGCTCCGGCAATGCCCACTACATATTGGACGCGTTCGAAGGTCATCTACTTGCCAAGCTGGAAGGTCCCGTTGGGCTAGAACGTCGGAAGATCAATGCCAAAGAGACCATCGAGCCTCAGCGTGGGATCAGCGGAGAGGAGGTTTCCTGGACACCAGACAGCAAGTTCGTCGTTGGAGGGAGCCTGGATGGCAAGATCATGGTCTGGGATGTCCGAGAGTTGCCGGTGAAAGAAGGGCCCGTAGACCACAAAAACCACCCGCTTCGTTTACAGCCTGTTGCGAAGCTGGATGGGCACCCGGGCCCCGCACGTTGCGTCCAATTCAACCCACGCCTTGCTATGATGTGTTCAGCCGGTGCTGAATTGGTAAGTATTACCGTCTTTGTTCGGAGTTCTGTTCTATGCTAACGACGCGTGCCTGCGTACAGGCATTCTGGCTTCCCGACATGTCTCCCGATCCCGAAGAAGTGGCCAAGGACCTGCTGAAGAAGAAGTCTGTCTCGTGAGCATTTGTTAACCTCTTCGTGCAACTACGAGTCTACTATAAAATCGAGGACGTTGGGAGAATCATTCGCGACGCGTCGTAGAGCTCACATGCGCCACTGTCTGACCAAGTCTTGTTCTCACAAAGCTGTATAGTGTACTTGTTTGCATAGTAATATACCATTCTGTCGAGTACGGCGTGCTGCCGGATGCAAGCACCATGGTTTGGCTCCAGAGAGCCATCAAAGTCACCAACGCGTCACGCGATTGAGCGCTTATTGCTTTGGACGTGGCACGCGAGAGCCTAGCATCCACCGATATCCACCCCTTGTCGACGACTCCCCCTCTGGTTTCTGGTTTATCGGATAGTCGGTCGTGCTGCCTACGATGCGCTTCCACAGTCTCTTCGGCCTTGGTGCATTCGCTGCGCTCTGCCAGTTTGTCGCTGCGTGTAAGCGTACCCTTTTCATGAGCTCAGCTCCGGACCTGACTTCTGTACTCAGCTCCACTTGCGAATCCCGGTGAACCAGAGATCGTAGTGACTGCAGCATTCCCGGAGGATAATGCTTTTTCTCGTACGTAGCCTGTATTTCTGGCTGCAAACTGTGTCTGAGCTGCTTTGCAGACGTTGTCAACGGCCAACGGAACGAGATCCTCGTCACCGTTGAGAACAAGTCGGAACGCAATGTGACACTTCAGAACATTGCGGGCTCATTCCACCACCCTGAGACGAACAAGCTAATCAAGAATGTACGTAGTAGCCTCTTACTCTACATTAGGGCAGTGGGCTAAGGAATTATTTAGACCACTGCGCTCCACTACAAAATTCCTCTGTTGCAAGGTGCGCAGATGAAGTTACCGTATTCATTCTATAGCGAGTGAGTTCGTCTTAGCTCTCTCCTGCCAATTTCAATGCTGACTATGCTCGCGTAGATTCAAGGTACGAAGAGTTCCTTGCCAGCTGTACCATTCTTATACCACGCTCGCAGACCGGAGACCTGAGACTCAATATTTGGGTTGAGCACGAGACCGATGTATGTCCTACACACTGTACCACTCGTCGAAGTCTGATCAATATCGCAGGGCGAAAAATACCGCGTCCACGGGTACGACTCCGTTGTCAGAATTGTCGAGCCGGAGGGCTCCTTCTTCGACATCCAGATGTATGTCTAACACCGCATAATGGCTCCTGACGTGTGTGGCTCACTACTGACTGTCGCTTCAGGTGGATAACCTACCTCATCGTTCTCGGTTCCCTCGGCGGTGTTGGCTACTACGCGTACCTTACCTTCGTGCCCCAGCCAAAGAAGCGCAAGGTCCCAACTCCTAGTGCACCGGTGGGCACTGTCACTGCTACCGGGGCGGGTGGCTACCAGGAGGAGTGGATTCCTGAGCACCATCTTAAGAAGCCCAAAGTTCGCAGGACCAAGTCCGGTGCTGCCACAAGCGGCGATGAGACTAGTGGTGTCGAAGTCAGCGGCACAGAAGGCCGCAAGCGTAAGGGTAAGAAGTAATGGAAGTGGCAGTCTAAAATGCGCCTCATTGTGGCTCCTCGTGTGTGCTGGTATCTATCGCTCGCATTATCTGTTTTTAGCATACTTCTTCAGCCTTTGTAGCTTGCTCTCGGGAATGGTATTCTGCGACGCCTATAATGTTGCTTTGCAGTTAATGTGCAGCGGACTGAACGCTTCGTCCAGCTGAAGCGTCGCGTGTAAGGACTTAGAGCACTAGACGGGGCAACGGTAGCGCGCGAATGTGCAGGCGGACTATGCCGGAACAACACACGAAGAGCATGATACAACCAACAGTACGTCGTGTTGAGCAAGGATTCAGAGGCGGAATGATAGTGCGATTGGTGTTCTCTAGACATCAATGTGCTTGTATCCTAGCACCTGCCAGAGCTTGAGCGTTCGTCCGCGGAAGGTAAAGACACACGACTCACTCTGTTGTCCTTCAGCATCTGGGTGTACCGATCCGCAAGATCTTGGCAATTTTCGAGATGGTTCACTCCCTCTACGCGGTAGCACTTTTGCAGCTTGTCGCGCACCAGACGTGCCTCCATGGCGCGGATCCAGGACTCCCTCAGAGATTCGTCCCGTTCCTTGAGCCTCTCTGTATTATGTATAAGAGCATTGCTCCTGGTGTCTTGAACGAAGACGTACTGGTGAGCTCTTCTACTCGTGCTTGGTCGACGTCCATGGTTTGGTCGAGAGAGCTCGGACGTCTGCGTGCCCGAGTGTGTTTGCCGCTGGCGGGAAACCACGTGGCGGTCAGTTGGCTCGGTCAGTGGCACCCCCGACCGAAAGCATCTGAAATTCTGAATACTGTATGCGCATGCTGCCGTTTCACGAAAGCGGTTGGATATAATACGGTTTGGTACTCTCTGTCTCTTCTCCCTTCATAATTCGTCGCTGTTGAGCATGTCTTTTCCCATCAGCCTTCCTCAGGGCAAGCCTCTGGTCACAGTCACCCACCGTGAGTTCAGGCCCCCTTCGATGCCCAGATGAGCACTCATGCTCTGCTTGTCTGCATAGCTACAAACGCTCTCTGGGTGCTTGAGCTACACAATGGAGACGACAGCAGATTAACTCATGATCTTATTGGCAAGGCATTTTTGCCTGCCTTGGACGAGGTCGAACGCAGCTGGAGACAACAGTGGCGCGAAGCACAGCAAACCGAGGGCAAGGAAGGTGGGCGTGGTGCACTCGTCCTTGTTGGCAACAGGAAACAGAACAAGTTTTTCAGTAATGGTAATGTCATGTTCAGGCTTTACCGGCAGCGGTGCTGAACTCATCGGTATGTAGGCTTGGACTACGAGAATTCGACGAAGGACCCGCTCTTCTTCCCCAGTATGCTTCACCGGCACTCATATAGCCGTATGAGCTAACGACAATCACAGAACTCTATGACCCCATGCTTCACCGGCTTCTCACCTTCCCGAGTATGTATTACTATGCCCGAATCGCATGTAAGAACACAAATGCTGACAAGAGGCTACACCAGTTCCGACCATTGCCGCTCTCAACGGCCACACGTTTGCCGGTGGCTTCATACTGGCGCTCTGCTGCGATTATCGGGTCATGACTGATGGGAGCAAGCGCAATGCCTGGATGTGTATGAACGAAGTAAGTGTTCTCTTGCGTTATTGACCTAGGTCGAGCCTGGCACTGAGGCGTATTTAGGTGCACTTCGGCGCTGCTTGGCCGTACCCGTTCGGTCTCATCGTCCAGGCCAAGGTTACAGATGCGCAGACAGTGCGAAAGATCGCACTTGAGGGCTACCGCTTTACTCCCCAGGAGGCTTTGAAATGCGGCTTGGTTGATCACATCGTGCAAGGTGACACCGAAGCTGTTCTGCACAAGGCGCAAGAAGTTGCTACCATCGTCGGGGCGCAGGCTCAGAGCGGTGCATGGGGAATAATCAGAGTGAGCCCCGCACTTGAATTGCGCGAGTTTGACGATGTTCTGATGTACTGCGGTCCAGAGCGATGTCTACGGTGAGGCCGTTAAGGCGCTCCGTCGAAGTGGCGAGTTCAAGCGAAGGAGTGTTGCCTTGGAGGACGCAGAGGCCAAGGCTCGACTGTGACATTGAGAACCTACCGCCTTGTAGCATTTGATATACCGAACCTATGGACGGATTCATCGAGATGGAATGGTAATACACATACTTCTTGGGCCTTCTTCAGTGATGAAAACTATTTGCATGGTGACGTCGTTCACTACATCAGCTTTTTGTCGTTGGGATCGTCTGTGATGTGTTAGTTGTGCTCTGATACCGCCATCGTCGCTAGCGATACCCAGACGACTTTGAAAATGGCCAGGCCGAACTTCGGCATCTGCTTTGTGGTCTACTGGATAAATTAAGAGACATCTGGGCGGGTCGCCACTGCTGCAAGATGACGGGCAACGTATGCTCTAAGGATATCTCGGAACACGAAGACAAAAACAGCTGGGTCGCAAGACGACCGATGTGTCTCATTGTGCGTTGCTACACGTGGGTTGGTCCCCCAAACAGGCGACTAGTGCGTGGTTAATGTAGGCGCTAGGCATGTAGTCCTCGTTGCCCTTGGCAACACAAGGTACAATCTTCTTTGAGCTCGATTGCGGCGGAGGGTCCTCCCGAGTAGCATATAAGACCTGGTAGCCTGCATGGTCTATTCACACTCTTCCTTCCTTCCTTCCTTCTTTCCTTTCCTTCCATCCATTCTTTTCTAAGGCCGGGCCTTTAGCTGTTCCTTAACTTTCAGCTGTCCTCTTCCTATAGCTTTCCTTTGAAAGGGCCTTCATAAATCCTTATACTTGCTTCCCCAGCTATGCAGCTCGGCTTCACATTTTCACTGCTCCTTGCGAGCCTTCTCGTTCTGCTTTCTGGAGTCGAGGCTGCACCTACGAAGCGAAGTGGTCTGGTCACCCTTCCTCTCAAGAGGATTACCCAGACCCGCTCAGATCTTCACCCGCAAGTGGCACGTTCTCATTGTCATCTCGCCGGATCTTCAATCAATTTATTTACTCGCATTTGTATAGCTTCTGCAACAGCACATCAACCGCGGTCTCAAGCGCTATGCGCGCATGACTGGCCGAGATGAGCCAAGTGCCCTCGAGCTGCGCGCGAACCTTCACAAGAGGCTCTACATCCCTGCTGAAGGACGCCCCGGTCCACGCAGGGTGAATTCCAAACGGTTCAACAGACATGGATCGAAAGGCACGCAGGCGTAAGCACCGTATCAGTTATATCGCATACTGAAGTCTAATTATACGGTCATTCAGTGGTGGCAACGGCAACCCTAAAGCCTCTACCGGCAATGCGACCCCCGCCGGTAGTGCGACCTCCGCCAGCAGCGCGACCTCCACCGGCAGTGCAGCCGGTAGCGGTGCAGGTTTCTCTGAGATTGATTTGGAAGCTGAAGATAACGGCGGCCTTACGGATGCCAACCCGCCTACCGCGGCCAACTCTCTTGGCCTTGACATTGAGTACGTGACTTTCCAGGCAAATCACTTCTGAACCAGCCTATAATCCACTCTGCAGGGCTTACGATGTTGGTTATATCGCCACTGTCCAGATGGGAACCCCGCCTCAGGACTTCAAGCTTCTCATGGACTCCGGTTCCGCGGATCTCTGGGTTGGCGGTGAGCAATGCCAATCGACAGAGGGTGGAAATTGCGTACGCCGTCTTCCCGCCTTCGTACCCTGCTTCAACCCGGGCTAATCGTCTACTAGGGCAATCATACCTTCCTAGGCAATCAGTCCTCCTCGTCCTTCGTCGACTTGGGCAGTCAGTTCCAAGTGACTTACGGATCTGGTGCTGTTCAAGGTGACATTGTTACCGACAACATCAATGTCGCTGGCCTCGCCTTGAACAATCACACCTTCGGTGTCGCTACTGTTGAGACAGATGATTTTGCCGATGACTCTGTGCCCTTCGACGGCCTGATGGGTCTTGCGCAATCCGTAAGCTATCCTTCCGTTTGGCAGTTGCAATTCACTCACAATGGTCCTAGACATTGTCGGAGCAGGGTGTTCTTACGCCCGTCGAATCCCTCGCCCAAGCCGGCCTCATCAGCGACGCTATCACCTCGTTCAAGATCTCCCGTCTTGCCGACCAGAAGAACGACGGCGAAGTCACCTTCGGTGGTCTTGACCCGACCAAGTTCGATGCTGCGACGCTGACCACCTTCAACAATGTCAACACGGAAGGCTTCTGGGAGGGCGCCATGAGTACTGTATCCGTTAACGGCCAGGATCTGGGTCTCCAGGGCCGCACTGCTATCCTCGACACCGGCACTACCCTCATCATCGCACCTGATGCCGACGCTGCCGCCGTCCACCAGGCCATTCCCGGCGCTCAGTCCGACGGCCAGGGCGGTTTCACGCTCCCATGCACCACCAACGCGAGCGTCGCCCTGACATTCAGTGGTCAGCAGTTTGCGATTGATACTCGTGATCTTCTGTTTTCGCCAGTCGACCCTACCAATCTCACTGGTGACTGTGTCTCCGGTATCTCCTCTGGCCAGATCGGTGCTGCAACAGAATGGCTGGTCAGTATTCGAGATCCTCTGTCGCAGTACGACGCTGACCTTCACGCAGGTGGGAGATGTCTTCCTTAAGAATGCCTACTTCTCTACCGATGTTGGCAAAAACCAGATTTCGCTCGCTAAACTCGTGTAGTTGACTCTCGGAGAGTTGCAGACCGTGCTCGCTTTTCATTATTCTGCTTTGGGATAGCGCCGGCATCCTTTCCCTGTTATTTCTGCCTAGTGCAGCCTGCTTAGCAATATAAGGATTTGAAAGAATGAAAATAGTAACACTCACTGTTCGGCCGACGACAGCACTGACGCTTCGAGGCAGTCGACAGTTGACACAAGAGGAGCAATTTCTATGGTCTTGCACCACATTATATGTACAGATACTTTGACCGCAGAGTGCAAGAACAGGGAACGAAGTTGAGGGCGCTATATGTGAAGAGACGAGATCGATTAGGCGATACTGAGCGCGGCGATGACCAGGATGTAGAGACACAAGAAGCTGTTGTAGCACTAGTTGCAGGATGGTTGTACAAAGACAGCGAAAACACCTCCAGGTGCGGAAGAATAACGTAGCGAGTAAACGAGGACATGAGCGAGCGAGATAAGAACAGGAAAGGAGAGCAATACTGTAAATATCGTTATACAAACGTCTTATTAGACATATTGAGCGGAACCTGTCCGTTCCTGAGCCAGTCCGCGCGATCGGGTAGGGTCAGGGTCGTCGAAGAGTGTCGGAAAATCAAAGGAGCGTGAGTGTTAGTACGGGTCTTCAGGAACGCGGATCTGGAAGTATGGATGGCTGAGGGCGTCGCGGACTGAGATGCGCTCCTCGGGATCAAACGTTAGCAGCCTCCTGACAAGGTCCAGGAAGTGCCTGTTCGTGGTGTCCGTCGGTGGGATTATCTCCTACACGATTATTGGTGAAGTCAGCACAAGGAGAACAGTATAGTGACGGACCTGTAAGCTGCGGCAAGCGCGTACTTCTTTCTTGCTCTGTCTGGTAGCCTTCGGCTTCGGCCAGTCCAGCTTGCTTGCTTCCTTGAAGTATTCTGGCTTTGATCGTGATCCCATGCGAGCGAACCGCTCCGGCATCTTGCCCATCACTTGCTCCATCATTGCGAGGTGCTCAAGGTTGTCGTGGGTTTGGAACAAGGCGACTCCAGTGTAAAACTCGACAAGAATGCATCCAAGAGAGAACGCATCACAAGGATATGACCACCCAAGCCCTAGTAAAGATGAGCGAGCATGTCAGTCAACTAACCTAGAGCGCATACCGAGTATGATTTCAGGAGCACGGTAATGCCGTGTGGATACCACACTAGAGTGATATTCCTCTTCAAACGTGGCAGACCCAAAATCGATAAGCCGAATCTCAGTTGACTCGAGAATCTTTTTGGCACGTGGTGGAGCATTGCGCTTCAAAGGAATGATCTGAGTTACACCGAGTCTGTAGGCGGAGAGTATGGTGAGCTCACCTTGCCATGCACAGGAACATTTACGAACTTATAATCGTTATGAACGAGCAGAATATTCTCCGGCTTGAGGTCCGTGTGCACGAGATGCAAGTCATGAAGGACTGGGAGTTCCGAATTTGAATCAATTGGAATGTGACATTCCAGAGGCTACTCACAAGCAACGCTACCCAACAACTGCCGAGCAAACGACTGTATTTGGTTCCGTGGGAACGAGGCAAAGTCATTCTCCTTGAGGAAATCGTATACACACATGCCCAGTAGCTCCGAGACTAGGCATATGTGATTCCGATGATCGAACCAGTGAAGAAGGTGGATGCATTTACTAGAAGAACACGTCAGCACGAACGACAGCGCCCATCGTTGACGTACTGCTTATTGGTAGGGTCCCGCTCTTTGAGCTTCTGCAGCACGCGAACTTCTATCTTGCTTGCATCGCGATACTTGGGTATAGCACGAATGATCTTGATTGCGACCCTCTTGTTTGTCTCCGTGTCGATAGCTTCTACGACCTTGCCAAAGGTCCCTTGCCCCAGGAGCTTGACAGTCTGGTCTGGAGGGCGGTCAGCGATACCAGAAAGTGGCGAGAGAAAGCGACGCACAGCGCCTATAGATCATGTCGTTGGTACGAATGATGTAGTGACCTTCCTTGTCGTCGCAAGGTTCAGCGTCCTGCGACATCTGTTGAACACCAGGACGATGAGGCGCCACGGAGCATGGGGAAGGTTGGGGATACTCACATCTTCGAGAGGTGCGCCGCTGCCCCCCGCGTATGATTTAGCATTAGCAGTTGATACATTGGCTAAATGACCGTTGGCGGCTGGCCTCTTGGCCACAGTGCTGGCGACCTCCACGAGATCTCGCTTCCGCTTTTTAGGCGGAGGGACTGCTGCTGAAGAACTTGACGACTGCTCCTGGGCCTCAGCAGCAGCGCGAGCTCGTGTCCTCACAGGGGCAGAATACACCGGGGGCTGGTACGACGAGGAATAGAGGTGATTGTGCGTCGTAGTAGGGGTGGCAGGGGAGACGGTCGATGGCGGCGGGGTGTCGTCGATGACGATGACATCTCGTACTTTGCCCGAGTTGTCGAGCTCTTGCACCTCGCTGTAGCTGACCGTGTACTGATGAGGACGCTTGCGCTTGCGTGTTGGGACCGGCGGCGTAGGCATGGCATTCGCAGCGCCGTTGACCCCACGATTGAGGTTTAGGGTGGGGTGAGGGTACTGTGGGAGCAGCGACGGCGCAGAGTACTGCACCGCAGTCTGCATTGTTTGTGTCGCCGTCGAGGACGTGGTGGTTGAGAAGAAAGAGAGGAAGGGGGCTGTTTATCTGGCGATAGACAGTGACAGTGCGAAACGGGATGAGGGACTCGAGACTCAGACGCTGCACGGCACGACGGAGCTCGCCTATTATTTGTTGTTTGGCCGATGTAGCCACCACCAGCCACTTTTCAACTCGGTTCTCCTCTTCAAGCTTACTCAAACCACCAGCGATTCTCACGGAAAATTGCGAGACTGTCCCTAGCCCTAGAACGTGCCCCGTACACTATCTCCCGCTGACTCTCCGTGCGCGTCTGGATCCAGGCCGATTCTCCTGACAGCCTCGTTTCGAACTGTTGCGATCTTGCAGCGTGTAAAGTAAAAAATATATTGCTTAAGTTCCTCGTCATGCAACGCAAGTTTTGGCCCACCGACGACGCAAGGGGGACTGTGCGCGCAGCGGCAATAACACACAACGCAAAGTAACAAACGGCTTTCCCAAGGTGGCCTGTGCGAGCCAAGCGCTGCCATTTTGGGCCGGATAGCCCTTATTGTACTTATTTACGAGATCATATAGTCTTAAGATATTAAAATCGCTAGACAACTCGCAATCCCCATGCGCGGACCGCGTCCTGATGGTCAGCTACGTGATGCATGAAGGGTGCAATCTCGAGTAGGCAGAGTATGTTGCAACTGTGCATCGCAAGCATTCAGAGTGGTCGTGCCAGGCTTTAAGACGTTTGTGGGCGATTTCTCGTAATCCTTGTTATGGCATGGATCCGTAATTCAGATTCCGAATGAGTCTATTTACCGTCCAAACAGTGAACCCCAGGTCGCCGCTGCTCCCGTCCTCGACGACACACCCTCCTGGGTGCATGATGACTGCTCTAGTGTCTCTGCAACAGGCTGCTATGAGAGTCTCTGCGACTCCATCTGCTTTACCGTCGACGTCGTCCAGTCCGACAGAGAATGGTACACCGTTTTATCATGGACCTGACGACATACCCATTGATCCAGCCCTTCACGGCCCACAAGTCGACTCGGCATTGCTGGTGCCTAACATTGTGACCAACGGCGGCGTCGAGGTGAGTGGCGTTGTCATCCGTCGTGAGACTAAACGCTTGGACGCGGACGCGAACCGCGACGCGAGACGCGGATAAATGAGTCGCGTATGTTCTGTTAAGGCGGACGGCTGACCTACATTGTTCCAGATTCCAGTCTTACCCGAGCCTCTTCAGAAAATCTCCATCCAACCCCACTTGCAATATCTCCAGGGCCCGCAAGGCGACCCCTTCGCTCCGCAACCTCCTCCGTCCTACTTCCCGGCGGAGGTCGAGCTCTCGATACCGCCCAAACCTCCCAAGAAGAAGCGAAAGCCACGTCGTGAGACCGAGTGCGGCCTTTGTGGCGGTGATGACTCCAAGAACAAGGCAAGCGAGCGCGAGCGTATGGTATCATGTGCAGATTGCGGTCGTAGTGGTGAGTGACCTTACCAGCTGGCGGTGCAAGTTTTCTTGACTTTCGGTCAGGGCATCCTACCTGCTTGAAGCTCACAGATCAGGCAAAGACAATTTACTCATACGAATGGCAATGCACCGAGTGCAAGACATGTGAGGTCTGTCATGAAAAGGACGGCGATGTGCGTGCTTTCCCGTCATCTCCAGTTATTCTCTTCACCTCAATTATTCATCAGAATCGCTTTTTACTATGCGACTCGTGCGACAGAGGTATATTTCTAGGATTATGTCGCTGTATCGTGCTGAAAATCATTCGACTCAGGTTGGCATATGGAATGTCTCGATCCACCCATAGAACAAGCCCCACCGGGTTTGTGGTACTGCCCTGCATGCCCAACTCCCATTCCAGGGCCGTCTTCCGAGCCGTATGCTCAGGCAGCCGAAGTCGATGTCCTCACTGCGTCTTCCCAGTTACCCGCGCGCGAAACATCTGTGGCATCCTCGTCTCGTTCCGTAGGGCCAGCGAACACGGTGACAAGTCGAAGAAAAGGGAAGGCCAGGGCCACCGCGACAGATGATTCCGAAGTGGATATAGAGAACGTCGTCACACCATCGCGACCCGGTAGACATAAGCCAATTGCGAAAAGTAGACTGGCAGCCGAAAGCCAGCTTCGCTCAGAAACCGAACCTGAGGTGGAAGAGATCGTTCCTTCGGATCTTGCTCGCCCAAATAAGCGTCTACGTGTCAGGCTTTCTTCACCGGTACCGCCGTCACCTAAGCCCACCAAGATTCGCTTGCGCTTGCCTGCTCGGAAGGGCAAGGAACGCGCTGAGGACCCCGACGACGGAAAAAAGGGCATGTTCGACGACATTCTACCGCCAGAAGAGCGTGATGTTGGCGCAACATCCATCTTGCAACCAGATAAGACTCGCTTTGAGAAAAGTCGGTCAGCTGCAGACGTAGGTCCTGTAGCCGTCTTCATCCGCTCTGTCTAATTTCTGTCAGGAGAAGCTCATGCCACCGCCGCCACCACCACCTGATCTGAATGTAGATGAATCACCTGTAGCCGAATCCTCGACAAGGCCTCTGCGGTCGTCGCTGCAGAAAGTTACACCGGCTCCTTCCGCTTCACCAGCTCCCTCTACTCCATTACCCACGGCACATCCTGAAAACTACCTGCGAATACGATATATCCGGTTCGGCGAGTTTGACATACAGACATGGTTCGATGCGCCATTTCCAGAGGAGTACATGACTATACCTGACGGCCGCCTCTGGATATGCGAGTTTTGCCTCAAGTACATGAAGAGCAAGTTCAACGCATATAGGCATAGGGTCTGCCCTTCCTTTTCATCTGTGCGTATCGTAGGTATACTGACGTCACACTCAGCTGAAATGCAAGATGCGACATCCTCCTGGAGATGAAATTTACCGCGACGGCGCGGTAGCCATCTTCGAAGTTGACGGGCGAAAGAACAAGATATACTGCCAGAATCTATGTCTCCTGTCGAAGATGTTTCTCGACCACAAGTCCTTGTTCTATGACGTGGAGCCATTCCTGTTTTACGTGATGACGGAAGTGGACGATGTAGGGGCTCGATTCGTCGGCTACTTCAGCAAAGAGAAACGTAGCCCGAAAGACTACAACGTGAGCTGCATTATGACACTCCCTGTGCGTCAGCGCCAAGGTTGGGGTAATCTTTTGATCGACTTCAGTACGTCTCAGCCGAACCAGCCGCCAGTCGGTGATTTAATTTCTGCCATAGGTTATCTCTTGTCGAAAAAGGAACACAGGACTGGTTCGCCTGAGAAGCCGCTCTCTGCCCTCGGCGCGCTCGGATACCGGAACTATTGGACTTTGGCTATAATGCGTTTTCTTCGCATAACGCCGGGAAGCCCACGCTTGGAAGGTATGCCCAGAACGTGATCAATAATGTGATCACTGTCCTGATGTTGAATAGATATCAGCGCAGCTACATCAATGACACTCGAGGACATTTATACGACTCTCGTGCATCTGAACATGATAGACATCCACGATCGCGTCCCGACTCCGCGCCCCCTCCCCGGACAAGCCATCAAGATCATCAAAGGTCGTAAGAGCAAAGTAGCGCGGAAGAACCTACAACGTTCAACTGCTCATGACGACGAGAAGACGAAGGGTTCTTTCGTTACGCCAATCTCATACACCGTCAGCTGGGATCCTGAAGATGTCGAGCGGTACCTTGTAAAATGGGAGGCGAAGGGCTATCTGAGGCTCAATCCAGAAAACCTCAAGTGGAGTCCGTTCTTGATTGCTCGGACTAAGAAGTCGGACGCTCTGCCAGCTGAGGATTCGGTGCCCCCTTCAGCGACCACTGAAGCTCCTACGCCCACCGCTGACGTTTTGGTTTCCCCACTCGCTGGATCATCTTCTGATGTATTGCGCCTGGAGAATATCTTCGCGTCGCCGGCACTAGCCTTATTCGACGACGACAATATCGTCGAGATAGCGAGGCGTCCAAGAACTGATGAAGACGTGCTTGTTCATGCAGAATCACCTGAGGATGGTTCCCAACATACCCCAACACGCTCACAACGGCAGCATTCAAGTTCTCCTATACTCGTGGACGTTACGCCTCGACCCAAGCGACCTCGAAGGTCTACCACAGGAAACGTTGGCGCTATGTCTACATTAAAGAAACGGCCGGATCGTCCAGCTGTGAGGCGGACACGCTCGGCGGCTCAAGTCTCCGGTCGGCTGAATGATGCAGATCTTATTGCGGAGGACGCAGCTCTTGCCGCTCGTCTCGCCATGGAAGAAGATCCTCCACGACGCCAGCTGCGATCACGCTCGAATACTGAGCAGTCTCTGATGAGACCCATCTCCCCGTCCACGCCCAAGTCGATATCTCCGCGCAAGCGCAAGCGCGTTGAGTCTCCGCCCAGCACCCCGACCACACGACAGACACGATCTCAGGCATTGCAGTCGACGCCGTCCCGACCAGTGCCGAGCCGTCGCTCATCATCTCAAAGGATACCTGCCAAGCGACGCAAGCCTCAGCGTCGACAATCCCGCCTGACGAAGGAAGTAATTAATGGCGACGAGGCGAGAAGTGTCGCTTCGCCAGAGCCAGAGCCAGAGCCCGAACCCGCTGCGGAGTATGAGCCTTTTCAGTCGCCAACATCCACGCTTCCCGATCAGCCTTCAGTGCTCGCAACGGATCCACATGCGGATGCGGATGCGACTTCTGAGGATAAGCCGGACGCTGCCCGAGACATCGACGCTATGGAAGTCGAGGAAAACATGGTGCCAGCCCACATTGAGCTTGTCCCCGACGATGATGCTGTGTACGAGGACATGGAGACACCACACACTGGGACGAGTAGGCACAGCGTCGGGCGGACGAGCGACGATACTGTGTACGCCGCGGAAGAGCAGCTCAGAGCAGCAGACAAGATGACGCCGCCTGCGGTTTCCGCCGCCGTAGTCGAGCTATCGATAGAATCAACCGCCCCTGCTGCTCTAAGTGGTCAAACAACTACCGAAGATGCACTTGCCGAGGATGACCCTGATCTTGATGCAGAGGGAGAGGAAGACATAGAGGGAGAGCTAGACGCTGAGGGCGAAGATGACATCGATGCGGAAGGCGAGCCGGACACTGGTGAAGACCTCGAATTCGAGCTCGATGATGCATATTAACTGGTATGTAGTCTACGCACGCGTAGTAATATGCTGTATTGCTAGGTTTTTCAGGTATTTGTAGCATCACTTTCTTGAGGTTTATGCTAGGGATATTCGTATGATAGTACCAGGGCTTGATAAGATATGAGCACATTTTAGCTTCATGAGCAGATGCAAGTTACAGGAGTCTAGGCGACATTCTGCGAGACATATCACCTGGATCAAAGCCCTGCACCTTTCGACGCTTCATTATTGTACATCTCCTCCTGTGACATGCCTTCCTTCCCTTTATACTTCGGCATCGTGCTGAAAATGAGCTCCTGAGTGAGCATCGCGAATCAGCGACTTATCATAGCTCTTACCCGTCCTCAGCTGTGAGTTCCTGCATAAGCTCACTCTCACCCTTGTGACCGGACCACTTGGGTATGCCGTCGGGTACTTCCATGACCCTGGCAGACGGACGGTCAAATAGAGTTAGATGCGAGGTCAAGCAGCTACTCACCGTTCTTTGTAGAATATATGTGCCGTGGGGTGGAAATCCTTGGGCACCTTGCCATCTTCGAACTTGAATGAGCTTGGATACGCCAGGACTGTGTTACGACCCTCGTCAAAAATAGGCGAGCGACACTGGTCGCACGACACCTGGGTCGCGCGGTCAGAACCCTCACTGCGTAGCGAATACTACTACCGATGACGAACCTTGCAGGGGACGTGATGTTCGTCGGATCTTTTAGTAGTACTGAAGAAGTGCAGGCTATTGTCTTCGTTCTTGATCATCCTCACGGATGTCTTGGGACATGATTACTATGCAGTAAATACAGGTTAAGACAATGGACACTCACCTTTGGAAAGATAACAGCCCATTGGAAGGGCGCGCCATGGAGATGCTGACATTGACGACAGTGGCAGTGTTTCGCGTCCACAGGATCCCCGTGAAACTCGAAGGCGACATTACCGCACCAGCATTCACTGTTAATCTGTCAAACGTGCAATAGACAGTATCACACGGCAACACTCACCTGAAGTATTTAGGGACGAACTTGTCACTCGTCCAGCTGTATGGTGGTTTGGTTAGAAAGTCGTGCTCAGTATCACCGCCTTGCCGGCTGGGGATGGGAGCAGTCCAACCAGTATCTGGCGTAGGCTTGTAGCGTAGTTTTTCATGACGGTCTTCTGGGGGTGGATGGGGGATGGTCGAGTGTTCGCCCTCGCGCACTTCCGCCTCTGGATGTGCGTTGGGCTTCACACGACTGTGCTCCTGTGACATTGTTGTTCAAGCTGTGTGGGCTGATATGCTTGCGTATGGCAAGGATACAAAAACTGCTACGTGATACAAAGCTACAATCCTGGCTCAAAATTTATAGCCCCCGGGCTGCAGCTCCTTCTCAGTTTGCCTGACGTCACTCTCCGCGTAGTTCCATCGCGCGACACGGGCGCGTCCACAGCGGGGCTCGCTGCACTTCGAACATTAAACCACAACCACGACATCGCGCGCGTCGACTACAGGAACAAAAAGTCCATAGAGAGTGCAGAACCTCCAAGTTTATCTGACCGCAAGTGCCGTAGTTAGTCCGCGAAAATGCCGCCCGTGTTCTCGCGACTCCTTCCAGTTCTTACAAGCGCATACACCCTGCAGACAGGTGAGTCGAGGACGAGTCCGAGGACAATCTACACTAACTGATACATTTTACACAGCTTTTGCTCTCTATTTTGTTCCCAGAGCTAACGAAAAGTACTATGACCTCGCAGGCGCATTAGGTTTCTTGTCCACGACATTTGTGTCCCTTTACTACCCCTCTCTGAAGACAAAGTTCTGGGATCACATGCCTGATACGATTTTGCCAGCACTCAGTACCTTTGCTCCAAGGCAGCTATTGGCGACAGCTGCCCTGAGCATGTGGTGCATACGTTTAGGTACATTCCTAGCCATGGTCAGTTACGGTCTGGAGGGCAGAATATGCAGCGTGATTAATGTCGTCTCTTGTGGCAGAGAGCACTGAAAGCAGGTGGAGATTCTCGATTTGATGAAGTGAAGCACCAGCCTGGCAAGTTTGCTGGTTACTGGATGGCTCAGGGTGCGTGCCCTCGGTGCTTTTACGCTCCTACGCCCCCTTGACTCGCTCGATACAGCGACTTGGGTGTTCCTTGTCGGCCTGCCTGTCTATCTGGTATGCATTGAACTTTGGTCGCATCTCATATAACCTGACTTGGATGTAGGTTAATACCATCCCGCCTGCGGCACACTCACCTTTGGGTGCCCGGGATCATCTTTCAGTCTCAATCTTTACCGCCTCCTGGCTCCTTGAGATCGGTGAGTGGACGAAACCTTCATCGCTCGTCTATATGCAGAGATGATCCTGTCGACACGTTTTTCTGCTTCTATGCCACACGCTCTGCATTGCCCCTTAAGCACATATTGCGCTTCTTTTCCTCCTGACCTTCTAAGCCTCATATCTGATATGCCCCCTGCGCGCCTCGACAGTTGCTGATCACCAGAAGACGGTCTGGCGGCGCGCTAAGGACAACAAAGAACACGATGAGCAGTTTATTAGCACCGGCTTGTGGAGTTTGAGCCGTCACCCCAAGTACGTCAACCTAAAAACGTTCACGGACCTTCTCGTCCTCCCCGGGAGTTCCAAAATCTGCCTCTGATCCGCAGTCCAGGGCTGCTTAAGAGAGTCCCTCCCGTGGCGTCTGTCTACAATACTGCACTTTTCATTGGTACTCATCTTCCGGGGTAGTTACGTCGGTGAAGTATGCCTTTGGGTGGGTATATGGGCGTTGTGTTCGACGTCCTTGACTGCGCCTTACGTCCCCCGGTACACCTGGCTATTCACCGCAGTCTCGCCCCTCATGACCTACTTTTTGCTGAGGAAGGTTTCGGGAGTCCCACCATTGGAGGTATGTCCACACTCTGTTTTGTCACGGGCTTACTGTTTTTGTTATTATTGCCGGCGATACGAACGCAATGATTCCAGATGGCACAGCATTGTGTTCCGACGGTGTCTCTTGTACTGCTGACTCGGCTTCGAAACCTTTCTGGTCCTTCAGGTGATCCTGTCCGCGAAGCCGGGTTAGCCTGCGAACAATATGAGCGCCGTCTACGTTCTCGGCCCTTTTTCCGTTCGCTCGCCCATCTCATCTATCCTTTTCCACTTCGCCTTGCGTGGGAATTTTAGCGAAGCTCGTGGATACTGCTGCATTGCATGCTAACTTGGACATTCCACCTCTCAGAAAGCTGGCGACAAAAGGTTTGCTGGCCCGAAATGGGATCATTACAAGCGGTAAGCGACACTCCTGCAGGTCATCGCGCGTCACTCATGGCAGAGCCTTCTCACCCTTACCGCTGTCTTGCACGAACCTGCACGACACAATACCCATCAAAACACCCTCCGTCGGCTCTGCCGTAATCTCTCCATCGTCGTCGCGACGGGCATGGTGTTATCGTGGCATTCTGACGTCGGTCACAGAACTGTCCCGATCTTTTGGCCCTGGGGAGGGATGTCCTGAGCGGCAGCTCTTTCGATATTTTGTACAGCGGGCTTCTTCAATGGGATATTCCTGTTTACCACCGCTGAGATTGACCCACAATGTGCCTGATTTCGGCCGACACAAGATGGTTCTCAACTTACGGGCGCTTGGCGCAGTGGTAGTGCGCCCGCATCGCATCGAGGCTCGTTGGCTAATTTCCATATGCAGTGAGTTAGGAGTTCTAATCCACACCTGCTCTTGAATTTTTTTTGTGCGAGCTCAAATCGCTGACAGCGACTAGAACGTCAAGATACGCGTTGAGTTGTGGGGCCATCTGGCGCAGTGTGTGGTGCCTGGCAAGTGAGCAGTGCAGGTGCTGAGAACTGGCATCGAAGCGGTGAGGCACGGGCGGTAGATCACCGTGATCCAAGTTCTAGCCTAGTTAACGTTGATTGATGAATGCTTCCCCGGTGTACCGATCTGAACTCAGTTTTTACGTTGTGGACACAGGCGCGTTATGACAGAGATAGCACGGCAGTGGGCAGCACGTTAGTTACCCGACGGGTCGGTGCCCCATACACATGAGGCCCTATAAAGGCACACGACATCATGCAGCAGCGACTGCCCGCAGGACACACCTATCCCCACCTATCGACTAGCACTGTACTCCCCAGCGAAAATTCCCTGCACGATGTCCTCTCCGCCGCCGCCACACGCAAGCACACCAGCAGAGCATGCCGCTGTGCAGGACTACCGAGCTAACGTCTGGACGCCGTTTCAGAACTGCTACGAAGACCGATGGAGCCAGTGTAAGTCCCCGGTCGGCACCCATAACCAGACATCCGGCTGACCTCCCGCGACGCAGCACGGTGGGATGCAGCCATCCGTAAGCGACCGTCGCGCGTTCCCGGTCTCCGGGCCCATGGCACCCACTTACGCATGCCGTCTATAGGTGATTTCAGGAAGCGCCACGACATGGGTGTACTCGAGGCTCTGCGAGCCAAAAAGGTTCTGCCGCCCTGGGATGTGCTCGAGGCACAGCTGAAGAGGGGCCCCCCGCCGTTCCTGCGCCCAGGCTGGACGAGCCCGCTGGTCGGCCGGCAGGTCGACCTGAGGTGGCTGGACCCAAACGCGTTCACGCGTATCAGAGGCACGATGGACGACTGGCATGCGTCCAGGATCGTTCTGATCGAATTTTGGGCAACGTCAGTGGCCACTCCCGCTATGTTTCGATGTGATCCCGTGCGCTCATTTATCTGCATTTTGATGTGTACATAGGTGGTGCCGCGTGAGCGTTATGCTTAATTCCCGCGCGACGAAACGCTGACTCATATGTCACAGCCTTGTCATAACGTGTTCGCTCATCTTTCGCACCTGGCCAATAACGAGCCGAGGGTGAAGGTCATCACTTTCGCGGACGAAGGAATCTTCAATGGCGCACCCACAGACGTTGGCGTGCTGAAGCAGTTCATTTTTGCCAGGGGAGACATGAACTATCCCATCTTTGTCGACAACAATCACGTCGCCTACAACGGTACGTGCCGTGTTGCAGTGTCGGAGCCATATTTCTGAAAATACACAAGCCCTCTTCAAGCCGGGGCAGAACTTTTCGATACCGCTCGGTTAGTTCTGAATACTCGTGATCCACGAGATGACTCACCTGCTGATTTGACACGTATGCAGTTTTCATCATTACAACTCATGATAGGAAGGTTCAATGGGTAGGCAACGGCGAGGAACTCGATGCTCCCCTCGCAATCGCTCTGGCGTCCTTGCGCTGAGCGCATGTCACGCTACGCCCTCTGGAAAATATGTCCCGCCCTTCTGCTTGGAAACTTTTGCCCAGCTGTATCTTTAACGTATGTCATTGCCCGGATCTATGTATGTACACAATAAGCGTGTATGTGTGAGAGCCTACGTACAATAGAATGTATCAGTGTCCTTTCCGCCGTCTCTAAAACGCATTCTTCCTTATACTGCGGTGAAAACGCCGAAAGTGCCCTTGCCATTCTGCTCGAGTCCGTTCCCGCTTCTTTCGCAGCCATATTGCGCGAAGGAGCCTAACGATCTTCTCGCGACTATCGGTAAAGTTCGCCTACCAAGAGTACCAAGAGCTGCTTTAGACACGCGCAGGACACGTTGTACGTGCGGACCCACCTCTGAAACATCGAGCAGAGCTTGGCTCTCCTCTGGGGTGACCTCGCGCCTCCAGGTGGACACGACAAAAGGATCAAACCCGGGAGCCCGAGCCTCATGGGGTGCTAGTGGAATATAGACAACTCCGATACCGTCTCGCTTCAGGAGCGCCTCCTCATCGAGATCCTCGAGGCGCGACGAGTCCGCTTCGTGCGACTCGGAGGAGCCTATCCAGACCTCGCACGATCGCAAGGGGTGCTGGCGCGGGGGCGTCTCGTCGTCTGGGCGAAGCGAGTGGTAAGCGACGTGCATGAACTTTCCCATGACGGGGACTCACGATCGGGTATACCGCGCTCGTCTGTGGAACTTTGGCGGTGCGTCTGTTCGGCGAGAGCGGACTCCTGGGTCTCCGCCAGTTTCCGACTTGCCGCGCGGGCTTCCTCGTCACCCACCGCGAGCCCTACGACTTCGCCGGAATTTTTTGCGTGCAAATGAGCAGGATGCACCTCAGCAGGCCAGCTGGCGCCTCGGGGCCAGGTACGCAGGCCTCGTCTAGCAGCTAGTTCTGTAAGCGAAGTCAGCTCGACCAGCCAGATCGACGCCTTGACGACGGCGACTTGCCTTCCGCACGAGTGAACCACAAGTCCTGTGTAGGAAACGCCAAACATCAGATAAATTGCCCGCCGTTATTGTGTTGCGTTCAAGACCCACCTGAGAATCCGCGCTCGCATCGAGGGCAATTATACAGTCGACGCTCCTCCTCAGAAGAGGATAATAGGGTATGTTTAATTCCGCTAGATGAAGTTGACAGTCGTTAACAAAAGGCTCAATCCCGGATTCCCACAGCTGTTCCGTTACCTCCTGCATCCTATCGCCAGCGTCAGCGGGGCTTCTAATGGGCGCAACATTGCATACTTGCCATGAAGGTCATATACTCTCTATCGGCGAGATCCGGCGGGCTTCCACTGCGTAGTTGTCCGTTCAATCCTTTTAAGAAGTTCGGTATCTGTAATGAACGGTGATACCGTCGGGTCGGTCTATTCAAATATATGAGGATCTGCGCATACCTGATCAGGCAATACGGGATGTATAAGACCCAAATCCCTTTCATTCTCAGAGATGATCTCTAAAAGCCAACGATACAGCTGCGATGGGAATAACTCGAGGGTTGGTTGAATCTCCCGAAAATACAGCTGACATAGAAGAGTTCAGTAGGTGCCCTACTGGGATAGATGAGGTTATGATACCTTTAACGATGCACAAAAGGCGGAACCGAATATACTGGGCGCGCCGTTCATATGCGCTCATGTCAATAGGCCGCTCAATGACTTACCCTGCAAGGATGGTGAAACCAAGCTCGGGCTGTGCGTGGCAGAACTTAGCGGACGTTAATGCAGGCATCAATGAAAAAAACACCTACCCGGCGCTCGAGACTCTTGCCGTTGTGGAATTCACGGCCGAAAGACCACGAAGGGATCCAAGCTTTGTGACCGCTGAGCCACAAGCCCCGAGAATGCGCTGAGACACATGGACTCACCTCCGATCTCGTCGCAGCCTACTTCATAGGGCGTAAACTCGTACCAGAAGAATCGCGAGCTGATATTAGAGACATAGGCCTGGGCCCGGCCTATTTCATCTACACGTTTCGAATCGTCATCGGCAACTCTTTCTGACTGCAGTTCTCGAATGGCTTGGATTGCGATAGGGGGTATCGCTGCGCATTAGGCGAGTCAGAGTCTAGAGATAGTTTGGAGTGAGAAGACAATGTTTACCATGCTGAATAGCTGTGAAGATGGGCATAGGTAGCTGTCCTCGATCAATTCCCTTGCGCATTAGATGCAGAGACAAATTCTGCGGATCCAAGCGGCTGAGATCTGACGGCACCAGAATTCTTGAACCAAGCAAAGTTCCATACACATCAACCAATGAGATGGTGCCTTTGAGGCCGGCTGCCTTGCGCAGCAAACCATACTGTAAATTGGGGTGTGAGCACGCAACAAATGCTGGTTCACGTGGTACTCGCCAATAAGTACTATATCGCAGAGAGTCCGATCTCAATTGCTTCCCTAGAAGCAGAGTCTGATCACACACCTTGTTGGTGGGTGGAGTAACCAGTGCATCTAGAGTGTCCATGTCAAGGTAGCTCGTCTGTATGCGGTCTTTAAGATGCCGAGCTGCGTCTTGTGGAGTGTAGGACCCTGACACTCCAGAATGCATAACGCCTAGGGCCCAGCAGGTCCCTGATATATGAGATGAGTGGGCGATATATTGCGAGAATGTACGGCATTCGTCACCTGATACTCCTGCAGTATACGTAGCGCAATCCAAGACCCCCGCGGATGCTGCCCCGCATAGAGACCCTATGGTGTTCAACATCGCACGATAACCTGCATAAAATCAGCATGCTTCCTAGAAACGTGTTTACGCAGTAAGGTTCACCTCCCCCAGAGCCTGCGATAGCCACTATCGGCAGGTCGCGTTCATCGACCTCGGCCTCTGGAACTCCCATGAGCTGTGCGAAGGATGCTCTCATGACCCGCTTGCGTTCGGCAACAAAAGCACGCTCTGCTAAGCACAAATCCTCCCCCAGCCTGACTTCCGCGTCCCACTCTATCTCTGGGTAAATGTTCGGGTCCGGTCGGGTATCCATGATCTCGGAGTATAAAGAGCCAGGACCTAGGCTAAGCTCTTGGAAGAGGGCAGAAATACGAGAGCGAACGGCAGAGAAATCTAGAGCAGTCGGCCATGACCATTCGGACATGGCGGCAGTTATCGCCGTCGCGGACCACGCAGACCTGAGTAAGTTGAGACCTTGCCAGGGTTCCTAAGACATTGTCAGTTTTCAAGTGCGCAGGTTCCATTTTTTCAGTCATGCGTACCAGCTGTTGCTTCCGTTAGCTCTACCGCGTCGGGAGAAATATGATAGACAGGCTTACCCATTTGTTCACTGACTGGACGGCGGGTTCGGTTTGATGAACGTCTACTTCTTCGGCCTAGTAATCAGAGTCAAACAAGAGAAAATCTTTTACCAAAGTATTTCATTCGCTTACGCGGACATCAACTTGTCTCGGTGCCTCGTCTGCGTATATATGACTCTCGGATGCATAAACGAGCGTGCCGCTTATTGAGCCGCTGACAATTAGCCATTTGAACCATGCTAAGACAATTTTAAATGATTTTTAAATGATCCGAGACGAAAAAATTCACTCACTGTGCGCAAAGTCTTCGTATCTCCTGCGTGTATCTAGAGACGCGTCCCGCAACTGCACCAACCCCAGGCGGCCCAACGCTGTGTTCGTGGTACTTCTGAAGACCCCAGCTCGCACGAATAGCCACAGCATGCTACGCATGGCTACCTGACGAGCACTGCTCGACGTCGTGTGCTACACCCGCGGAGCCTGAGAACATACGAAGATGGAGGGAGGCGACAACGTACCCGGGCCCCGCCCGGCGCCCGATCAACACGCCGCGCCCTGTAATCACGTGATCGCCTCCGTCACTTTCCGTCATCGCTCTCGGGCGTCTGTGGCGAACGCCACGAAGGCGGCTTGGTGGTCGTGCACTCTGGCGCGCATGCGCTGTTACACCAAGGGGCGGCGGGTGCGACATCTGCCCCGCGCGCTGTGCTGGCCGCCTGAACTCGGTGCTGCGTCGCGAGCTGCGATCCCAAGCGCGAAGGTTCCTTAATAACTACCTCTTTGGCCACCGCAGGCCATATGAGCGGCGCATGTGCATGAGACCTGTCAAGGAGCGTGCGCAGGCTGAGGGCACGAATCTCCGCCCGTGCCTTCTGTGATAGATGAACTCGACAGAGAAAAGGGCCCGACTGAACAGGGGAACACACGGAACTTCCGCCGGTGGGAACTCTGCGCCAACATCAACGTAAAGCCGGCAGAGCCTTCAGTGTTGTACATCGTGCTTGATTGCTAGGTTCAAGAGATACAGCGACCGTGCTGCAGGCTTCGCTGCCTCGCAGTTGATAGCCTGTTCAGTATCCTTGACAACCCTGAACGACCTGCAACCCTGTGCCCAGGCCAGCGTGAGAGCCGGCCAGGATCTCGCAACTCAGGGTTACCCGGACGCCACGATGGCACTGAAGCCGCCATCCCCCACACTCGAAAAGAACTCGGACGGCACAAGGGATTAATCAATAACGTCCACGAGTGTACAGGTTAGTGTTTTACAATTTACTAGTACTGCTATGCGATACAATGTCTTTGATCCATGCGGCGGGCGCTACAACGGAGGCCTACACCATCAAAACGAATGTGACGCGAACGAAGGGGATAATGATAGGTCGAACAAGGCAAAACGGGTTGCATGGCGAAAGGCGATTCCTGGGTATCGTTTCTTCATCTGGGGCTCCGGTAGGGTGTCCAAGGGGAGCCGGTTCCCTGCCGTCTCCTACAGTGGACCACCTCCCAACCGCCCTTCTATGCTGAGCAATCTATCATCTCCCAGTCCTCGCCCCCAACTGCAACCCACGACGAAGCCAGCAGACTATCGCTGCCGTCCATCATGTCGACGTCCCCCTCTGCATCGCGCTGAGATGCAACCAGCTTTTCGAGTTCCCTCGTCGCGTTGTAGATCGACAGGGCGAGCCTGGGACCCATGTGCAGGATCTTTTGGCCCTCGGGCGACAGACGCATCCGCGTCGTTATCGCCACGCGATACAAGTCGGGCTCCGGTTTGGAGCGGGGAAAGTGTGTGCGCGCAGCGGGGACTGCGCGGATCGGTGGTGCTGCGAGCGGCGAGGGACTGCGCAGCCCGTTCATGGGCACAGGGCGTGACGGAGGCGGAGTCGGAGATGGAGGACGTGGCACTTTCGGGCTGATCGTTACGCGCTCGCTGGAGCAGCTCCGTGGGGCAGATTTTCGACGCTCGCGCGGCTCTTTGGTAGGCTGGCGGGGTAGTCGTTTGTATGCTTCGAGAGATGTGCTGTCGTGTTTGTGGTAAGAAGGTCCCGCTCTGGGTTGTGACTGTCGGCCCTGCACATCTGCAAGGGAGATATAGGATCCTGACCGGGTGAGCTGGCGCGCAGCCTTGGTCGGCTGGGGGCTCGAGAAGGACATAGTGCGCTTCCGGAGTGTGACGGGGGGCACTGTTATAGGTGCAAGGGTAAGGCCGGGCATCGCAGATGGGACTGGAACCTGTAGAGACGGCCGCGACCGGTGATGGAAAGCTGGATACGTGATGGGAGAGCGAAGCAAAACTCCCCACGAAGAATTTGAGCGAGCGGACAGCGCTGTATATCAGGGCGTCTACACGTGTCTCTTTCGGCGTCCGCCGCGAAAAAGAGGATCGGCGAGGGAGAGTGTACCTTGCGTGGCAGTGACTACAGCGTGCGTCAGGAGGGCGAGATGTGTGGCTCCGAGCCGTCGATGTAAGCGGACGTTTGACGGAGGACGTGGGAGGGGAAAAAGCCCCCGTAGCGAGCAGCGCCTTATGTATGGCCGGCGCTTGAGAAGAACAAGAGAGGGCAGTGCGAGCAGAGCAGCCATCTGAGATACAACCAGACAGCCACAATTGGGGGGATGCTTTGTTGTTTTGAACTCTCCATTTCGGAAACTGCGGCGTAACAGACAACCATCGCTCACCTAGACCCAATTGTCCCAGCCCCTGGACTAGTCATGAGGAATCATTCTGCGGTCACCTCTTCGCCGCAGTGCAGAATGCAGAGCCTGAATGAATCCACTCCAGCCCGGCAGGTTCGCATGGCTTGTGTCAAACATCGGGTGGGCTCCTATCTCGTCATAAGAGTCATCAGTCAAGGCAGTGACAACACACGTAGAGAGCAGTGCGGAACAGCGAAACGTATCAGGGCTGTGATTGGCATAATCCTGACGAGGGGGAATGAGCGGATGTCACTGGAGTGCAGCGCTAGCGGCGGGCCGACAGGCGCACTCCTATGTCGACGTCAGGAGATCTGCCGCAGAGCAGTAAGGACAGACAGCTGTTAGGGCGGCTGCATTCGCCCCTGTAGATAAGGTAGGCGGATAAACACGTCGTTCCTAGCAAGAATGGGCGAGTCGAGACTGATTGCACAATGCCAGAGAGATGCAGGAACAGCGAGCAGCCGGGGGAACCCAGAGAAGGTATTGCTGGAGATGCCGTCGTTGTCGTCGTCGCGGAGTAGAGCGAGGAAACGGACAGGAACAGTTTGATTCACGGTAGGCGATAAGGCGCCCCCTGCCGAGGGTGGGTCAACCTGCTCTATCTTATCTTTCCACCCTTGCAGCCAGCAGCCTATCATGAGTGCGGGGTGGCTCCTTACAGTCTGGCTCGACTCAGCTTTTCCCTTCTGCATAGGCCATCACCATGCGCATCTCTCCCAGGGAGCAGGACAAGCTTCTCCTGCATCAGGTACGCGTGCCGTCACTGGGCGAGCTACAACGCGACTTCTCACCAAGTCATCTTACAGGCAGGATACTTGGCTCAGAAGAGACTCGCCAGGGGTCTCCGTCTCAACCAGACCGAGGCAGTGGCCCTGATTGCTTCCCAGCTTCAAGAACGCGTCCGTGATGGAAGGCACTCCGTCGCAGACCTGATGCAGCATGGAAAGACTTTGCTCGGACGCAGGCATGTCCTTCCAGGGGTTCCTACTCTCCTTCACGAGATACAGGTCGAGGGGACCTTCGTAGATGGGTGGGTGCCACGACAACGAGATGATGCCCAATCACAGTCTGACAGACGTACAGTGTATTCCTAGTCACCGTCCATGATCCCATCTGCAGCGAAGATGGCGACCTTGCCGCTGCCCTGTACGGCTCCTTCCTTCCCATCCCGTCTGCAGACGCGTTTCCGCCCATCGATGCGTCTGAGTTCGCGCGGGACAAGGCTCCGGGGGCCATCATAGTGAAAAAGGAGCCGATAACCCTAAACAAGGGCCGCGAACGCATCAAGCTCCAGGTTACAAACAACGGTGATCGGCCAGTGCAGGTACGCAATCCGTAACTTTGATCAGAAGGCTCGTTGGCTCAGCTGCGGTCTGTTCAAGATTGGTTCCCACTACCATTTCATCGAGACGAACTCGGCGCTCGTTTTCGACCGCGGCAAAGCATATGGAAAGCGACTTGATATCGCAGCTGGCACCGCCGTCCGTTTCGAGCCTGGCGATCCCAAGACAGTGACACTGGTCGATATCGGTGGCGCGAAGGTCATCTCAGGAGGAAACCGGCTCGCTACGGGTGTGGTAGACCTCTCCAGGACAGACGAAATCGTCGCGGACCTGATGCGCAAGGGGTTCGCGCATGTGCCCGAGCCAGGGGCTATGGAGGTGTCGATGGATACCACCATCTCGCGCGAAGCGTACGTGGCCATGTTCGGACCGACCGTCGGTGATCGCGTGCGCCTGGGAGACACTGCACTTTGGATTGAGGTGGAACGAGATATGGTAGGACTTTCGCCCTTGTGCATCGCTCAGAGCTCACCTCCGTGTTGTAGACTGTCTACGGTGACGAGGTCAAGTTCGGTGGTGGAAAAACCATCCGCGAGGGCATGGGCCAGGCCACAGACCGTTCTTCCAAGGGGTGCCTGGACTTGGTCATCACTAACGCTCTCATCATCGACTGGTCTGGCATCTACAAGGTGAATGGCAGTTTCACTGCCACTATGCTTTTCTGACCTGTCTTAAAAAGGCGGATATTGGTGTGCGCGGCGGGAACATTGTTGGCATCGGCAAGGCAGGCAACCCCGATGTCATGGACGGCGTCGACAAGAACCTCGTCGTCGGCTCGTCCACGGAGGCCATCGCCGGCGAAAAGCTCATCGTCACCGCAGGCGCGATCGATGCCCATTGCCACTACATCTGCCCGCAGCAGGTTACCGAGGCCCTCGCGTCGGGCACGACGACGATGATGGCGGCGGCACGGGCCCGTCGAGCGGCACGAACGCCACGACGTGCACGCCGAGCCCGTTCTACATGCGCCACATGCTCGCGGCGACGGATGGCCTGCCGATGAACTTCGGCTTTACGGGCAAGGGCAACGATTCGGGTCCGACCGCGCTCGAGGAGATCGTCAAGGCTGGCGCGTGCGGGCTGAAGCTGCACGAGGACTGGGGGACAACGCCGTCTGCGATTATCAGCTGTTTGGACATTGGAGACAAGTACGACGTGCAGGTCAGTCAAGTGACTACTGAGTCGTTGCTTGGTCTAATGCTTGTCAGGTCAACATCCATACGGACACCTTAAACGAGAGTGGTTTCGTCGAGAGTAAGCCAACCCTCCAGCTGGCCGAGTGTGCACTAACATACCATTTGATCAGGCACCATCAAGGCATTTGGTGGCCGCACCATTCATACCTATCATACGGAAGGTGCCGGAGGCGGACATGCACCTGATATCATCACTGTTTGCGAGTTTGACAACGTTTTACCATCTTCGACCAATCCCACACGCCCGTACGCAAATAACACTCTGGACGAGCATCTTGATGTAGGTTCCTATCGAATGCCATTAAACTCTAACTAAACTGCAACCATCAGATGCTCATGGTTTGCCACCACCTGGACAGGAACATCCCGGAGGACATCGCCTTTGCCGAGTCGCGCATCCGCGCGGAGACGGTCGCCGCAGAGGACGTGCTGCACGACACCGGCGCTATCTCCATGATCTCCTCGGACTCCCAGGCAATGGGCCGCGTCGGCGAGGTCGTGTCCCGCACGTGGCGCACGGCAAGCAAGATGCGCGAGTTCGCAGGCCCTCTCGGCGCGCTCGGCGACGCCGAGGGCTGCGACAACGGGCGTGTGAAGCGCTACGTCTCGAAATACACGATCAACCCGTACGTGTGCATCCTGAGGTGGCGGGCCCGGGGTAGCTGACGTCTGTCTGTCTGTCTGTGCCAGCGCCATCACGCATGGCATAAGCCACCTCGTTGGCCAGGTCGCCGTCGGCCGGCTCGCCGACCTCGTCCTCTGGAGGCCCGAGAACTTTGGCACGAAGCCCGAGATGGTCCTCAAGTCCGGCGTCATCGCCTGGTGCCAGGTGCGTCTCCTGCCCGCCGCTCCCTCCGGCCGTCTCTTCCTCCCCTTGTACCTGATACGTGATGCGCGGACAGATGGGCGACGCGAACGCGTCCATCCCGACCGTCCAGCCGTTCATCGGCCGGCCGATGTGGGGCGCGCACGCCGCGAGCGCCGCGCTGAACTCGGTCTCGTTCGTGAGCGAGGTGAGCACCGCGAGCGGCGCCGTCGCGGCGTACGGGCTCGCGAAGCGCGTCGAACCCGTGCGCGGCTGTCGCAAGGTCACGAAGAAGGACATGAAGTGGAACGACGCGACGCCGAAGATGCGCGTCGACCCCGAGTCGTACGAGGTCTACGCGGATGGCGTGCTCATGGATATTAAGCCTGCAGAAAGGCTGCCGTTGACGAGATTCTACAATTTGTTCTAGTGGTTCGGACAAGAAACGATTGTAGGAGATGACTGGTTGAACTTTGATTGTATGGGTAGCCGGAGCAAGTGTACAATAGGGCATGGAGGCAACGCACTGTTGACGAATGAGATACCAAGTGGAGATTTGAAAATCATGAAAGTCGTAGCATAAGAAGAGTTGCGACCTCGTACGTAGGTCCATGCTCATAGCCATTAAGGGCGATCGGTGAAAACGAGCGTCACATCGCCATCGTCAGAGCCGGATGTAGGGTCGATCGTGAAGTATATCTCGCACGGTGGCTCTGCAGCGCTGTCGCCCTCACGAGAGCTGTCCAACTCTGTGTTAACATCGGCTGTAGGATCCCGCAGCGGCTCGTGCCTCATGATCTCATTATGAGGGCTCTCTTGAGATATGTCTCCTAGTGACGATGCGTGGAAGAATAGACTCGATGCGATCGTCGGGGACGGGGTAGGACCAAAGAGTTGAGAGACAGCCTCCAGAAAGGGCAGCTGTTCGTTGTAGAACACGGCGTATCTCTTCGGTGACGGCGATACCGAGCTCAAAGGGGATTCCGAAGGGCCGTCGTCGGCGCGAGGAAAGCTTCTGCCGAGTGTCACCGAGCGCTGTGGTCTCTCGCCTCGTGATGGTTGGGCTTGTGGCAAGGTTCTCCCCAGTAGCTCGGACCTGCTGGGCCGCGAGCAGTTACTCGGCTCGGAGCCTCGGCGTCGTCTAAGTCGTTCATCCTGGTCTTGGAATGCCGGCCGAGCGGACAAAGGTGGTCGTGTGGCAAGCTCTTGCTCCTCCCAAGTACCCAAGGGCGGGCGGGCGTACCGCGAGTAATCGTGAGTTGTAGTGACGCGAGCGCCGCCCTGGGCGGAGATGGCATCTTGTGGCTATGCCAAACTTTAATGAAAGCTTGGGATGATCTGGGAGTAATGAGACTCACGTCGGAATAGAGCAGAGATATGGTCGCATCTATACTTGGTACAGATATCTCTTGCTTGGGTCCCCCATGCTGCGGTGTCTGGTTGTTTGATTTTCTCAGACTAGGTTTCCTGAATATATCTCGTGCCCGGGACAAGCTGGAAGCTGGCATGCTGAGAAAGGCGACGAGGGAGAAGGTGGAGGAGAGTAAGGGCTGTCATGCTTGCGGCACAAACACCAGCTATAAACTGCCATTGGACAAAGAAACGAAGCGAGAAAGCAAGGACAAAGGGCCTTTGCAGGGGGGAGTCGCCGACTCCCGCTCCGTTGCAGAGTTATTACCGTGCACGTGACACGTGGCGGGGTGAAGTTGGGAGATTACCAAGGCTGATCAACCTGAGACTTGTGTTGAAAGCGTCGGAGAGAAAGACCGACAGTAAGCAGTGAATAATGGAGGCGGGCCGCGATGACCGACTGGTGGTGTGACTGGCGGTGTTAGACGTGGCTACAACGAGTCGGGAAGAGGTGGCAGAGTACTAGAGCAAGACCGTTTTGGGTGCTTCGACAGTCAGATGGCACGGCAGCCAGGCGATACAGAGGGAATGATAAGATGCATGCGAACACTTCCAGCGACTTTACGTATTGTTGAGCAGCGAGACCCACAGGAAGATTCGCTCTCTGCTGACGATGATGGCTTTCGCGGATGCGTAGGCGGATGAATTTGTCTCTCGTTTGGGCCTCGGGCTACAGCGCCAGCGGCCGGTTATGTAAACCGAAGCGGCCCCCATACGGGCGCTTATGGCTTAATCTTCGATTTGTTTCTGGTCGACGTTCGGCATTCTGTGTCGGAGTCGCTCCCTGCGCCCTTCAGGATGACTCTTGTCTGCCTTATAAATGTACCCCACAACGGGTCCATGCATTCTTCTCCCCGGTTCCCTTTCCCCTTTCCCCTTCTCTATTCTTATTCTTTCTAACCTATCATGACCGCTACGACCGTCGATGAAGAGACACCCCTGCTTCCAGAGCAGCAAAAAAAGAAGCCCACTCCACTGCCGTGGGCCCAGTTCTCTATCCTTCTAATCCTCCAACTCGCGGAACCCCTCACCAGCCAGGTTATTTACCCTTTCCTTCCCCAAGTACGTTCCCGGCATTTACAGTCATCTTCATCTCCTCACTGATTGGCACCTGTAGTTAGTCCGTGATGTAGGCGTCACCCACGGAGACGAAACTCGCGTGGGCTATTATGTCGGTGTCATGGTGAGCAACCACGGTCGTAGTCGCAGTCTTAAACAAGAGAACTAACGGCCCCCAGCAATCTGTATTCTTTGCGACACAAGCCATGACCGTCCTTCACTGGAGTCGCCTCTCAGACCACATCGGTCGCAAGCCGGTTATTATGACAGGCCTGTTTGGTCTGTCGTTATCCATGTATTGCTTTGGCCTCTCAAGAACATTTTGGGGTCGCCGTCCTCAGGTAGGCCCGACACTTGTACCCTTGGTTCCGATGCTGACCCCACGTACGTAGTCGAAGCCTGAACGGAGCGCTGAATGGTAACATTGGTGTGCTGAAGAGCATGATTGCGGAGATCACGGACTCTACCAACCTTCCCCAAGCGTATTCGTATCTGCCAATTGCCTGGAGTACCGGCGGCACTCTCGGGTACGCTCACCCGTGTTCATACCTTGGGTTGAAATGCTGACCACAATATGCTCGCCTCTTTTGTTCAGACCCATGATAGGCGGTTTCCTCTCCAGGCCAGTCGATCGCTTCCCAGACATCTTCGGTGGTTCCCGATTTCTGAGGGAGTACCCCTACTTCCTTGCATGTGCAGTCCCTGCGACCTTCTCCGCGTTCGCGTGTCTCGTTACACTTCTGTTCCTGCGCGAGGTAGGAGAATCGTCGCGTCACCGCTTTTGATTTTGCTGACTCGTTGCGTCAAAGACTGTGGCAACTCCCGGCTCTGTCCGGCGTATACTGAAGAACTGGCTCAGCAAGGATAATCTCGCTATCCAGAACGTCTCGAATGGTCAGGACAACAAGGCAACGGCCACAGTCGGGATCGTTACTTCGGCAAAGAAGAACGAACCGCTCCCTTTAAAGCAGCTGCTGATCCCCCGCGTTCTCATTGCTGCGCTGAACTACGCCTGTCTCGCCCTGGTCGACATTAGCGCTCGTGCTATCCTGCCTGTCTTCTATTCGACCCCTATAGAACTTGGTGGCTTGGGCTTGGCTCCGCACCACATTGGAAAGATCCTCGCCATCTACGGCATTCTCAATGGATTCGTGCAGATCTTTTACTTTGCGAAGACTCACGCCCGCTTCGGGACCAAGAACCTGTACATCGCCGGCATTGCATCATCGCTACTTGTCTTTGTTACCTTCCCAGTTATCAACTATCTGGCTAGGATAGCTGGCGACAAAGATGTCTATGTCTGGCTCGCAGTAGGCTTCCAGGTGATCGTATCGATTTTCATCAACTTTTCCTATGGTGAGTATTGCACGGAAGGCCGTCCTAGTCTATTCGAGGCTGATGCAGATTTCCGCTACAGGCTGCGTCTTCATCTATATCACCGCCTCATCACCCAACCGCGCATCCCTTGGAACTGTCAACGGCATGGCACAGTTCAGCGTATCCGTCGTTCGTGCCATTGGCCCTGCCGCGGCCAATTCGCTCTTTTCCTTATCGATTGACCCGAATCGCCACTATCTGAATGGGCACCTGGTCTATTGGGCCATGTCTGGCGTGACCTGCTTTGCCATCTGGGCAGGGTTGTATCTGCCGAAGAAGGTCTGGGGCCCCGAGGACGAGGACGAGTCATAATGCGCGTCACGACATCACACGAGTACTTTTTCTATCCGCACTTTTCAGTTTCTCGCATTGTACTGTACACACATACCATGTCCCCGAGCATTCCTTCACGTAGAGACAGTCTTCGTCTTTTTTTCCTACATGCAATGGATGTCTTTGGATAGTCGGATATCCGAGGTATGTGATTGGTGATCATGAGCTCAGACTCGCGCCCAGGCTCTGGCCACACTTCGGAGTAAACATAACCAAATGCAGCAAGGCCTGTGCTTTCCGTCGCTCAACGACCCATACCACGACTACCACATACTTATACCCCTTCATCCGTCTGGCGACTCGTTCTTTCGACATCTATAATCTGCTACGCCTACTACTACTGCTTTACTGGAAACTACATCTGCCATGACCTCCTTTGCTGCTCTTATGGCGCTTAGTGCCACACAAACACGAGAGTCTGAAGCACAAGTCCAGTCCCAGCTCGCAGACCGGAAGCGACGGGAAACACAGAAGCGCAAGGAGCTCGAGGAGAAGGAGCGCAGAGAGCGGGAGATAGAACAGAAGCTCCGGGCAAAGGCTCTTGAGGAGGCGCAGCGGGCGAAGGAGAGGGAACAGCTGCTCGAGGCCACAAAGCGTGCAAAGGAGGCAGCGCTGAAAAAGAAGGAGGAGGAACAGCGAGACGCACTGCGATACGGCCCCAAGAAGACCTATCCATCGTCGAGCCCGGCTGCGCGCGAGGAGGCCCGCCGCCGGCGCATGCCCGACTCCGACGACGAGACCGGAGGGTCTGCGCTCACGCGGGAAGAGAAGCGGCAGATGCGCCTCCAACGGGAGCTCAACTACGGGGCGAGCACCTCGCGGCGCTCGGCAGGCGGGTACAAGCGGACTGGGCGCCGTCTGGCGGGCGGGGCCGTCGACATCGACGCCACAGCTGCGAATGGCAGCGGCGGCGGGGGGCAGTACCGATCGGTGAAGGAGCGGCTCGCACACGAGCCCCCAGGCCTGATCAAGCTCAACGTCAACAAACGTGACACCCGCACGATTGACGAGATCTTGCAGGATCGGGCCAAGGCGAAGAACAAGACCCTCGCCGGCGACGAGGCCAAGCACTTTGACGACTGGTTCGGCAAGTCCAAGTCCAAGGCTGACTCGACCATCCCGCCGTCCCCGCCGTCGTCTATCTTTTCCTCGCGCAGCAACTCTCCCGTCCCCGCTGCCGTTTCGGAGGGCAAGGCTGCATCCAATGCTGTCTCACGCTCGAGCAAGTCGCTGTCGGGCACACCCCCTGTGGCCACGCAAGCCTCGGCAGCCTCATCCAAACCGTCGGTCCCAACCTACGCTTCGAAAGCGGTCACGCCTGCCCTTCCGAGCAAGGGATCCGGAGTGCAGGTCAAGCCCGTCGGTGGTACTCGGCCAGCTGACAAGTCCAGCGCCAACGGCCTTTCTACTCCCAAGCCTGCCAACGGGAAAGTCACGGCCGTGAAAACCGGTGCATCCTCGAGCAAAGCTGCCGCTGCCTCTTCGTGGGCCACTCGTGCAGGCGCAGCAGCGTCAAAGCAAGCTGGCCCCTCGTTTTCCAAGCTCGCTTCGTCCGGCGCACCGGTCAAGAAGCGTCCCCGCTCTCCCTCGCTCACTCCCTCGCCCCCGCCTCCGAAGCGACGTTCCGCTCCCCCGGCTGGCGGAAGCTCTATCAGCGCAGAAATCTGGAAGATCTTCGGCAAGGACAGGAACGCATACCTCGCGCGCGATGTGTTTAGCGACGACGAGGACATGGAGGCTGGTGCACACGACCTCGAGAGCGAAGAGTTATATAGGTCAGTGTTGCGTCTTTCTGTGCAAGCTGTGAGACGTGCGGTGTTAATGACCTGCTGTTATTAGTGCCAAGGTCGCTCGTCGTGAAGATGAGCTTGCGCTGGAGGAAGAGAAGCGTCATGAGGAAGAGAAGCGCAGAAGGAAGAAGGAGAAGGAGATCAAAGAAAAGAGAGGTGGCATCTAACGGCCCTGCTGACTTATGTGTGCATGAGCACCAGTTCACACGGTATGTTCTACATCCCATGAGTCTTTTTATTCTGTCTGTTCCATACTTTCTGCTTGACACGACATTGTCGTTGATTTTGTGTGGTGTATATATATCCATACCTAGCTTGCTCTGCTTGATCCTGCGTCGTCTCTTCTCGACTCACACGAAGTCCCTACAAGACCCATCTGTTGTACACCACCATGCATGTCACAGTCTAGATACATCATCCTGCATAATTTCATGCTCCATCCGTGGGCCATCAAGAGCCCAGCATCAGATAGAACAGGTATTCATTACAGGAAAATGAGAAGACCAGAAGAATGCTACAGCGATGAAATTATCGATGGCTCAATTACAGGAATGCTATGCGTCCTTGGAGTCTCGCAGAGGACAATATATCGGGACGGAGCGATGAGAGCAGACGGCCGGTTACCCGCTGTCGTCCATCTTGAACCGCTTCCTTGGGCCGTCGGGCCCAAACTGCCCACCGCCTTGCATGCCATTCTGCATGAACGCGGGGTTGAAGTGTCCCTGCACACTGTTGAAGCCTCCACGGCCTCCCATTGGCATAATATTGCCCATGCCGCCTACACAGAAGAGTGTCCGACAGTGAGTCCACGGGTCACATACAGAGTTCGCTAGAGGCCCATACCCATGCCACCCATCATGCCGCCCCTATTGCCCCCGAAGCCGCCGCCCATGCCTCCGCGCGGGCCCTGTGGGATCATGCCCCCGCGCCCCGCGAAACCTCCGCCACCCATACCAGTATTAGGCATACCACCTACGCCCATGCCCATGCCCATGCCCATACCCATGCCCATACCCATGCCACCCATGCCACCCATCATGTTGGTCATGCCGCCACGTATCATGCCGCCGCCCATCATGCCGCCGCCACCGCCGCGCATGTTCATGCCCATGCCCATGTTGTTACTGGCGGGCATGTTGTGGCCCATGCCACCACGGAAGCCGCCCCCGCCGCGAGTGGGTTGGTTCGTGGCGCCCTGGGCGCCGCCCGCATGCCGCATCTCACGCGGAGGAGGCTCTGAACACATTGTCAGCAGAGGTAAGTGCCGATTCCAGTGAACTTACCCTTAGGGAGTGTCCTAAAGGGATTGCCTTGTGATGAGCTTGTGAATGAGGCAGATGCCTTTCGGTTCTGGAAGTCGCTGTATTGTACGTCAAGGCACTGAAATAGAGCGCATATAATCACACCCACTTGTTGTCGAACCAGTTCTTCAGTGTTGTCGCGTTTTCATGGCCACGACACTCAACATACGCAATGCTAAGGCCACGGTTGTCAAGAATCCATGCAAAAAGCGAGAAGACGCATATATGCGGCTCACCCTTTGCTTTTCCCGTTCACCTTGTGCTCGGAGAAGGTGATGTCCTTATGGTCGAGGTTGACGTTCAGTTTCGCCGCCACTTGGCGCAAGTCCTCATCGGTTGTCCACTGGAGAAGGAAAAATACATAGACGACGCCTCAGAACGATGTACACACAGCAAGCTAGACGACAGGATACAGACCCATTGGAGGTCGCCAATATACAGGGCGTCATAGTTCGGGTTCCCTGCGCCGCCTCCCGGCGTGCCCATCGCGGCATTCGCCAGTGGTGTACCATAGCTGCCATTGGTTCCACCACTAGGGCTTTGCATCGAGGAAGGCACAGGCTGTGGCTCTTGCGAGTGTTCCTTAGCGCCGTTGGACTGCTCACGGTGTTGTTCTTCGTTTTCGTCTTCCTCGCGCTGTCGTTTCTCCCCTACCACAGGCGAGTGAGGTTCTGCTTCAGCCTCTTGTTGGGCAATTTCATCATACCCGAGGGACTTGCGAGCAAGTCGAGTCAACGCACGCGCGGCACCATGACCGAAAACAAATGACGCACCTCGTCGACCTTAGTGCTGAAGCCATCATCTTCGCCATAGATATCGAAATCATCTTCGGGCATTTTTGCGTGTACTCAGCACAGATGGGAGGATTGAACAGCTGATTAAAACTGCTTTTGTTTCTGGAATACGTGACAGGAATTTGGGTATCGACGGAACAGAGCAGCGAGACGCAACAGGATTGAGTAGGTCAGAATACGTTTGCAAACATGAGAGGGCCCCAGCAGCAGCACAGCAAGCAATGGACTCTTACATGCAAGTATGGATACAGGAGGAGTTGAGTGCAAGGAAACGCCAGCTACCCGCGACGCTCTACCAGAAAATTGGAGTACAAGGAACCTGATGCGCCTGTTTTTGAGCGGATTATGTCGGAATGCGTGAAGTGGGACGCGGGACTTACGTTGGACAGCTGGAAGGGCGTTGAAAGCGAGACGAGGGAGTTGGCAAGTGTTGGCGAAGAGCGAAGGTCCGCGACGTCGCTGAGCCGAGACCGATACTACCTGTTTGGTTCTATTTGCCCCTCTGGCGCCGTCAGGATTGGCTTCGATCCAGTTCCCCAACTTGTCGCTTCGTCATTACTCTGGTAATAAGATACATAGGATAGACTGTACACTCGCGAGCCATGCAGTCACTTAGAGGGTGCTCTACAATGAGATCCACAGTATCACTCCAGGTATAGTGTCCGTGCAAGACAGTCGAAAGAGTTACAGCCTCGCGTTCTTAGGCATCTTCGCGATCGCCTGACGCACGCCAAGGTCACCAAGAACGTCCTCAGCACCGCCTAGTAGCGAATCGAAAGTGATCGTGCGGTAGTACTGCGAGAGATTAGCACGCGGCCGCAGATAATTGCATTAACCAGACTTACATGCTCGATAAAACGTCCCATGCCGGTCTTCGTAATTCCACGACCGCCGAAGATCTGAACGGCATCGCGCGCGGTATCCTGAGCGCACCGTGTGGAATACATCTTCAGCAAGCCGATAGGTCTGCCGTGGACATAATAAGGACCAATGAGGTATCACAGCAACTGATGACATACCCCGCAAGCTTCGAAGCTTGCTCCTTATATGACATATTATTCATCTGGTAGGTAATATTCTCGAGCCAGGTCTGCACGCTTTCCACGCGAGCGATCATGTTCGCCAGCTTTGCTCGGATGACGGCCTGCGAGTTTAGTGGCTTACCGAATGCCTTACGCTGAGCCGTCCACCTGTTAGTCAATAACCAGATCAGAAATCAGACGTAGTTGAGACGTAGCGAGAAGACGCACTTCAAACACTCTTCAACAATCGTGCGTTGAGCCCGTGCAGAGCTGCAGCACATGACCCATCGCTCGTGGTTAAAGTTGCTGAGGATGACGAAAATCCCTCCGCCCTCCGGGCCAAGTGTATTCTCCACTGGCACCTTGACATTCTCGAACTATGAATGGGCATGAGCAATGCATATGGGCGTCACAGAAAGCACCGGTACTTACAGTGATGTACGCAGTACCAGCAGCCGAAGAATATGACGTCTTGATAGGCTTGGTCTCGACACCTTCCCCTCGCTCGACAAGAATACAGGTAAATCCATCTTCGGTCTTGCATCCAACGGTGAAGCTGTGAATATAAGTTTACTGTCCGAAATAGTAGATACGTCAATGGGCTCACTAGTCTGAGAAACTGCAACAAAAAGTCAGTATCTCTAGTGGACGGCTTAGAGCAGCAGTACGACTTACGTTCCGTTGGTAATCCACTTCTTCGTGCCATTGATGATCCAATACTTTCCGTCCTCGCTCTTCTTCGCGGTGGTCTTCAGTCCCTGGACATCACTGCCTGCAAACGCTTCCGAAATGGCGAGTGAAATGAACTTCCTCCCCGATAGTACTTCCTCAGACACGCGCTTGCGAAGCTCCGCATTGGCAAAGTTTAAGACTGGCGGAAGACCAATGACCACGCCAGCATTGAGACCATCGCCGTATCCGCGGGCACCAAGGCGACCAATTTCTTGACTAACGACAAGCTGCGATCGTAGAGGTCAGAGATCAGGCTTCACAGCAGAACGCCATCGTTACAAACCTCATGGAAGTAGTCGAACTAAACAGGGCAGTAAGCAAAGGGATATTAAACTAAACGAAGCGAGACGCACCCCTTCTGGAGTCACGACGCCGTTCATGAGAGTCTTCCCCTTCAGGTGCTTGCCCGGGCCCATACGCATAGCATGAATGTTCAAATCACTGCGGTGATACTTGTGTCAAACTCAGCATTCTACGAGCCCAATGACGGGGACGTACGCCATCTTCTCAATAACTTCAGGGCTTGGTCGTTTGCCATCCTCCTCGCGTAATTGGGCATCCGGATAGACAACATCGTCCACGAACTCCCGCATAGCCTTCTGCAACTGCCTATGGCTCTGGTGAAATGGATGGAGGTCAGTTGGATTCGCACTAATTAATACAACACCCACCTCTTGGTAGTAGGAACTGTGGTAACCGCCTGTCAGCCATGTCGGCTCGGCGTACGGAACCTTGCTTAAGGCACCCGCCACCCGCGCCACGACCACGCTCTCTTCCCCTGTGACTGTCCCAATCTGCAGACGAGCATACTGTGGTCTCTGAAGCACCTCGTGTCTGTGAAGAGCATAGAAAGCCTCTGTGGCGTCCTGGCCGGCTGACATATATTCGGATTTGGTAGGGAAGCCAGGAAAGACGGCGATACTCACGTATCTCCTCGTCAAGGAAAACGGAGGAGCCTCCTGGGTGCATACCCTTGAATCTTGTGACGTCGTATACTTTGCCGTCGATTATAATCCACTACAAGCATTGAGCAATAGCAATGCAGGACAGTGTGTACTGCACTACATACCAAGTCATCCGCCTTATTATGCTAGAATGACGGGATGTTAACGTTACTTTGACTCAGGTGCCATACATACACACCTTGGCGACTTCATCCCTGGTATACTCTCTGAGCTGCTTGCTGGCCATGGCTACAGACTGTGCGGCGGTGGTTCAAATATCGGCGCGATGTGAAGAAATATATGTTCGGTCATTGGTGAAAAGTGAGGGTTTTAAGCAGGTTGGCTTCATTATCACATGCACTCATCCTCAACATCATCCCACGTGAAATCATCGATCAGTAGAGTGCATCCGCAGAGATCCGCTCGATTAGGATGGTGTAGTTGTCGTGCATGCGGTCGCCGGGAGGCCAGAGATACCGGGGCACAGTTCCGGGTGTCAAGCATTCCGGACCTACCACTGTGGTAAGCGCACTTTTTTCCGGCGTAAAATTGGCCAAAAACCGACTCAACAAGGCCCCAACTTTCTCCGGTTCTCTGTGTTTTACACCCTTTTGGCTGGTTTTGCACCGGTTTCTCCTCAGTTTACATTGGCGTAGAATCGAGGAATAACTGGGCCTTGTTTAGCCGCTTTTGCCTGAGTTTTCTTGAGAAAAAAACTGCGCTTACCACCCTGTGTACGTACCAACACTGGACCGATAAAGTCCTAGATTGGGACACTCGATTAATATTCGCCTACCATCCGCACATTTCACACATAAATACTAAATTATTTAGAGTATATTACTTTAACATGTAAAGTTTCCTCGTGCGGAGCTGCAAGGCAAGAGAGTGAAAGCCGAAGTCAAGAGCTGGCCCAGGAAAGCGGCTACCATTAGCTGTGACTGGTGTGATAAAATGTGATGGTAACCTACACCAGCAGTCGCGGCTCAGTCACGCCAAAGCTCAACAGAGACGTGTCCGATGCAGTCTAGCTTGACATGTAACATTGAAACATTGCATGCATTCTGGACATAAGTGGAGCATGAAGTTGACTGTTATCAAAGATTTTTTATAAGTTTTATGCTCTCCGGCGTGCGCCCCCGGTGACAACGCCTGGCAATTTTCGAGACTTTTTGCTCTCTTACCTACACTACAATCACCGGAGGACTCTGAGTTTTCGGTGGCACATAGATTGAAATGTATTATATATGGAAAAACAGTAGCGATAGGCCACTGTGCGAGGGCAGAAAGTGGCACGTCCCAACTACTCTTAATGATCAGATTCCCTAATGACCGAAATCGCGCCCGCGTAATTTTCAATATCTCTCAGATACTGTCACCTCAGTCTCAACCGTGTAGCTGTGTACTACAAACCCGGGCCCGAGACAGCCATCGCCACACAACGGCCTGAACTAATCGTCCGAGCTGTCGTCGCCAAACAGAGCAGGTCCTGCAATCGTCTTTGCTGGCATCGGCTTGAGGAAGCGTTCCTCGTCTTTGTTTGCGGTACGCGAAGCTGAAAATTTATTAGCCGGGACTTCGTCAGTAGCTAGGGTGATGATTGTAAAGCGCTCTGCCTCTGCACTTGTTTCCGTGGCGGGCATCGTGGACGATAGCGCGCATGTACCGCCCGGATCGGCGCATGGCGGATTGTTGGCTTGCTCGGGCTGCCTCACTTCGATAGATCCAGCACAGCAACCAGACTGATGATCTGTATCCATAGCTGCATCCTGAAAACGGGCAGTACCAGGGTCTGGCGGGCGTTGTTCGACTTCCACGTCGTAAGATTCCGGAATGCCGGGGAGAAGATAATCGGCCACCAGATCGCGAATGCCACCAGGGCCAGTGTCACCGCAGTCAAGGCTATAGAACGATAACGGGTTCTTGGAGGGCAGAAGGCAGGTTGCGTTGCAGACAATCTCTTCTAGTTGTGGCGACAGTATGGCGGGCGGGAAGATTTCTGGACAAGAAGGAGAGCCCGTGGCTCCGTTTTCCACGAGATTGACCATTCCCGTCAGATCTGTAGAGGTTGGAAGAGATGGCGCTTCCCGAGTCAGACCAGAGGCACTACCAGGTCGCGGACGGTCAAGACCAAGGCGGGCTCGGATGGCAAGGAGGGGGTTACTATCTTCGAATAAACAGCCATGGACAACGTCGGCCAGCGTTTCTTCAACGACAGAGTGCTCGGACGACTGGGACGATGACAGCTTGTCGCTTCTGAGGGGTCTCGTATCAGAGATAAGTCGGAGTCGCCGATTGTCATAGTGCATTCCTGGAGATCGGCATCCAAGCGAGTGTAACGAACGAGGCGAACACTCTAGCAAAGGCGAGTCTGTAGAGGATTGCAGATGGCCGAAAGAGAGAGCACTGAGCTGATCTGCGTTATAGTTGGGTGCTTCACTAGTGTCGCTAAACGCGTCGCGGGACTGCGGAACATCGTTCGTTTGTTTCCAACCTGCGAGGGGCTCGCTGATATGAGAAATCGAGGGAAGAAGGTCGCTTGGTTCGTGTACGTAGCTGGCAATGGACGATCCTGGAAGTGGACTGTCGGACATAGAGGGGAAACGACCAAAGTGCAAGTCAAGACGTTCATCAATCAGAGGCTCTGCATATCCAGAGTCGTCATGAACGTTGTACAGAAATAAGCTGTCGCCATCGCCTTCGTCGTCGTCATCGAATGACATGGCTTCGAACTCGACATCTGCATCCAGCTTTGGTTCTGTATATGCATGAGGGTTAATATCAATACCGTGAACTGGTCACTGGTGGGGTATCGTACCCTTATTTGTGCCGTTCCCCCTTGTTGAGCTGCCCGTGAAGTCGAATTCTCCATACGGACGACATGAGAACTCTGCAGGGTCTTCCCGGTACGTCTTTGAGCCGTGGTGTGCCAGACGGAGGAATGGAGCTGAGCACTCGTCTGTTGTCGTGGGGAGCTCCGGCCTCTGCGATTCATGATCAAAGCTGTTTAAATTGTCGTTAGACAGGGAGTTAAGAAATTCGCCTCACGAGGAGAGACATCTTGCGCATACCTTGACACGGAGAAACTCCCCAGTTGTTTGTGCATTGATGCTGCATTTGACAGACCTGCGAAGTCTGGCTGGTCAAGTAAACGAGCGACAGCTGCCCTTATGCATGATGCTACATGATGTCGATAGTAGATAGAAAAAGCTGCATAACAGAGAGGAGCGACTTACGCTTAGGCGTATCTAATCCCTTGGGCACGGAGAGCTGATTGTTCCAACACCTTCCCGGCTGAAAGTCGAACCTTTGTCGCGAAAGCGGTAGTGAGTCCGGGAGGTAGGTATATGCGGGCGAAGCTTTGGAAGGTGAAGTCACTACATGTCTTGTTGTGCTTTTGAGGGATTTATGCGCGTGTGCAAGAGAGATTCTGCTTGAGGCAACTCCCTCGCGAGGACAGGACACCATATTTGGCGCAAACACCTTCCCCAACCCCTTGCCAAGAATTGCTAGACGTTGTTTGCCAAAATGGCTCTTCTGTACCCTCCCGTCTGCATCTCTTACGCGAGCCTTGGCGGCATTTCTAGAGACAGCTCCATGGTACGCTCGAAAATGTACTCCAGACAATAGACAGACCTTCGACCACCCATGTAATTAGCACCAGGCATCTATGTCCAGAAATTTTTAGGCGTTGAGGGATAATGGTCTCCAGAATCGTATGACCGACCGCTGAGTTCGTCTGGATGGAGGTCGTGGTCGAGACCAGGTAAAGCTGAAGCGCCTATCGTAACTCCCGATCGGGATCATCGATCACTAGGCCACAAGGCTTACAACGCTTCACTTCGACCATTGCCACGCCAGCCCTCGTCAGCCCCACAGTGTATAAAGCGCTCGCACTTGAACCTGGTAGAACGAATCTGTGTTTACGCGAAAACTTGTAACACCCATGATCCCAGACCTCACATACCCTTCCTCAACGTCTCAATTACCTTGGTGTAACATTTCTTTACGACCATCGTCCAGAAACGCGGCACTCCAACATCGTCCTTACCCATACTCTCCCCATAAAACACCTCATACGACCATGGACCGCGCCATCCCGTCCTCAGCACCTCCCTGATGACGTCTAGGACAGGTAGATACCCGCCAAACCCGCCCAGGACGGTTCCTGCACCCAGCCCCGCTGCGAACATGTCCAAAGATCCAGCCTCAGCGCGTAAAGCGTCGACGGCTTCGTCCATGTATGGCGCGGGCCTCCAAGCGTTGCTTCAGGCGTAGAGCGGATCGATGCCTTGCCTCTTTGCCTGCTCGGAGAGCGTTTTGGGATTCACATTCTTGGAGCCATCGAAGATCTGGAAGTAAAAGATCTTGGAGGCTGGAACGGTCTTGCTCAGGTTGATGAGTGAAGCTTGCAGCTTTTTCTGTGCATCTGGTAGCACACGAGATGATGAAACTGGAGAGGCGTACGCGCGCGCTGGAAGAAATGAGAGAGCAACTCCCCGAGATGTTAAGCAGGTGTTCATACCACATATTGAAAA